ATATAATGATATAGGGGAAAGGGCAAGGCCTGCCAGAGCCACAGCTCTAGTGGGCAAATGTCCCTTCATTGTGTCATCTTAAAAGTCAAGCCATGTCATACAACTCTTGGTAAAGCCTGAGCTAATTTTTAGTTTGCTAATCTCCCCATTTAAAACCCTGAGCAATAGCATCACAGACTACTACTTCTATTCACTTCCGTTTTATTCTCTCTTTCCCAGTCGTATATAGTTACTACACTTCAGCACTCCCCTCCCTTCTCCAGCCCTCTTTCCTCTTTTCTGTAGTCCTGTTTACAACAGTTTCCTCTGAAATTGAAACATTTCATCCCACAAGAAAGCTCCTTAAGCAAGAAGGTAAACAACTCCAAATAGTTTTAGGAAATCCCTAAAACTGATCAGATTCACTAGGCCTCTCCCTTCCAGAGTACGTAGTAAAAGCCAAGAGTCCTCTCAGAGGAGAGGGGCTGGGCTGGAAACAAGACTCACAAGTCAAGCTGCAAAGACCCTGACGCCAGGCCAGCTGTCTCAAGAGGTTAGACAACTGAGGCCCATGGGAGCAGCAGTCTCCAACCTGTGCAGTGTGTCCCAAGATCCCAGCTTTGTGAGCTGTCGCCTATGCTGGGGTGGGCTTTGGTGACACAACCATCATTGAGTTATTTCTGCTCCTGTAAGTAACCATCACACATACTTCTGTAAGTAACCCTCAATAAAATTCATGGCTCACAAAGTTGGACTTTCATGGTATCTGTACTTTGGACTGTTGTAGACTCCCGATCTGGGGTGAGTAGACATGTGTTGCATTCTCCCCAGAAGTTTTGTCATATTACAGGTCTCTTACACACACACACACACACACACACACACACACACACACATTTCCACTATCCATTCATTTGGCTGATTTAATTTCCATGCTTTTATGAATAATACAGCAATACACAGAGATGTGCAAGCATTTCTAAGGAACTAATATGGAGTCCTTACTGGAGTAGCAGTCTGGTCACATGGTAGTGGATAAGGGTTCTTCTTGTCTCTACATCCTCACTACAATTTGTTGCTATTTGTTTTCTTTTACAGACAGGATTTTTCTGTGTAGCCTGGCTGTCCTGGAACTTAATCTGTAGACCTCGGACTCAGAGATCCACTTGCCTGTGCCTCCCAAATTCTGGGATTAAACGCATATGTAACTACCTCCTGGCTTGCCATTTGTTTTCTTAACACTAATTTAACCGAAGAGGAGTGGAATCCCAAAGGCTATTTGCCTTTCTCTGATAGCTAAGGAGGCTGAACACTTTGAAACACTTATTGACCACTTGTGTGTTTCTACTTTTTAATAAGCATCTTCAGAAAAGTCAAAGTACCATAACAGAAAAAAATGCCAGGGTTAACCAGACACTACAGATGGGATGAGGGTTTGACTGAAATTAGGAAATTTTTAGTGATCAAACTGTTATGCGATTTGTTTATGGTTGCAATGAAAGGAATCTTACGATGCATTGAGTTTACACAACTGCACATTAAAAGAAAAAACATTCATTCAATAATTGTGAACTTACTGAAAATGAATGATTGTATCATACTATATTATTTGAAAAAGTACTTCAACTTTTTTCAAACAGTGACTTTTCACAGTTCTTTCTATACCTAAAAGAGTTACAAATTGAGATCCACTTTTTTAACTCTCATTGCTGCATGATTTTACATTCATGAACATCACCTGCTGATGGCTGCTTTTTTTTTTTTTATTTTACAAGACAGGGTTTCTCTGTATTGTTTTGGAGGCCAGCCTGGCCTCGAACTCACTGAGATCTGCCTGCCTCTGCCTCCCGAGTGCTGGGATTAAAGGCGTGCGCCACCACCGCCCGGCATAATCTTATTTTCCTATTTTTTACTTTTAAAAACAATGGGAATGGGGCTGCAGAGATGGCTCAGATATTCTACAGGACACAGAGAAAAATGACTGACAAACTGCCAATATAGGCAGGGACAGTTTCAAATTTTCTACTTTACTGAGAAGTCTGCTAAACACTCTAGGCCTATAGGCTGAAGATGGATGCCCCAAAATTACAGAGGGACTTTGGGTAACTGTCCAGGCAACACGGTGTCTCTGTCAATTCTAAAGTTTATATATTATCCTTCTGAGGTCTGTGATGGAGTTGAAGACAAATAGTTATGGTTATCAATTTCCTTAGTTAAGATAAAAGATAAATTACATATAAAACTTTAGACTAACAAATATAGGAAAGATGATAGAACATCTCTTTAAATTTGCCAAATGTTAATGGATTAAATATTGTTAACTGTAGTTCTTGCTTGACAAATTAGACAGAAAAGAGGAGATGATGGGGTATGTCCTTCTGTATGTATGTTTCTCTTATTTGTTGATAAATAAAAACACTGACTGGCCAGTAGCCAGGCAGGAAGTATAGGTGGGGCTACAAGAGGAGAATGCTGGGGAGAGGAGGCAGAGAGAGACCAAAAGGAGACACCAGGCTGCCAAGAGTAACATGCCTGATTACGGGTAAACCACAGCCTTGTGGCAATACACAGATTAATAGAAATGGGTTAATAATTAAGACAAAGCTAACCAATAAGAAGCCTGAGCCATGGGCAAAACATTTTATACTTACTTTAAGTATTTATTTAAGGCAAAGCAGCTGTGTCTGGGACCAGGCGGGACAGAAAACTCCAGCTATAGTTAAAAACACGTTGGGCTCTGCAGAGGAACTAGATTCATTTCCCAGCACCCGAATGACAGTTAAAAGTCACCTTCTGACATTTTGTGGGCAAACATAAAATAAAATGACTCTGTTCCAAGAAGACACTTAATTAATTACGCTTCTTCTTTAAGAATATGGGTTAACACATTTCTAGGAGAAAGAAACTATTTTATTCAGGATAGTTTATTTTAATACTAATCTTCCACTTGTGGCAAACTGCATTGTTTCTGAATGATGTTTCCTCTCTAAATGCAAAAATTTCCTAAAAATGCTACTGGATTAACTAAGGAGGAGGAGGAAGAAGAGGAGGAGGAGGGGGAGGAGGGGAGGAAGGAAGGAAGGAAGGAAGGAAGGAAGGAAGGAAGGATAAAGAAAGGGGTATCTAACTACCATTCACTGCAAAAAACTTATTCCTAAATATCTTAGACTTTCTTGTCATAGATCCTTTACAGGATTCACCAGGGTTACTACAGAGTAAAGATATATATACACAGTTTAAAGAAGGATATTTTTAAACAATATTTTGAACCCAAAGATCAGACTGCCTCTGCCTCCCTGAGTCCTGGGATCAAAAGCAAACAGCACCACCTAGCCCAGACTATATGTTTTTACTCTTTAGTCATAAGCAAACATAGTTTACCCAAACACAAAATAAGGCAAAGAAATGCATGGCAGACCCCCATCTTGGTACGTAACAGACATATAGTTAAAAGCTATATGTTACACCGGGCGTTGGTGGCGCACGCCTTTAGTCCCAGCACTTAGCAGACTCCATCACCATCATCAGTGAAGTCTAAGCAGAGGCAGGCGGATCTCTGTGAGTTTGAGGCCAGCCTGGTCTACAGAGTGAGTTCCAGGACAGCCTCCAAAGCTACAGAGAAACCCTGTCTCGAAAAACCAAAAAACAGGCAAGAAACTAATTATAGTGCAGAGACAAAATACTCAAATAAGGACACCACTTTAACTGGACAATATGCTATTTTTGGTTCAATAGTGGCAACATACTATTTTAACAGAACTACATGGCTTCTGAGATCCCAATCAGAAATAGAAGGGAGAACAGATCAGGACCAAACACAATATTAGTTTCTTCTATACAACAGAAAATTATTAACGAAAATTGGCCTTTTCTAACAACAGCATGAACCATATTTAACAACAACAAAATGGAACAAAAAGGTCTCTCTGCAACGCCCAGGTTTCCTTCAAGTCATCTTTCTGCTTGGGCCTCCTGAGTAGCTACAGACAGATTCAACCACTCCTGAGAGAAACTATAGCTTTTTGTGTACTTACCAACTAGCGTGTACCCTAATTTCTCCCTGTGGGTGATCACTACCCAAATGGCAGAGAGTTGGTACACTAGGCCAAAACAAAACTAATCTTTTGGTGACCAACTCAGGGGCATTATTTATATCTGTAACATCTAAATTCATACAAAACAACAGAGTACAAAGAAAATATAGGACAAAGATGAGAAAGAACAATTGTTGACTTAGAAGTCTACTGACACACACAAAAGCTTCCATCAGTAATATGAATGCCTTAAAAACCATCTTTAATGGCCACCCTTAAGCAAAACTGACTCTGTGAAAAGAAAGGTTTTCTAGATTATATATTTTTTCATGACAGAACTCATCATCTTCACATATAAACTTCAAAAAAAGGAATTAAAAATACCACTGTTCCATAAGCAATTAGCTTCATTGTAACTCCAACAAATAATGACTGATCTTCTCACTTCTAAGAAAGGTTATGGCATAGATACTATGTATCTAAATGACAAAAGTAATTAATGTATCTACACACATTTTGGACATTAAGATTCTACCTGTACAGGTTTATATAAACTTCAAAACTGTATGTATGAAGTTGTTATAATGAAATAACCCAAATACCCACCAATAATTAGGCAAAGTAAAACAGCATCTTCAATAGAACAATGCCATTGGAGTGTATTCAATGACACTTAAAAGGTGTCTCTGACATCAGTGCTGAGGGAAATCAGCATGCTTTGTACAATGACACACTGTGGTACATTTAGTAAAAAACCCATTACCTATACTTATAATATCACTCAAGGGAAGCATCTAATAAGTTACTGTGATAAAGGGGCATAGGTATAAGATATAGATGGATACTTTTCTTTTTGTCGACATACTGCTTGTGTGTAAATATGTATAAACAGTATGTGTCGATAAAGAAGAAAAGTTAAAATCATCTACAGAACTATTTTTAAAATGTTTAAAAGCAAGGTCAAGAGAAGGAAACATGGTGCTGTACCTTAAGCGGTTGGTATAGGTATCAACACAGGTCTTCATTTTGGCCAATAATGTACCAACAGAAGTCTGACATTCTGACTGTTCTTCTTCTTCTTCTTCTTCTTCACCATTCTCCGTAGAAAGAGGCAACAACAGCGGCACCATAGATGTGCAAGAAGCAATGGCCCGGAGCAATTCTAGCAGAGCCCGGTATAGTGGCACGTGTCTTGCCATGTCCAGAACTAAGGGAGAAAAGGGAGACAGCATACAGTGAGAACACACGGCAGTAATACTGTGCTGACCTCATCATAGGATTAACAGTTGGTGACTGGAGCAGCAACACGTGTCTGAGGCACCACTGAACTTCCAGAAAATGAAGAAGATATAGAATGGGGCAACAATTACCAAATGAACATTCTAATTAGAAAAAAAAAAACATTGTTATTTACTAGTTACAAGTCAAATGAATTTTCTTCTTTTATCTTCCTTTTTTGTTTATTTTTGTTTTTGTTTTTCAAGAGAGTGTTTCTTTGGTAGCCCTGGCTGTCCTGGAACTAGCTGTGTAGACCAGCCTGTCCTTGAATTCTCAGAGCTCAGCCTAGCTTTGCCTGCCTCTGCCTCCCAAGTGCTGGGATTACAGGGTTTTGCCAACATTGCACAGGGAACTTTCTCTTCTGATCTGAAGTACTAACCCACAGGTTTTATACGCTGTTAAAAAGAAGTGGCCTGGCCCAGCTGTAACTCACTTGCACGCCTCATGTGAGGCACCTTATTCCCAGCACCAACTCATTGAATGAACAGTCATTCCATAAGCATTTTAAAACATATGCTAGTCAAGATGAGAACACTGCAGTGATGAAAACAAAAGTTCCTAACCGCAGGATTCTACAAAGAGGAACCAGTCACGGTATTCTGAGACACTGGTTAAGTATTCTGAATCTTACATGGAAAATTCAAGCACAACAGAAAACTGAGGGAATGGAAACTGGATGGGGAATCATCTCAGAGTCTACACAGGGCATGAGTATAGAGGATGAGGCATCATCATCTAGAACCCTGGTCTTTCTGTGGCAATTAGTGCAGGGGAGAAAGGGCTAAATCATGTCAGTTCTGATGGAGTGATCCTGGGGAAGGGTATTTAGAATGATGCTTAATTCTGATGGACAGTTCACTTCCAGGTCAGGTGTGGTTTTGTCAAAGTAGATGCGGCCTTATTGGAGGAAGTGTGTCATTATGGGAGAGGTCTCCTATGCTCACCACACACCCAGGTCAAGGTGTAGGACTCACAATCCTGCTCCAACACGGTGTCTGCCTGCACACACCATTATGGTAATGTAAACCTCTGAAAATGCAAGCCATCCTAATTTTCCTGGGGTCTCTTCACGGCAACAGACATCAGAAGGAAAAGCAACCGGGAAATGTGTCATCACTTTACACCCACCAATTATGAGAAGCAGAAAAATTTGACTGGCACTGTGTGCTTACCTGAAAATTTGCCCTCTATCCCAAACACATATGAAAAGACAAATGTCCTGCTTTTTTGATAACTGTCTCTCTATTTGAAAATAGAATTCATAGTGGATGTGGATATGAATACTGGGGCAAAAGACTTAAGACGGAATGGAAGTGGGTGAATGAGAAAGGGGTATATAGTGAGCTAACAAAAACTAAAGATGCATGAAAAGCCCTTACAAAAAACTACTTTGCAAGTTCATTTTTTAAAATAATAATAGTTTAAAAGGAGGAATGTTTGAACACAGTGCCCTACATGGATAAATAATGCTTCACCCAGCAGATACTAATTATTAAATGAAAACCCCAGTGACAAGCATAGAATACCTCCTTACAAGTTACTGGTCAAATAGATGCCAGAGCCCACCACCCCCCCAAAACAAGAAAGGCTATTTTCTTGGTTGTCCACCATTGATATTGCTGAAGATACAACAAAATTTAGTTGCTTGATATAGAGACATTGATCTAGAAACAGCAGAAAACTTCCTTCCAGGTGACTAGCTTTCATAGCCACCAAAGTCACTCAGCAGGTTACTAGGGAAGACCCTGAGGTGCCAGGCAAGGCATGCCTATGGGTACAATAGCGGCACAATGGTTGCAGGGATAATCAAGCAGTTTTTAATTGGGCTTAAGGTCTGCTCCACAGGGGGAATTCATGCTGGGTACTGTAAACTTGGTCAGCATCTAGGAGAAAGGAGGTCATAGACCCTGGGCGGTGAAAGGGACATACTACTATTATTTTACTAACTGGACATATTATCAAGTTATCATATCATATAAAAGTTTATATTTACATCCATATATTAGTGATTAAAGGCGTGCGCCACCAACGCCCCCATATATTAGTGATGATCTTAATCTTGGTCAGAGAAGCTTCTTTTTGTGGTGAACAGCAGTCAATGCAAAGATTCCTAAGTGCTGAGAATTAAGTGATTGTTCTAAATGGGACCTCTTGTTAACTCTCCCAAGGCTTAGGGAACATCATGAAAGAGGGAAAAGGAAGAGTCCAAAGATGGGGAGAACTCTATGAGCCGTCTTTTTGTGATGTTGTGGTCATTGTACTCAGGAATTCATAACAGGTATGGTTACTTGTGGTGCTATATTATTTATGATTTATTAAAGTCACTGGAGATCAAAATAGCAAAGCAGCCATACTAGTTAGCCACAGAAACCAGGCAGTGAGCCGGGCGTTGGTGGCACATGCCTTTAATGCCAGCACTCGGGAGGCAGAGGCAGGTGGATCTCTGTGAGTTCGAGGCCAGCCTGGTCTACAGAGTGAGTTCCAGGACAGCCTCCAAAGCCACAGAGAAACCTCGTCTCGAAAAAACAAAAACAAAACACACACACACACACACACAAAGAAAATAAAAAAAGAAACCAGGCAGTGGTGGCACACATCTTTAATCCCAGGACTCAGGAGGCAAAGACAGATAGAGCTCTCTGAGTTCAAGGCAACCTTGGGCTACTACATGAGATTGAATCAATCCAAAAGAGTAACAGAGTTCATGCCTTTAATCCCAGGACTAATGAGAGGTATTTAAGACAGGAACAGGGTCTCAAGAGCTGGCATTCATTCTCAGCCACAATGAAGACAGGAAGGCATAGATTCTCTGTAGCCACACTGAGAGGCAGCAGTCAGAGGCTTAGTGAGAGCTTGTGGAGACCCAAAGGGAAAAAAAAAAAAAAAAAAAAAGCAAAGCCCTTTCAGCCTGAGGTATAGGTAAGAGCTAGTGGCTTGGCTGCTTTGCATTTCTAATCTCCAGCTTGAAGCTTGAACCCGAAAATATGTCTCTGGGTCTTTTATTTTTCGTGCTATAGTGACCTGCACAAGATAGTCATTCAACATTCCAGGACTTATAAGGAATCTCCTATTGAATCACCCCTATTGAGGAACTAATGGCAACTGTTGGCTGTTGGGGAAAGGAATTCATTTTTCTTTGAGTGTGTAACTACTATTTTTCTCCTATTTTCTACCCAAACACATAACCCTAGTTAATGGGATAAAAAAAAAATTCCCCAAATTGAAAAATCTTGGAAGAAACTAATCAGTTCTCTTGGAAAGTGAGAAGATTATAATAAACAAAAGAATACTAAGATATCACAAGGAAGACAGACACTAGAGAAATGTGGTTACTAAAAGCAAAACTCTATCCTAGATAGGATAGCAAGGCAGAACTCAGACATAAAGATAAGAAAGATTAGAAGTAGTTTTTAGGTTAACCACTATACTAATGTCAAATTGTTGATTTTGATAACTTGCTATAGCTAGGAAAGATGTTAGTTAAGATATACAAACTGACCAGGCAGTGGTGGCACACGCCTTTAATCCCAGCATTCGGGAGGCAGAGGCAGGTAGATCTCCGTAAGTTCAAGACCAGCCTGGTGGACAAAAGCTAGACCCAGGACAGCCTCCAAAGTCACAGAGAAACCCTGTCTCAACACCCCCCCCCCAAAAAAAGATGTTAGCATTCCTGGGAATTTGGTTGATGGGTAGGACTAAACTGCCTACAAGAAAAGCCTTACAACTGTTCTATGAAACTAGCATTATTGTAAAGTTATAAACAAAACAAACTCTAGTTATATTAAACTTTAGCCCTTATCACACTTAATTCTTCATTCTCAAAATTTCCTTCGATCCTGCATTATCTGTGACATGGATGTGTAGCTGAGGGTTAGAGCTCAGGCTTAGTGTGAAACCTCACACACAGAGCCTGGATGCTTAGACATTCTGTTTTCCCAGAATGAAGGAGGCTAAGACAGGGAGAGCATGAGTCTGAGACTAGCTGGCCTACAGAGTGAGATCTTATCCAAAAAAATACATAAAAAGTTCTTAACAAAAGACTAACCTCAAAAATAGATAACAATAATATCTCTACTACTTTTCCCCTGAGATTACCCCATATTCTGTGGCTCCTTGGAGGAGACTCTCTTCTCAGTTTCCTGCCCACAGAATAGCCCTAATTTCTCTTTCAACTCTAAAGATATTTTCATGTTTCGAAACTGAACTAAAAGGTACCACACTCCACTAATTGAATACCAAGTAACTTAATGTGCTACATGACTTACTTATTTTCAGGAAGGAGGGGACATGACAAAGTATTGGGTTTTTTTTTTGAGACCCCCCCTCACAGCAACCCCAGAGTTTTGTTGTTGTTTTGGTTTTTTGAGACAGGGTTGGAGGTTGTCCTGAAACGCATACTGTAGACCAGCCTGGCCTCGAGCTCACAGAGATTCACCTGCCTCCCAAGTGCTGGGATTAAAGGCATAATGCCCAGCTGTATCGTTTTTCAAACTGAGAGTAATTCTAAATAAAGGTAACCTTCTGCCCAGATATTTTACAAACATTCCTAAAACTGCACCTCCATCTTGTGGTAAACGGGGTAACTGCAGGCTAACTAAATGCCAAAAAAAGCAGATTTTGCCATTGTATAAGATGCTTAGGTTAACATGAACATATTCTTCATACAAGATTCTCCTATCTACCTAAGAAATTCCTAGCAAAAATAACTACTTCTCTTCATTGTATTTTTGTTTGTTTTCGAGACAGGATTTCTATGTGTAGCCCTGACTTCAAACTCACAGCTCCTGCCGCTGCCTCGTGAGTGTGAATAGCACACTCTTCATACCTTCCAGAAAGTAGAACACACAAAATCCCACCATATTTACATCAGAATATCATCACGAAGATTATAAGTCTGTCATATACGGTGACTTACCAGAGTCATTTCGCAGGTAGGAGGACATGGCAGGGATGAGGCAGGACTGACTAAGAAGCTCCAGAAGCACGGAGGGCAGAGCACTACTGTTCTGTCCTCGGCTCTCAGGAGATGACTGGGCTTCGCCATTTACAGCACCACTCAAGGGGTTTATGTAACTTGCAAGAACCTAAATTATTGAAAATATATTTAAGTGAAGCTTCATATACTTTAATGATGTACTTCAAAATTAGGTACTTGATCTTAGCACACTCAAAACATGTATTTTCTACTTAATGTCAGATGCTCTTGTCTTTGAATAGAAGACCCCTATTTTTTTAACAGAAAAAGATTTTTTTACTTCATACAATATATTCTGATTGTGTGCTTTTTATTTTGGGGGTAGTTTTTCCCTGTGTGGCCCTGGCAAACCTCGATGCTGAGTTTTCCAACAAGGTGCCTTTGGGTTTTTCAGTGATCCCGGTGCCTCTCAACGTCTGAGTTTAGGACTGCAGGCTTGAGGCATCAACCCTGGCTAAAAAGGGACATTCCGGCTTAGCTCTTCCAAGAAGAAGGCACTGTTCAGAGCAGGTGCTTCATGTAACTACAGGAGAAGCAGTCTGCCTCAATACAGACACACACTGGTGCTTGGGATAAGTAATGACACCAATGCCAGCAATTCAAAACATTATTACTCATTCATTTCCTTTGGCTTTCTTTCCCTTTATGAAGGATTCAAGTAGTTTTTCTGTCTTCTACATTGCTACGTAGTTGAGAATGACCTTGAACTTCTGATCTTCCTGCCTCCACCCACTTAGGGCTGGGATTACAAGCATGTACTGCCATTCTTAATTCTTATGAACCTAAGGGGGTTTCATAAATACTAGGCAAACAGAACAGAGTTATATCCCAGTCCTCACTATTGAGGCATGCCATCCTAGAACTGTAGAAAATAACATGGCATCAACTTAGGTTAGCTGCTTCTTGTTTATATGATATAGGCATTCTCTCATATTTTCAACTTGTTTGATTCTGGAAACAGTATAGAACAATTTGTAAAAGAAAACTGAAAGTGAGCTTCAAATATAGTTCAGTGGCCAAGTATATGCTTAACAGGTGTGGAGTCTTGAGTTCAGTCCCAGCACAGAATGAAACATTAGTCCTAACTTTTAACATAGGTTAGAAGAAGCTTCGTGTGAAGACAAAGGGGTGTCTACCAGGTAGACTTTCCTCTGAGGTGAGAAGCTAATTCAGAGAGAAGGTATTTAGAATACAAGCACAGAAGATGGCCATTCTTTAACCTGTGACTTTTATAATAAACTTGGAGAAGAAAACAAAAGTGAGCGTGATGTAGGTAAGAAAGCTGGCAAACACCAGTCATGGCTGGACTCTGAAGGTAAAGAAGTTCAAGACCAGGCTGGAGAGATGGCTCAGTGGTTAAGAGCACTGGCTGCTCTTCCAGAGGACCCAGGTTCAAATCCCAGCACCCACATGGTGGCTCACAACCTTCTATGATGAGATCTGATGCCTTCAATGTCTCATCTGGCCTTCAGGCATACATGCAGACAGAATAATGTATACATAATAAATAAATAAATCCTTTTTAAAAAATTCAAGACCAACCTAGACTACAAGAAACATCTCAACCAAAGGAAAAACAAAAAAATAATTTACTGATAACAAATTCACAACAAACGCACCTGCAGAAGACAGGTTACATGCTCCTCTTCTAGCCTCTGTTTGGTTAAGGCTTGTTCCACATCCCATCCTGATGCTGTGGAACCAGTGCCAAAGCCAGTCCCTTTGGCCCAATAGAGTTGTTGTTCTTCTGTTGATGTAGGGTTATGAGAATTTGACACCTGTGGCTTTTAAGAAAAAGAGTTATTACTAGTGCTTGGTATTACTTATCTTCAAAATTTATCATTGTACTGTCCAACAGATTAACAGCATAAAAACCAATTTGGCAAAGTGGATCTCTGTGAGTTCAAGGCCAGCCTGGTCTATGAAGTGAGTTGCAGGACAGTCAGGGGTGTTACACAGAGAAACCTTCTCTCAAAAAAACTAAAGTATTAAAAATAGGAATAGTATAAAAGCAGAAAAATGACTAATTTAACAATATAACCTTAACCATTAAGGTTCATTCTTTATTATTATTATTATTATTATTATTATTATTATTATTATTATTATTTATGTGACCTGTATAAACTTTTATTTGAATTAAAAATTCAAAGGTGATTCAGAGTATATTTGTGGTTTTTGTTGCTTTCAGTGGAAATATTTTCTCTCAGAAACATTAGAAAACATTTCTAAGAAAAACTATTAGGTCGAAAACGCTGAGAGTTTTGCTTTTATATTAACAGACATGACTGTTTTAGAATTACCAAACTTGAACATAGGCCTTTCAATCATTTTCCTATTGAATGTATAATGTTGTACTTTTAAAGCTCTTTAAATGTAGATTTAGGTCTTTACAGAACTAACCCAAAATAGATTTTCATTGTGTGATTTATGTTTTAACTATAACAGTGTTTCTCTTGGATAGTTGGTTGCTTCGTTTTTAATGTTTACGGTTGTTCAGTCATTCATTGACTCTGTGCATGTGGGGAATGGACACAGGTGCACACATACCACAACATGCTTGTAGAGGTCAGATAGTAACTTTTTGAAAATGGGCTCTTTCCATCCCTTTCCATCCACTAATGTGGATCAAGGGATCAAACTCACATCAAGATGGTAAGCTCATTTGCCTCCTAGTCATCTCACTAGGTCTTTTTCTTTGTTGGGTTTTTGTTACTCTTTTTAAAAGTTTAAAGGTTGTTTTCTTGTTTTGCTTTGTTTTTAGAGACAAGATCCAAGTGTAGACCAGGCTGGCCTTGAAGACACAACAGTCCTCTGCCTCAGCCTCCTAAACTCTGGATTATGAGCATAAACTTCCAGGTTAGCCTTCTAATAATGTTTTTGTTTTTCAAGACAGGATTTCTCTGTGAAACAGTTCTGGTTGTCCTGGAACTCACTCTGTAGACCTGGATCAGACCACCTGCCTGTGTATCTCAAGTGCTGGGATTAAAGGTACAACAAAAGAGTCGAGCGTTGGTGGCACAGGCCTTTAATCCCAGCACTCAGGAGGCAGACGCAGGTGGATCTCTGTGAGTTTGAGACCAAGCCTGGTCTACAGAGAGTTCCAGGACAGCTTCCAGAACAATACAGAGAAACCCTGTCTCGAAAAAGCCAAAAAAAAAAAAAAAAAAAAAAAAAAAAGTACAACAAAGTTCTTAAATAGGAGGGTGTATATAGAAAGGTAAGTCATTTATTGAAGAAATGCTAACTATAAGGTTAACTAATCACTGTGCATGAATTAGAACATTACACTGTACCCATGACACGAAAATGCACGAGGAGGTTAGACGTAAACACGAGTTTCTCAGTTGTTCCCCATCTTATTTAGAGACAGTCTCTCATAAAGCATGGGTTCTTCCCGAGCACTAGTATCAAGGTCACTACCAACTCGCCCAGGTACTCAAACTCACAAAGACTTTACTGGTTGGGGCACCTCGCTAACACTGGAAACAGTATCTGTGTACTCATCTCCTCTGCTATTTTCTAAATGATTTCAGATTTTTATTTACATAAACCAAATGAATTTTGAATGAAGACATTTCCCTTTTTGTGGGTGTGTGGTTTTTAAACAGGGGAGGCTTACTATACTATAACTTACAACTCAATAATATGATTCTCTAAAGTTAAAAAGAAAAGGATATCAACATAAGAAGGAAGGCTCTAACTACCTATTTCTTTCTTTTTCTTTTGGTTTCTTGAGACAGGTTTTCTCTGTATAACAGTCCTGGATGTCCTGAAACTTGCTCTGTACCACAGCAGGCCTCAAACTCCAGACACCTGCCTGCCGCTGGCTTCTGAGCACTGAGGTTAAAGCTGTGCACCACCACTGACTGGCTACTATTCATTTCTCTAAACTGCTGGGTTAATCTGATTTTTCTGAGGAGGCTAGCAGAGTATCCCATAGTAATCATAAAATACAACCCCAAATTCTGAAATGCCACTTCAAACTCTCATCAGTTAGGTTTAGTTTTTTGTAACATTAAGTAGCAGTTCTCAGTAGCAAACTTAAGTTATGGAATAGCAAGAAAAATAATTGTATGGTTGGGGACACTGCACATGAAGAGCCGTATCACAGCATTAGGAAGGCTGAGAGCCACTGACTAAAAGAATCTGAATGAAATCTACCTCAGTTTGGTTAAGGCTAGAGTTTGGAACTCGTGGTGCATGATGGCTCAGAGCTGAGAGACAGACAAGAATTAGGTGCAGTGCTCCAATTTCCAGTGCCATCCGCCGCAGAAGCACACCATCGTCAGTTGTCAAAGGAGTGGCACTGAACAAGCTTCGAAGAACATGGAAAGGAAGGGTTGGAAGCACGTTGGCTGATGGAGACTGCAGGATGTGGCCTGTGAAAGAGAAGAGGACTAAAATTCAAAATACTTGTAAATAATAAGTAGTTACACACAAGGTCACAAGTCACAATGGCAAAGTAAGGTTTACCACTAAATTAATTATAAAGCAGGCTGAATGTGAGATAGAATACCATTACCTTTATTACAGTATCAAGAATTTCTCTATAAGACATAGCACATACAAACTGTAAATTTTACACATTTGAGTAACAGACATCAACAACAACAAAGATATTAAGAACTAGAATGTGAAATGAAATATAACCACTAAGAAAGAAATTTCTTTTTATTTTAAAAGACAAGGTTCTCTGTGCAGCCCAGGCTAGCCTCCAACTCACAAAGGGACAATTGTCTCTGCCCCTGCCCCTGGGATTAGAAGCAAGTACCAGCTAGGTGGTGGTGGCACACGCCTTTAACCCCAGCACTTGGGAGGCAGAGGCAGGTGGATCTCAGTGAGTTTGAAACCAGCATGGTGTACAAGAGCTATTTCCAAGACAGGATCCAAACCAGAAACCAAACTGACACTCTCCCACCCACCCCCAAAATGCACATACCAAAGAAGAAATTTATTACAACCATCAGAAAATAACTGCTAGTCTTCCAAGGGTTCTCCATTTGAACAGACAATGAACAAGTAAAACTACTTTTTTTGTACAATAATTTTGTGCTGGTTTCATCAGAAAGAAGTGATAAATGCAAGTGATAAAGCACTATAGGGATGCAGAAAGGGTGGCATGAAGTCTATTTCCCCTTGGCTGAAACAATCTGAAATAATTACCCCAAACTAAACTCTGCCTGCTTTTCAGAGCAACGCCAAACAATTTCACACTTACACATCTGTAAGGCTCCAATAACACTCAGCTCAAATCTTTCTCTAATTTGTCAAGAGTCAATACAGTGACTAGAAGACAATTCTACTTCCTGATCACATCTTTCCAGTGTCATTCAATGGGTCTGTGAATACTAACCATACAGTTTATAAAATGAATATGAAAGTTCTTTAGGACTTATGTTTAATACTAAAAGAACAATAATGGCAAACCATTGAAACAGCTTTACTGTCAAAGAAATAAATGGGTATGAACAGACAATAATCTAAACAAATTTATCCAAGCTATTTGTGTACGTGTTGATATATTTAATTAGTAACTCTAAACACTTACTGCCTTCTCCATCATCTGTAACTCCCAATACCAATCGAAGAAGGCACTGGGCATGTTTTCTCTCTTTCAGGAGCACTTCAGCATACCCCGGAAGACGAAGAAATAATCCAAAAGCAGCCAGCGAATGGGCAGGTATGGGAGAAGTGGCTTGCACTGCTGACTTGACAGGTGGCGGTTCAGCTGCGATAGTTTCTGGAGCTTCATAAACTAGCTCGCCTGACTGTTCTATGGTTACCCATTCAAACTGATCACTATCTTTTGGTTTTTCCTGAGTGGCAGATGCCACCACTGGAGCACTCACCTAAAGAAAAGAGAAGCATGTAGCTATTTCCACATTTCAACATTGGGTTCAAACAAAAGACTTCAAATGACCTCTTTAAACTATAGAAACATAAAGACTTAAGCAATATATTTTTAAAAAAAAACAAAGCAAGAAGAATGACATTGTAAGTACAAAAGTATCTACCATTTTCCTATATAAAATTAATGAAATAACTACAGATTGTTCAAAATTATGTTAACATCTTATACTTCAAACTGGTTCACTCAATTCTACTACTAATTTTTTGTTCATGAGTTTATTTGTTTATTTTTATATATAATTCTGGCTGACCAGGCACTCAAAAGATCCACCTACCTGTACTTCCAGAGTGGTGGTATTAAAAGCATGTACCACCATATCTAGACCCCTTTTAAAAATGTATTCACATGTGTGACTGTCTGTATGCATGAATGCTGAGTATACTGCGGCCCTTAGAGGCCAAAACGAACCACATCATAGGAATGCCAGGAACTCAACACAGCCTCTGAAGAGCCCTATTTACTACAGAACCATCTTTCTAGCCCCTATATTAGCATTCACAAAATTCACCAAGACTCTTCTCTTTGTAAAAGATGGAGACTATTAATGCAAAACAGCAATCACTCAAAATGCAGTTGTGGAACTCAATCCCAATGGATACACCTAAAAAACACTTTCATACTGAAAGCTCAAGAAACACTGTGGAAAAGTTGTCTGTGAAACTGTGTCTCCTAGTAATGTCAGATGCCACACCTAAAAAACCACACCAAGATGACTGCCCCAAATTAGAACTGAATAAGGACAACACCCATAGATATGCCAAAAATGGGTGGGGTCCCAGGCCCCAAAAACAAACAAAAGAGAACATAAAAAACAAAACAAAACAAACTATAGACAATATTAAGAATATTAAGAAAGGAAAAAATAGTCCTCCCCAGGCAAGACCACACCAATTGCCTATCCATCCACTAAATGGACAGCTCTGAAAAAAAAAAAAAGCAAACAAGTAACATTCTACAGACTGTGTAGGCTGTATTTATATCTTTAAATAGACATATGCATGTAATAACAATGAATTAAAAAGGTCATGAATTTGAAACAGAACAAGAAAAGGTATATGGGAGTATTTGGGGGGAAGACAAAGGAAGGGGAAAATGATGTTAACGTTATAATTTCAAAAACAAACCAAGAAACAAAAACTTCCTTGAAACCATAGTTACAGTGATTACCTAGGATGACTTCCTAACTCTGCCATTCTTTTTATATTACCTGGTGATAAAATATTAGGGGAGTATCAGCATGTGTTCTAATTTTACTCTACAAGTCACAATTACTGTGTGTGTGTGTGTGTGTGTGTGTGTGTGTGTGTGTGTGTGTGTGTGTGACCAGGTACAATCAGATTTGGTAACAGGATCCCCTATAAGCAGTCCTCTGCATTCTTTTAACATTGTTTGCATCACTCAGTGAGAATGTCCCCTACTTTTCTAGTACATGACATTCTATGCTTCCAGAATATTTCTTGGTCCAGCCTCTGAACTTCATGGAGACAAAAGTTCTTATAACGGAGACACATATTGCTACGTAAGTCTGATTCCAGGCACGATGTATAAATAAATCTAAGAAATCCATATATACAGCCGGGCGTTGGTGGCACACGCCTTTAATCCCAGCACTCGGGAGGCAGAGGCAGGCGGATCTCTGTGAGTTCGAGGCCAGCCTGGTCTACAAAGGGAGTTCCAGGACAGCCTCCAAAGCCACAAAGAAACCCTGTCTCGAAAAACCAAAAAAAAAAAAAAAAAAAAAAAAAAAAAAAGAACAGATGTAGGTATATATGCGTGAGTTTCCATATTGACACAACAGCTATTTTTTAGCCCTTTAAAACATCATTGCCACAAAAGAAACAAAGAACTATTATACAGTTGACTAAACACAATGCAATATACATTCTAGACCAATGCTGCAACCCTTTAATACAGATCCTCATGTTGTGGTGACCTGCAACAATAAAATTGTTTTGCTGTTGTTATGAATTATAATGTAAATATTTGATATGCATGACATCTGATTGTGAAGTCATGACTCATGGGTTGAGAATCACTGTCCTAAATCATTATTTCAAATCATGCAAAATGAAAATGCAGTGGCTTTTGTTTCATTTTTGATAAAAGGTCTAGCTGTCTATAGCCAAAAATGACTCAAATAGCAATTCTGCCCATGCCCTTCAAATACTGAAACTGCAGGTGTATGGCAGGACACCGCCACCCAGATTTTTCTCTCTGTCCCTAAAGGACTTTATAGAGACAACTGACAAAATAAAAGAACGTGAAAAGCGTATATACATTGATGACAGCAGCAAGAATGAACACCAACAAGGCCTGAATCAATGAATGAAAACTACCTAAATTAGAAATGGTATCTAAGACAAGAGTAGAAGTTAAACAAGGCCCAAATGAGTAATAGAACATTGTTATTTTACTCTGCCATTTACAATAATAACCACAGTCAATTAAGTCACATACAGAAATGACAATGTTAGTGTGATGACTGTAACATTAACATAAAGGGAAAGGCCATACTATAATGAGATTTTTTATTGCCAGCTAATCCTCATACATTTTATATAAGTTGATCTGTGACTTATCCAGTGCTCACAAATTATAAGGCCAAGAACATTTAAAGGTTAATGTAACCAATTAACAGAGCAAACAACCTCACAATGCCACAATACACCATAGTAGGAAGCTTAGCTTACCTGCTGAATTACTTCTGGGTAGAGCATGGGCAGTCTCTCTGCAATAAGAGCCAATCCACCCATTCCTGCGAAAACCTGTAATGGAGACTGAATGGGACAGGTTTCCAGCAAAGATTCGTCCAGTACTCCATCCATGCATTCATCACTTGGAGTAAGAGCTTCATCTTCTGGACAGCTACCAATTAAGTCTCCATGATCTGTATATTACACAAAAACTCAGTATGTGTGTTTGTACACAATATGCTTTCATTTATAAAACTTAGAAAGAGCAGGAATGATGAGATGCTCAGTGAGTATAAGCCTGAGTTTAATGCCAGAAATTCATAGTGGAAGGAGTTGTGCTCCCCAAAAGTTGATCTCTAGCCACCATATGTTGACCTCTAACCACACACAATGATAAGCAATTTTTGAAGTAAAAATAACAAAAGAGCATAAATACCATCAAAATATAATCCCAATTTCTAATTTATTGGCCAACAGCCATCTGTAACTGCAGTTTCAGAGGAATGACTCCCTTCTCTGGTCTCCTCGGGTACTAGGCACATACATGGTGCACATACATACAGGCAGGCAAAACATTCATACACATAAAATTTAAAAAATAAAAAAGTTAGGGCTGGAGAGATGGCTCAGAGGTTAAGAGCACTGGCTGCTCTTCCAGAGTTCAATGCCCAGCAACCACATGGTGGCTCACAACCATCTGTAATGAGATCTGGTGCCCTCTTCTGGTGTGCAAGCATACATGCAGGCAGAACACTGTATACATAATAAATAAATCTTTTAAAAAATATGCAAAAAGTTAAGGAAAAATTTAAGAAGCAGTTAAGAAAGTTAAAAATAATCCACCACAAAATTTGAAGGAAATGTACTAAATAATTTACAAAATAATAAAATACCCTATAACTAAGAACTTATCTTTAATCATGAGAATAATACAAAGTTTAAATGTGACTAAACATTCAAATGGTGAGATGAAAAATTAGAACTAGTACTCATTAAACAGTGGAGTAATATACACTTTGTCCTACTCGTATATAAAAATGTAACATATTTAAAGCATGCACATGTAAAAATATTTAATTGATTCTACAGGTAAAACAGACTAAAAAGTATTATCCCCTTTATAAATGTGGAAAATCTTTATGAACACTGAAAACAGTTCAGTATAAATGACCAGAAAATTAAAAACTAGGGTTATAACTTAACGATAAAATGGCAGCTATGTAATTCTCAAAAAAAAAAAAAAAAAAAAAAGGAGAGAGAAAACCTTATGTACCTAAATGAAATAGATGTAAAATAACTGACAAATTTAAAATTGGCTCAACGATAGTGAAAATGATGTCTTTGACCTAACAAACTAGTAAGTTGCTTTGTTACATACATGTATACATGTGCTGGGAAGATGTGGCATGCAAATGCATATTAGGAGGGGTCCGCCTTGGTTGTCATTTTTAGATGACACTGACCTTACTCTCCACCCTCCCACGCCCGGGGTTTTTAGACAGGGTTTCTTTGTGTAACAGAGCTGGCTGTCCTAAACTCACTTTGTACACCAGGTTGGCCTTGAATTCACAGAGCTCAACCTGCGTCTGCTGGGATTGAAGGTGTTTGCCACCACTGCTTGGCTGACCTTACTTTCTTGAGACAGGGTTTCTCTTTAAAACCTGGAGCCTAATTAGAGTAGGTGGGCTAATTGTTGAATGTTAAGGATGCTCTTGTATCCACCTCCCAGCACTGGGATGACAAGCAGAAGCCAGCACATTCAGCTTTTTTATGTGAATGCTGCAGATCAAACTTGGATCTTCATGCTTGCCCAGCAAGTTCTTTACTGACTGAACCACCTTGCCACCACTGAGTTGAAAGGTTTTTTTTTTTTGGTTTTACGAGACGGGGTTTCTCTGTTTTGGAGGCTGTCGGTCCAGCCTGGCCTCGAACTCACAGAGATCCACCTGCCTCTGCCTCCCGAGTGAGTGCTGGGATTAAAGGCGTGCGCCACCAACGCCCGGCCTGAGTTGAAAGTTTTAAAGGAGTATCATGTGCATACCTTTTTCGGGGTGGAGTCTTTTAAAAGAGTCTGTTTTGGACAAACTTGGATCTGTAATGACTTTTGATCCCAACTTAACAGTAAGGTCTATTGAACGGTAACCTTGAGGAAGTTTCCGGTCATAGAGAAGAGTTAAAAGCTGCGCAAGCGTCATTTCAGCTGGCAACGGCTGACCTAAAATATAACATAACTAAGTTAAAACAAAATCTGGAAGGGAGACACTTTTACTTGGCTTAACTTTCTTAATTAACCAATTATTTTTATTAAATCATGGGCAAAAGTTTGATAAATATACCAATTTCAAAACAGTTTAAAATCACCCATGGCAAAGTCTAAAAAAGTCAAATTGTTTCACACACACACACACGCGCGCGCGCAGGAAAAAAAAATCTGCAGAATACCAAGATCAAATCACAAATGAAAGAGCAGATATTAAAAAATCTAACATCTGCAAATATTTTCATAGGAGGCTTAGATAACAATAGTTTGTCTCTAGCTAAGGATTATACATTAAACATAGGCAAACATATTCTACACACCAGTCAGTTTCTTAACGTCTGTTATAAATTTAGATGTGGAAGTTAATAAAGAGTATCATTCCTTGTTAGTTGGCAAAATGAATATTACATTAGCAGATGAAGAGCCCTAGTCAAAGAATTTTATCTGGGGAGAGTATTTTAACTGTCAATGGTCTATCTTGGAATCCTCAGCTAGAATTATGCCTGTAAAGCCTGTCTGATACTACTTCTTCATCTCATATTCTGTGCTTACAGCAAAGGTAAAGAAGACATCAAAGTGAGGGAAAAAATAATTTTGTAACAATGAAACAGACATTTAAAAGGCTGCCCTCTTTGTTGACTTATTTTACCTAAAAGGACCTATGTAGAAACATCTGCAGTACCTCATTTAAGCCACCCAAAGTAAGACTTGCAGTTTCTAAGTGTCAGAATCTGCTCTGGTGTTTGCTCATCATGAACTTTACCTGCTAAGAGTCTGTGAAACAAGTGAAACACTGGGACAGTGATTATTTTGTTGGCAGTGTCTGCACTTGAGGAAGTACTTCCTATTTTGTCAGGAATTGCTCTTCCCCTCCTGGATGGTGGTCGAGGTGGTGTAGCAGACACAGCACGCTTAGATTGTGACTTCAACCCTTAAAGATATTATTGGTTAGGTTTTTTTATTTTTTATAGTTAGGATATAAATAAAAGTTTCTAAAATGTTCTAATAAAATAGACATTTCTAACTAACATCAAATCATTTATACAGATCTAAGCTCCCAATTCCATTTGACCTTCATGATATGCTGTAATTTTGGCTTTCCATCTATAATTGCCAAGAAAATGATAATGCAAGCGGCCATCATCTATTAGATACATATGGCTATTCATACAAAACAGTAGTTTTGGAAAACTGGTATAAAAGACCTCATGTTTATTTAGTGGATAGGCAGTATCTATACTATTCATACATGTTCAATTCCTGCTGGAGTATAGTAACCAAACTTTAGTCAATAAACAGAGAGGTAATTCTACAGACAATCATAGACTTCTGATACAAGATTTTAAAATGTAGTATTAAAATAGAAGTCCAATTTCCCATAAGTGTACTTACTTCATTATGTTTCTGTAAATACACATCATTGTATTATACTAGAAAGCAAGGAAAATAAAGATGACAGGAAGTATAAAGCATACCAGAAGCAACAACAACGCTGTAGTTGTCCTGAAATCCATTTTCTGCCTTAACCTTTTCTTTCTCTTCATGGTTCTTCTTCTCTTTATCATCTTTTTGCTCACTGATTAGCTTAGCTGTGATACTTGGAGTATCTGTAAGAAAAAACTGTCTACAATACAGTGCTTTGCTACATTATCCAGAAGAAAAGCAACATTATTAGTTTTTTTAATAGTAAGTTGCTATTTCCAAGTTAAAAAACAAAAACAAACTAGTTAAAAATGCAGTTATTATAGCATATTAAAATTCTATTGTATTCTTTGTATAATTAAAATTCTATGCAAACTAGAAAACAATCTTTTTCTTGCTATGACACAGGAACTCACTCTGGTGCTAAACTCTAATTTCCAGGCTACAGTGATCCTCCTGCTCCAGACTCCAGAAACGTTTTTACCCCCATAATTCTTTTCTTCTATAAAAGTGAGCAATTTCACCCACATGGCTTGACTTACTACCTGCAAATATTAACAAACTTTCTAACTTTTTCCATTTCTTTAGGCACAGAATCCTTCATGAACTTGCATGTCATCCTTGTACTGGGGCACTGCTAATGTCTGTATCGTTCTAATTCTAGTATACATGCTGTTCCAGTCTTTTCAAGCTGTCTTTTATTTTGAGCTTTGGATTTTCATGTGATAAACGAACAGCTCCCACTTTTTCTTTCAATAATTTCCTTAAGTCCATAAATAGAAACTATTTTTATACCATAACACATATATATTATTAGTTTAAAGTCTACAACACATGAACATAGTTGGTTTTAGAGACAAAATGGGTCATTCTCACAATCACATCACCAAAGAAAATCACAGTTCTTTTTCACAGAAAATAATCATTTTATTCAATCAATAACTAGGACTTCCAAGAGGCAATAAACTCTATCTAAAGCTGATGTTCACAGTGTCATTAAAAGCAGCTTTTTCCAGCCAGGCTTAGTGGTACACGCCTTTAATCCCAGCACTCAGCAGGCAGAGCCAAGTGGATCGCTGAGTTCCAGACCAGCCTGGTCTACTAAGTGAGTTCTAAGACATGCTGTTAGAAAGAGAACCCTAGCTTGAAGAACAAAATAACAAAAAAGCAGCTTTTCCTTATCACAAAGTTATATTGTTTGCAAGCACCTAGGAGAGAATGTTCCTTCCATTTTCTTCACGACATTATGAACAATGAGGTAACTAGGTAATCCTACTCCTTTTACTTTCACTTTTCAATTTCTTGATTTTACACATAGATTCAGGAAATACTTATTAATTTGAATCCTGCCATCCATATACTAATGTAACTACATAGGACCAGATGGTTATGTGTGGGAAAAAAACCACCAATGATTTCCAGTGACTGTTCGCACTTCCAGCTTTTGTGCTGTTATCACAAGACACAGCTGACATCATAGCTAAGACTATTATTGCCTGGAGGTAATAGTAATTATTACTTGCTTAATGAGTATTGTGTTCTCTTTTCAAGCTATGAAGATACATATTTTTTTTTCTGGTTGTGAACAGTTTCTGAATAGGTGGGAAACAGTAAAGTTACAAGGGATTGAAGAGATGGCTCAGTGACTAAGACTAAAAAGGTGTGTTGCTTTTGCAGAAGACTCAGTTCAGTCCTCAGCACCCACACAGTGTCTTAACAACTGTCTCTAACTCCAGTTCCAGAGGATCTGATGCGCTATTCTTGACTTTATGGACACTGCCATGTATGTGGTTCAGACATATATATATATATATATATATATATATATATATATATATATATATATAAGCAAAATCACCATATACATAAAATAAAAATGAATCTTACTCTTTAAGCTCAATACAAAAAACACGATTAAAGAAAAACTTACCTGAAACTCTATCAAGAACATCTGACAATGTTGTTGAGACTGGCAAATGAAGAGTACGAAACTTATGACCTGCTCCATACATGGGGTGTTGGATAACATGGCTAGTTGCATTAATTCTCCCTTTGTACAGCTGAGAAAATATTAAGAAGTGTTTTAGGATACATACCATTATGAACCAATTTCAAAAGCATGAAAGAATACAAAGTTCAATAATGTATACAAAGTAATTTGTATAGTTTCTGTATTTCAGGCATGGTTTTCATAGAAACAATGCTCTTAACTGTAGAACCATGTCTCTAGCCCCCTCTCCTCTTTAGCAATGTAGCAACTCTACAGTTAAGAGCACTTGTTCTTACAAACGACCTGGATGTGATTCCTAGCACATACATGGCAGCTCACATAACTAGTTCCATGGATCCAATGCCCTCCTTTTCCTCCTTGGACATCAGACCCACATATGGTACACGGACATATATTCAAGCAAGACATTCATACACATAAAGTATAATGAAAATTAAAAAAAAAAACAGAACAGAACAGAACTCACTATGAGTTCCCTAAAAGTATGCAAGTTATACAGGCATGTAGGTAATCATTAAGATTACTCACTGGACATGGTGACTGAAGAAACATTGTCACCTTCTCATCCTCCAGCATCAATTGTAAGAACAGTCTTCGTACAAACCCTGAAATATTCCCAGATGTTGGAAGGCTACCCCTTTGAGGAGCTGTCTGAAACAGTTCACAGAGAACCTGGCAAGGCAAAAATTTCAAAAGTTAAGTGGAAGATTGGAGGTTTTTACTCTGAAAAATAAACGAGAAATTTAGAATGAAAACTAACAAAATGGGTTTTGGTCTTTTTGTTTTGTTTTTGTGTGTGTGTGATTTTTTGTTTTATTTTTCCCTATGAAGCCCTGGCTGTCCTGGAACTCACAGAGATCTGGCTGCCTCTGCCTCCTGAGTGCTGGGATTAAAGATGTGTACCACAACCACCCAGCTAACAAAAGTATTTTAATGCATTGAGTCTACAAATAAAATACTTTATATTAAAATATGAGATAAACATGCGGAAGGAACTGGCAATAGGGTGGGAGGATGGGGGATGGTGGGGGAGTGCGGGAGGAGGGGAGGGAGAGGGAACTGGGATTGACATGTAAAACAAGCTATTTAAAAATAAAATAAAAAAAAAGAAAAAATGAGATAAACAATTGAAAGGGTAAGAAACAGGCCAGTGTGATGGCACATACCTATAATCTTAGCACCCAGGAGGCAAAGGCAAGTGGGTCTCTATGAACTCAAGGACAGTCTAGTCTACTTAGGAAGTTTCAGGCCAGTCTACACAGCAAGACCCTGACTCACAAAACTAAAACAAACAAATATTTCAAATAGCTGATAGGTATGCTTAGAGTTGATCTTTGACATAAAGATTAGATCTGGAAAATGGTGGTGCAAGCCTTTTATCCCAACACTCGGGAGGCAGAGACAGGCAGATCTCTGTGAGTTCAAGACCAGCCTGGTCTACAGAGCGAGTTCCAGGATAGCCTCCAAAGCCACAGAGAAACCCTCTCTCGAAAAAACAAAACAAAACAAAAAAGATTAGATCTAGCACAATGTCGTTATAACATACTAAAAATTACTTTTACAAAAGCTTTTAGTCAGGTATGGTCACCCATGCCTTAATCTCAACACTGAGAAGCAGGTTAAGTCTTTGAGTTTGAGGCCAGCCTGGTCTACAAAGTGAGACTGGGGATGGAACGGGGGTGTTGGTTTTGCATTAAAAGCAAAGTCTTTCTAAGAAACAATGACAATGAAGTCAGAAATCAGAGACACAGCAACTCAATGCACTCAAAGCACAGCTCTAACTTTTAAATATTGAAAATTATGGCCCTGGTTTGAGCTTATAATTCAAGCACTCACTTTTAACTAACCATATTAAGGAGAGAGGAATTTTCCTTACTACTATGAGCACTAATGTTCTTTGCTTTTCTACTTAATAAAGTCAAATCATTCTGATATTTATAAAAATTTGGAATAATAGGAATACGCAATCTCCATTGACAGGGAGAAAAAGAAGCTTTCTCCTGTTCATCAAACACCCCTATTTTACAAAGGCTTTATGCTGAAGTGTTTATACACAATAATGTCTGTGTTCAAAAGTCCCTAACAGAGCTATTAGTCCTGATATATATACATTAAATAACTTGCATAAAGCCAGAGCTGCAGAACTCAGCAAGACAAAAAAAAAAAAGTTCCAGCAAATATCCTTAAACAATTCTACCTTGCAAAACCGTTGGCCATGCACACTAACTCCAATAACTGTCTATAGTATCCAGATGCTCTCTCTTGAAACTTCTCTTTTTTTTTTATTAAAAATATTTTATTTATTTATTGTGTATACAGCCTTCTGCCTGCAGGCCAGCAGAGGGTACCAGATCTCATTCAAGGTGGTTGTGAGCCACCATGTGGTTGCCGGGAATTGAACTCAGGACCTCTGGAAGAACAGTCAGTGCTCTTAACCGCTGAGCCATCTCTCCAGCCCTTGAAACTTCTCTTAATGTCTGTGTGACAAGAGGCAAACCATGACCATGGCATTCTGGTAATACCAAAAAGTCAAGAAAGTTCCAGCATCAAAACTACATTCTTTTACGCTTGTTCTTAAACTAAGGAATTTTGGGAGCATCAGATTTAGCTAGAATAGTCATGAATTTCGAGTCACCTCATCTTAAGATGTAATGGATTTTAAGAGCATAGATCTCAAAAAGAGGGAAAAGACACGATATTTCAATTGTGCTTAGATTCTGATAGTTGCATGTACTTAAAACCAAGCTTTATTATCATATGGCCCTCAATTAACCATTTCCAAAGCACTATACTTTCTCCTATTAGTAAGGCCCCATATAAACTCTAAGATGGGCTTTGTTCTCACCTGTGCCATCAGCTTTTGATTATTAGGGTGACATGAAATACACTGCAGAAAGAAGGCAACAGTTGCATTCTCAATGGCTGTCCGTTGCTGAGTAGTCAGTCCTGTTGTAGTAGCTGAAGAATGAGAAGCTGACCTTGTGCTGCTCTGTTGTGACCCTAAATTATGTCCTCCAGCAGTGGACCCAGAGTGACATAATAGAAACAGAAGTGCTGTCCATAGTGGATTAACTTCAGAACCACCAAGCCAATCTTTCATAATATGGCTATTGCCAACTTCAGTCAAAAACCTAAGAATAGGAGCAACTAGGTCTGCTGTGATAGGCATCTTATTACAGTGCTGTGGAACATGATGCCGTCGGAGTTTGTCCTGGGAATTATCTATTGACTGAGCAATGCTTTCAGAGTAGGAAATGTGGCTAAAACAAAAACTAGCCAGACTCCTCACAAGAAGGGAGGGCAACCCTGAGTCTAGCAACTGTTTAATAGCTTCTGGAGACTGAGAAGAGGAAGCAAGAGTTGCTAAATGGGATTCAGTTAGTGCAAGAGGTGCTTGTGCATTTTTGGAGTCATCTGTCAACGAAGAACTAAGATCTTGCTTCTTGCTGTCATCTGTCATGGACAGTCTATGATGACACTGCACTGGAGGAGGGATAATTCCCATCCAGCCCATGAGCAAGGAAAAATAATTTGGATGTATATGGCACATGGAGCAAAGTAGACTGTCAACAGCTTTCTTCAAAACCATGTTGCATGGAAGAGACATGGACCAATTAAAAAGTAACCTAGAGAAAGAAAAGATACCACATGAATAATAGCTTTTTTGGAAAACTCTTACTAGAGACTAAATATAACAACAAAAACACAAGTTTACTTGACATTTCCAGCTCTTCTCCCACTCCTTTTCTTTGAGATAGAGTCTCACTGTTTATCCTTGACTACCCTGAAATTCACTAGGTATACCACCTTCCTCTGTCTCCCAGTGCTAGGAGTAGAGGTGGGCAACCATCTCTGTCAATCTAGAAGTTTCCTCTTGTACTCTCCCTCTACAGTTGTACATTAAAGAAAAATTTAGCTGACAAAAGACTTACAAGTAATAATGTAAAGCAATCAAATGATATCTTATTTGAAAAGTACTATTTCATATTTATTATTTCCTATATTATTACCAATGTAAGCATTATGACTGCTTGTGAGAAAACTCCAAGAAAACAAGACTCTTGTCTTATGACTTCAGTTAGTTTCTGTGCTCCTGCCAGTGTAACAGATAGGGGTGAATTTACTTCAGCTGTCGTTATTCATATGCCAACATGGAAAAACATGTTTTTTGCCATGTGTGGCTTTTCCTTGTGATTGTATACTGTAATCAAATGACTCTCTTATGTCCAAAGCTATGAATAAAATTGGATATTGCGTGAGACTTTAGTCTGCCTTTACACTCCATTTTCTTAGAATCCCACCACCTTTAGAGCAGAAAACAACTACTAAAACAGGAGGAAAAAAAAAACCTCTACATATCAAGTGAAAACATACAGTAACCTAGCATTCAAGGAAAGAGGGTGGACTGTCACTCAGACTTACTCAAAGAGCTCTCGGTCCAGCAGTGCTGGCAAGTCATATTCTACAAGCAGTTCATAACTGTGCCAAAGGATGGCCGCGACACAGTGCAGGTGAGACGGGGACGGCATGAGAAGGCCATACTCAACAGCGGGGGAGCCCGCACACACGTAGTTCATCCTGCCACTCCTCTTCAAAGCAGCCATTGTCGCAGAGTCACTGACCCATTTTAGCAAGGCCTGAATTCTTCAAAGAAAACAAAGTCCAGTAATCTACAACTGATATTTGACAGAAACAAGATCTTTACTTGTAAATTAGTCCTGGAAAGGAAATATTGACTTAGAATTCCATTTTTAGCTCAAAAACATTCAAAATATGTCTAAAAATATAGAATCTACACTTAGGTTCCATTATAGAAAGCATATAAATAGCTATCAATAAATAATACTTGCTTTAACTTTTGTGAAGCCTTCCTAAGAGAGAGTATTAACTTCAATTTGCTACAGCATATTTGTGATTAAATGAAAAACCAGTACCAACATATATACCTGTCTTTAGTTCCAGGATCCTGAGTTGTGCCAAGCTGGTAAAGAATATCTATTGTAGAATCAGAGGAAAGTCCATTCAGCCTTCCAAAAAGTAAAGGACTATTCAAATCTAAGCCAATGGAGGGAAGAAAGTTTTTAAATTAGCCAACTTAAAATGGAACATAGGCTTAAAATTATAAGTCATTAATTAAATGTCAGCTGTAATAATGAGAAAACAGTTCAAGAGTAACAAAGCTCTAAGAGAATTCATTTCAAAAAAGTTAATTACAAACATCATATAGTCCAAGTATGATTACTATGCAGGTATGTAAAAATTGTAAGGGCAAAGTCAACAGTCACCTGTAGGATCACTGCCTGATGCTGCACAATTTCTCAGGAGAATGTCTATAAGCTTCAGGCCAATTCTAGTGGACTGCAATCCAATCTTTACAAGTACAACCTCAATGTTGGGTGAATGCATTCCACAGTATGGTGACATCAGTAAGGCAGCACAAGTCTGTAGCAGATTGGCGGTAGGTGCAGCTGCACTGGCCATCATTCCTTCTAGATCACTTATATGAGTAAGGCAATGATGTAATAATCGTAACCATCCAATGCTGAAATATAGAATTCAAAAATATGTGTATGGTAACGTAAGTACCCCAAATTATTGCAAGAATAAAACAAAATGGGCCAGGCGGTGGTGGCGCACGCCTTTAATCCCAGCACTCATGAGGCAGAGGCAGGCGGATCTCTGTGAGTTCGAGGCTGGGCTGGACCGACAGCCTCCAAAACAATACAGAGAAACCCTGTCTCATAAAAAACAAAAGACAAAAGAAAAAACAAAAATGATGAGACCTGGCTTTAAAAAGTTCTGGAATATTGGAAACACAGTGTTGAATTACACACACCGCAAGTTTTCCCTATGGATAATGAGCACATCACTTAAGAACTACATATTTGCTTTTAAAAAGTCAGCAATGAACTTTGTTCTTTTACATATATAGAGTAACATAAAAATTCATAAAAATAAAGAAATCCTAAATATTTGATAACAAATTTAATGAAACCAATCTATCAAATGTGTGACTAAAATAATACTCTTATAAACTGACATTGATAAATTACCAAAAAGATTGGTTCACTGTTTGTATAAGTAAGTTTTTATCTATGGTTCAAATATTTCCTACTACAAGGGACTTGAGAATCCCTAACCCCAAGACTATAATCTCAAAACTGAAACCTACAAAAACAAATAAACATACACATAGCAAGAGTCAACTCAAAGCCTAAACACATAAATTTCAACTTATTGTTTCATTGTTACACCTCTACAAAATTATAATAGCACACCTCATACAAGTAGGTGTTATACAAGCACCGACAGCAACAACTTACTACGATCTAACACAGAAAATATTTCACAGAACAAATCATTTCTTCCCCCTTTTTAGAGAGTCTCTCTATATAGCGCTGGCTGTCTTAGAACTCACTCTGCAGACCAGGCCTCAAACTCAGAGATCTTTTAAGAGTAAGAATTAAAAAATTAAAAAATAAAAATAAAAAAATACCTTGTTTTGGAAACTTGATCTTCAGATGGAAGAAAGGGATTATTAACTGTGGCTGAGGAAGTGGTACCAAAAGCAGTGAGTCCTAATAATTTAATCTGAGAAAGGCCTAGTGTGCTGGCATCCCGAGGACGATGTAGTCGGAGGCAGACAGCAGAAGCTACCTCAGCTTTAACAAGCTGAATTTTTATGTAGGTGAGACCACTTGTGACAACAGGAGTCGACAAAGGTAGCATATTAATCCCATCTGCACTTACTTCAACAGACACTGAGGATGGGCAGGCTACAAGAAGAGAAAATGAAACATTCACACATACACAAAAGTAAACTAGATACCATGCTCTAATACAATTTCCACTAATTTACCAGCTTTCAGATGTATACACTATAAACTTGCCGAATGGACTATTTATAACATCATAATTTTGGATATTTTTAAAATGTGATCTTTAATAATTAAAATAATCATAAACATTAAGGAAATAATAAAAAATACTAAGGAAATAGTAACTACATATTTCAGTACTTATACCCAAAAGGAAAAATATCCCAATATAACAGACCATTACTTATTATTCCTGTTCTAACAAATCTATCAAGAGCAATAAGGACTACATTAAGTTAATATTAAGCTTAGCTGTTTAAAATAATTAGTGAAGAACAGAATAGTAATACCACTTGGTTCTAGACTTCATAGTGTAATTTGCAACACTGTGTTTAAATGTTCAGTTAATTTTAACCCTGAACCACAGAGCCTCGAACTTTAACAGTAAACAATTCTTGCTACTTAAGTGAGGTAACAACAGGCAACTCCTACAGAGTCATTACTATATTCAGCATAGAACAGAAACCTACAGACCAAACATACCTATCAAAGAAAAATCCTGAAAATTGGTTTTAGTATAATTTTATTAAATGCTAAATGTAAGGATTAGAGAAATTTAAAAAACTTTGTAAACTGTAACTTTAAAAACATTTTAAGAAACTATTAGCTATATTTTACAGGAGTGATATAGTACAAGAATTCAAAAATATGAAATTATCACCACTATTTAATAATAAATTATTCAATTTTCGCTAGAACACATATATTTAATCTCTGCCCTAATCCAACAGTACTTTGTTAAGCATAAATATCTGCTTTCCCTACCTTCACTGTACTTGCTGTCCTAATTCCCATTTAAACAACCATTCTTCTTCTAAATAAAAACTCTCAATTCAGGCCCACCCAACTAAATTTCAGTTCACTGTGGCTGAAGGCAAGTTAAGAAAGACTACTATAGATTGAAGCTAGAGCCTAGTAAGAAAATGCCCCATCAAAAAGCTACATCACTAGATCATTTCACTGTTTACATGTTAAAACTTGGTCCCCCTAAGTTGCTCATTAATTATGATGCTCACGCAGACCCTCAATTTCAAATCCTACTGCCTGAGTCTAAGTAGCTAGGGATAGAGACCTATGCTATCCTGTCAAGCAGTACTTTGTCTTTTAAAATAGTTTTTGAGCTGCTAAAGTAAGGTTTTAGTCTATGTTATTCAACTTTGTTTTATTTTATACGGTGATACAGGCTATCCTCAAGATAAAAACTCTCCCATATCAAGCACCCCTGAGATGAAATTGTGGGCACATGACATTATGCCTGACTTTCAAGTTATATTAATTGTAAGTGATTAGGTAATAGTTTGGATAACATAACTAAATAATAGTCTACCTTTCCAATGAAATTATTCTTTCAAACACAGTAAGAATCTATGAAATCTCTCAGTTTTCATCCCACTGAGCGACACTGGATAACAATGAGAATGAATGCAACAGTGTCAATATAAACTAAGTATTCTGAAAGAATCTAAATGACTTTAGAGTGAAAAATGGTATCAAATACTGTCTCTACCCAATCTGGAACTGATTTTCCAAATATTTCAAATAATTTACTTTAAAATGTTGATAAAAGTATCCAATTATCAACCAAATGAATTTTACAATAATGCAAAAAAAAAAGCAAAATCCAAAATGTCAGCATTTTATATAATAAGAAATTACTTGGTGATAATTTAAAATATTATACTCAAAACCGATTAAACACAGACGCAGGCAGGCAGGCAGGCAGGCAGGCAGGCAGGCAGACAGACAGACAGACAGACAGACAGACAGACAGACACACACACACACACACACACACACACACACACACACACACACACAGATATATCTGGGCTTGCTCAATAGTACTTCCCGTTTTCACCTGTTACTAAATTAATGTTATTCTCATGATGCAACATAAAACTCACTTGCAAGAGATGCAAGGTGAGGTTGAATATGTATCTCCTTCAGCAACACTGCTGAAGGCAGGTGGATAGTAAGGTCACACCAAGCCTCCTCTGGTAGAAAGATGTAGGACCAAGCAGCAGAACGAGCCCTGCGATGTGGTGGTGTGGCTTGCAAGAGCACCTCAGCTGGTTGGGCAGTAGGACTACTAGAGGTGATTGTACCTACAAAAAAAAAAAAAAAAACAAAAACAAAAAACCCATTTTACATAACATACAAACTTGTAAAAAGGTACAATAAGACAGTGAGAAATATTCACATAGGAAGAATATTAAACTATAAAAAAGAGCAGAAAATAAACATCTAGTGGAACTGCAACACTTTCATTCACCAAGCATGTCTATTATCTAAGTAACCCCAACAGTAAGACTGAAAGGTGACAAGTTCATTATTCAGATGACAAATGATTACTAGTGAACACAGCCTAGTGAAATTTTTAAATTAAGTAGAAAACTCTGTCCACTATACTTTTTACCATGAAAATAACTATAGTTTTCAACTGCTCATGGTAATGAAACAGCAATAAGAAAAGCAGTGTTAATATTTAAGTCCTTTCAAGCTGTTTAACATTTAAAGAGAAAACAGATTTAAAATGTCATAGGTGTATACAATGTACATCTATTTCAACTTGGAAGTTGAAGCAAAGAAACCCTTTTGCCTTAAAGAAAAATAAATTGTTAAAATCTTTTTTCTTAAATAGAATGTTTTGGTATTGACAGCCTATAAAAGCAACTGTTTATATTTAAAATGGTACTCATCTAATATCAACTGGAGTCAACAATTTTGTTTTACATCATCCTAAATTGACTCATGGTTGTAAGAATCAGGGCCGACTTTCTTACCTAGGGGTGCAAAGTTATGGATTCCTTCTGCGTTGTCAGGCTCAGAGGCGAGGATTCTTGTTTTCAAAGTGCTGTCAACAGCTTTATTTGGACCAGAATCAAGAAATTTCATAATAGTTGATACCATACTTCTTGCAGTATTCACAATAGCTCTTGTACTGGTAACCATATTGTTACAAATAAGCTGAACTCCACCTAAATTCACAAACAATACTAAATAAAAACAGTCCTAGGAACAAGACTGGACCATCAATAGTAAATGTTCAGAGACTAGAAAAATGAACACATAATACTACCAAGATCATGGTAAAATGATAGCATATGGGATTTTTATCTTACCCATATCATGGAATGCTTTCAAGGCATCACTAGTATCCAACACTCTCAAAATAAACCACAACAATGGTTCAGATAACTGGCAAGTAGCAAGAGAACCCTAAAAAGTAAATAAATACAATATGATTTTAGAAGTCCCTGTGGATTTGGACAATTACATTTCTTAATATGATCAAAATACAATGTATTACTAATGAAATAATTTAAACCTTAAATATTTATCCTAATCCCCTTTAACTAAGAAGAAACAAAGATAAATATTGAAAAGTTGTTTTTTTTTTTTAAGTAGTTCTTGGTAACATCTCAGAAAACATCTTGATAGTCAAATATGCAACCTCAGCAAATGAAGTTGAAATAGTAGCAGTACTTCCAGGACTATAAATATTTTCTTTTACTCTACTGGTTTTTCGAGACAGGAATTCGCTGTATCTTTGGAATCTGTCCTGGAACTCACTCTGAGACCAAGTTGGTCTCGAACTCACAGAGATTCACCTGCCTATGCCTCCCAAATACTGGAATTAAAGACATGCACCACTACTACCTGCCTTGAGCCACCACAACCCAGCTCCCTGTAGTCATTTTTTAAAAATACTACGCAAAGGAATTTTAAGTCTTCAATTTCTATTAAAACTGAAATAAAATTTACTTTGCTCATGAACTGCTATGTTATTTTCTAATACATTTTTCATAGATACTCTTGTCTATCTGATACAGAATTCTCTATAAGCACTACTATCAAACTGTTCTAATTACTGCAGCTGCTACTGGATTGAACGTACTTGTCTGCCCATGTATCCACAGGCCATGTAGGTCAAGATTGGCTGCAACATCATGTGGACTGTAGAGGCTTTCTTACTAAGTGTTGTCAATATGGTAAATAATCCATCTCCAACTGATATAGCATCTAACCCACCATGAAAGTTTTCATGTTTCGTGAGATGTAACCCACTTGCACCTAATTTAACAAAAGATAACACATTTTTTAAACGGCACATATAAAAACCAATAAAATTAAAAGCCAGTTTTAAAACAACACTAAAGGATGGGTGCCTAAGTCTCTTCCTCATGAATAATGAGACACACACACACACACACACACACACACACACACACACACACACACACACACACACACACACACACACACACACACACCCTTATAAAGACTAAAGTATCCATAGCAGTATCCAATATGATTTCGTGGGGGCATCATCATATATGATAGCTCCTGCTGTAGATAACTATAAAAAGGTGTCCTGTATGACTAAGAGCACATCACTCTAATGTTAGCACTGAGACAAAAGGAAAATATGGGATCTGGATTAAGAGCACTGTTTCCTCTTCCAGAGGACCCAGATTTTTGGCTGTTTTTCAAAACAGGTTTCTCTATATAGCCGTGAATGTCCTAGAATTTACTCTATAGATAAGGCTGGCCTCAAACATACAGAGATCTAGCTGTCTTTTGCCTCCTGAGAGCTGGGATTAAGGCTGTGCACCCCCCTCTTATGAGGACCCACTTTTGATTCACAGTGCCAACATGGTAACTTGCTCACAACTGCATATAACTGCAGTCCCAGGGGATCTGATACCCTCTTCTAGCCTCTGAGGGCACTGAATGCAGGTAATGCAGACACACATCCAGGTAAAACACCATATACATGAAATAAAACAGAGGACAAAGAAATACTAATAGGCAGAAACTATATCAGAAATTAACTGTCACATTTTGTTAAAAGTATTGAAGACACTTTTGAAAGTAATGCAATATATTAGTTTCCATATGGGTTAAACAATGGCATGTAAAAGTATAATGAAACAGGAGTCGTAAAAGCAAGCGGGAACGGGTACATCTTACTGGTATTTAATGCACTGAAATCATTGCAGGTATTTATATATAAATTACGGTACTTAAAACTAATGTTTTAATCTTGCTTTTCTTTTTTTCTTTTAGAGACAGAGTGCTTCCTGACCTATGTACACCATGCTGAACTCAAACCCACAGAAAGTCCTCTTCCTTTTCCTCCTGAGTGCTAGAAATAAAGGCATGTGCCACCCTGCCTGGTTAAGACCAATTTCTTAATTTACTTTGTTAGTGTTTCTCAGAATTTTTGAAACTGACACATACAATCTTTTGATAGTGCATTTCCTATAAAGCCACTCCATCAAAGTATCCACTAGTAACATAAGTTATTGTAAAAACCCTACAAAAAAGGTAAAAATAGGTATAGTACCAAGAGAAGATTAAGATTAATATTCCAAATACATACCAATTATCATTGCCATGGCACTGCTATTACACAGGCCTAGAGCAGACAAAATCTGGCTCATAATCTGTTGGTTGGCTAAGACTAAGTCAGCAACATAGGCAGGAGATCCTGGAATACTGGTATTGCTTCCGTTGACGTCTTTACCTCCTGAGACTTTTTCTTCATCTGAAACACTGTCTGTTGTATTGGCAGTCACCGACACTCTTGCACTGTATTCCCTATTGCTTGAAAGAGGCAACTGTACTAAAATGTTAACAAGCTTTAACAAATCAAACATGAGTTGATCTCTTGTCATTTCACCACAAACAGCTTTTGCATCACCTGGACGAATGAGGTTGGCAAAGAGTCCCCCAAAGCAGGCTCGAGCACCTACAGAGCTATCTGACCCACTCCTAGACATCACTTTGTCTGAGCAAGTGATATAGTGATGCACCAGGAAGGTGACAGACTCTATCACAGCAGAGATAGTACTGACTGAGACAGCTTCAAAACTCTGCTCCAGAGTAAACTCTAACAGCTTCACTTGAGCATCAAGAGGTCCTTGGCCTGTCTGGAAGGCCCCCCTGCAGAGAGAAACAGAGACAGGATTATTAAGAATTAAATCACTTTAGGTCATTTTGAGAGAAGTAACTATGACATTTCTTTTCATTTAACAGTTCTTTGAGCATTCCCGAGTTTTCCACTTTACTAAAGAAAATGAAAAATAGCTTCCCTTCTAAATTGAAAAGGGAAAATAATACAAGCACATAAAATTACCTTAAAGTAACATACTAAAGATTTTTTTTTCATAAAAAGTAGACTTTTGTATACTATGAGGACACTGGCTAACAAGGTAGTCTCTTTGACATCTACATGAATGACAATGGTCCAGGAAGTGTTTCTCAGGCTCGGTGGTATAGGGCTTGCCTTCAATGTACAAGGGATGCTCTAGGTGTTACATAATGGTGACAATTCACTGTTATGTGACAACCTATAACATTCAATACATTTCAAGAATTAACACAAACATGGCCAAAATTATTTTGACACACTGCATAATTTTGTTTACTTAGGATTTCTTTGTGAGTCAAAACTGTTATTTTCCTTGAGTTATCTTTTTGACATACTAATAAGAAATCAACCTTAGTTATCTATATATTCCAGAAGAATTTAAGTAATTTCAAACAACTTTCAGCTAAAACTTTTAACTAAGCTATGAGACCATTAAAACGCAGATTGAGGTCTGAATTACCATATTCCTACTTATAATATAGAGGACTTGAAAAAAATCCTACAACGAAATGAAATGAAATACACCAAGAAACACCAAATAAGTGCTTCCTCAACCAAACCATCCTCTGACCTATTTGTTCCAAACAAACCCTAATTAAAGTTAAGGGGATGTATTTGGAGGATTCCACATCTATTTTTACATCAGGACACATAAAGAACATGCTATCATTTACCTTTCTGTAGACAGTATATGAATTAGCTTGAGCAAAAGTTCACTGAATATCTGAGGACATGTTGAAGACAGATGCACTTGTAATCGAGTGAGAAATTCCTGCATGGCTTGTGTAGCTGTTGGACCAACCTGAAGAGAAAAGCATATTCATTGAAAACTACTGAGTGACAGGTACCTCCAAAGCAATGCAGAGAAAAAGTAAAACCTACCAAGCTATTTTAGAAATACATTTGACCACTAACCAAGTAGGGCTACCTAAATAAAAGCAGTACATTAAAACATAAATGAAATTTATATTAAGGAAATCTACAGTGAGATGCATGAAGCTCATTCCTGAGCACTATTTTTGAGATTCTATTTTTTTGTTTAGAGAATATCATTAATATCATAAAATGAATAAATTGTCAATTTTAATAGCATTATTAAATGAGAAACTGCAGAAAAATTTTAATCCCCCCAAATGCAATACTGTTTATTAGATTATTCAAAAACTAACAATAGCTGGGTATGGTGGTGCACGCCTTTAATTCCACTCTCAGGAGGCACAAGCAAGTGCATCTCTGTGTGATCAAAGTCAGCCTGGTCTACGTGGTAAGTTCCATTGACAGTCAGGGATATATACTGAGACCCTGTCTCAAAAGACAAGAACATAAACATGCCAAACAAAATAAATCTGCATATACAAAAGTTTTCTATCAGACTTTCAAGGCTACTTTTAAAGAATTACACTTTACAAATATGTTTACTAAAAGGTTTCAGAACATCACTAGTTAAAGACTGTATTACCTGAGGGCTGTGCTGATTTGTCCCGTGTGGACTGGTCCCAGAAAGAAATTTCACTAATACATGAATAAGGTTTGGATCTGAAACCAACAAATGAGCCGTAGTCTCCTGATTTCCAATAGAACTGCTGGAACCAGCTATTAAAAAAAGAAAGAAAGAAAAGGAAAGCAAAAAGGAAAAATTAAGGAAAGCAATAAATAACCCCCAGCAATAATGAAATACAGTTATTAATGAGCAATTTTTCATTGCAAAAAACAATCCTACATTCCTTATTAAAACAGAGTTCAATCACAAGGGCCTGTGGTGCAGGCCAGAATTCCCAGTTACTGGGGTTGTTGAAGCAAGAGGGGAAACCATGAGTTTAGGACTGCTAGAGCTACAAGCAAAAGAGTTCAAAGCCACATACGGTAACTCAGGAAGACACTTTATCATACCCAAAAGTACAAAGAGTATAGGGATATAGTCAGTGTTTACTTCATAGGCAAGAAGCCCTGAGTTCAATATTCAGAAGACAGATCTGGACTTTCCTCTATTCTCATCTACCTCATGTGTACTCTCACCTCTCTTAAGCCTGTAAAAACACATTGAGTACATAGAGTAACGACCTTACATTTCCAGAAACAAAAATACACACTTACTTGGAAACTTAAACTCAATTCTCTAAGAAAAATTGAGGGAAAAGCTATTTGTTATACACAGGAGATAGGTAACACACCATTACACTAATTTAATCATCAGTATCACAGAGTCATATGGGAGATAAAATACAAACCACAGAAAGCAGAACAACACTTCACATTAAATTATGTTTAAATAAACAAGGAATCCATCCAAATAGTGTCATAAAGAAAAATGGAATAACATACACCAACAACTTAATATTACAAATATTTTAAAGTACATGCCAGAGACATAAATAAAATTTTGAACTTACAGGTAAGCTGCATGTTTGTCATGAGTGTTAGGCTATGAAGCACAAGGCACCATGTCCGGAGTAAAGTATTTGGATACCAGGCTAGCACTGTGAGAAAGCTAGTTATTGATGCTACATAAAAGAAAAAGGGAAAATTTTTTTAGTCAGAACGACTGAATGTTTGTTAATAATTAAAACAAAAGACAAATTATTTCCTCACAATTACCTAGTATCTTTAAAATACAAAACAAAAATATCCCCCACTAAATACAAATAAAACTACAAGAGTCGGCAACAAGGGGGCTGGAGAGATGGCTCAGTGCACAAGAGCCTTTACTGAGCTGCATAAGGTTCCCACAAGATCACAAATGCATGGAACTGCAATCCCAGGAGAACTGATAACTCTCTGACCTCTGTGGATTCTAACACACATATACATACACTCAGAAACACACATACACACAAAGTTAAATAAGTATGCTAGAAAATAAATAACAAGTCTAAAGCTCAGCACATTACACACAACGAAATTTGCTATACTTTTCATCCTATGTAATTTGCTTATAAGTTATATTCTTTAGAACAAAAATCATATAAGAAGGCACACGGAAAAATCTGGGATACAGTAGATCAACTAAAATCATTAAAACTTCAGAAGAAAAGGGCAAACTCAAACTAATTAGGTAACTTGGAGGCCACAGGAAGAAGGAAGAGTAGAAGGTAGTGGTGCACCCCTTTAATCTCAGCACTCGGAAGGCATATACAGATCTCTGTGAGTTCAAGGTCAACCTGGTCTACATAGAGAAACCATGTCTCCAGGAAAAAAAAAAAAAAAACAGAGCAGAAGGGGGGAGGAGGGAAAGATACAACTGGAGAAATGGCTCAGAGGTTAAGAGCACTGGCTGACCTTCCAGAGGTCCTGAGTTCAATTCCCAGCAAGGTGGCTCACAACCAGCTATGAAGATGCTTTCTTCTGGAATGCAGGCATACATGCAGAAAAATTTTCATATCGAAGGTAAAGGAGGGGAGGAGAAGAGGAAGAGGGAAAAAAGACAATCGAAAAAGAAGAGGGGAAGGGAGGAGACAGAGAGACACAGCAGAGCAGAGCAGCTGGGGAAGTCTAAGAAGTTAATGAAAGTGCACGATGCCCATCAAATATAGCAGTCTGTGCAGGACCAGGGTCCGAACAGCTTTTAAAACATGCTGCAGAGCCGGGCGGTGGTGGCGCACTCCTTTAACCCCAGCACTAGGGAGGCAGAGGCAGGCGGATCTCTGTGAGTTCAAGGCCAGGCTGGACCAACAGCCTCCAAAACAATACAGAGAAACCCTGTCTCGAAAAACCAAAAAAAAAAAAAAAAAAAAAAAAAAAATGCTCCAGAGATGCTTGCTGACAGCTATAAGGAAGGAAACACTGGGAGTTCTGAAGACCTGGAATGCCAAAAGCAGATACATTTTAAAATCAAAAAACAAAAGACCATCTTATTGCCCCCAAATGGCACAATTTTCAAGTTCAACAATTAGAACCATTAGAAATATTCATTTTGAAACCTCTAATGTTTCTTACCAAAACAAAATACAAAAACAAAACTATAAAGACTAGGAGTGACATGTGCTTTCAATTCCAGCCCTTAAGAAGCTGAGGCCATAAGTTTAAATAAGGCCAAGCCTGACAAGAACAATGGGGGGAAAGGAAGGTAGGAAGACAAAAGGAGGAAGAAAGGGAGGGGAAAAAAAATCGAGATGGGGAGGGGGGAGGAAGAAAGGAGGAAGGAAAAGGACGGGAAGACCTAACCAGCTCAGCTTTTACGTTTTTAAGATGTATTTAGCTTTATACGTATGAGTGTATGCCTGGACATATGTTGTGTACCACCTGTCTTCTTGGTGTCAAAAAAGGTGTGGTAGATCCCCTATAACTGGAGTTACGGATTGTTGTCAGTCACCAAGTGGGTAATGGGAACAAAACCTGGGTCCTCTATGAGAACAACAAATGCTCTTAACTGCTGAACTGTCTTTCCAGACTCTGCAGGCCAGCTTTTAGAAAAGTCTCTTGTCAGCTATGAAAATGGTTACTCTGGAACAAAAAAAAATCTCACAATCATCTCACAATCTTCAAATCTTCCAGGATTCCTAGAAAGGCCAAGGGTAAATGCCTAGCCAATCACCAAGTACATAAAAGGCACAACTCTGAAGAAGCATTGCTTACCACCTGTCACTACAATCGTGGAGAGGGTTGTTTGCTTAAAAAAAAAGTAATGCACAAAGGAATTAAGTGTCAGGATATTGTACGTATCCAGGTGAACAAATAATCAGGGCACATTCCTGTACTTACAGACTTCATGAGGGAATTAACCCAAACATGAGCTTCATCTGCCAGAAGTGGACAAAATCCTTACTAAAATAATTTCAAAAGCAGAAGTAGAAACAGAAGAAATATAGCCCCAAAGAATGAAGAAGCAAAACCTTACAGCATGGAAAAAAAATACACCACAAAATTAATGCAAATGGGATGGAGGGATAGCTCAGAATGGAAAAGCATTTGCTGTACTAATCTAAGAAATCAAGTTAAAATTCCCAGAACCCATATGAAAGCTGAAAGCACAACACCTACAACCCCAGTTAGTATTAAGCCGAGACAGGAGAATTGCTGCGGCTTGCTGACTGCCAACCTAGATACAGGTTCAATAGGAGCAAAATGATAGAGTAGGACCTGATGCACTCCTCGGCACACACAGGACGGATGGACAGACAGACTGACATGACAGAGACAAACACACAAACGTCTATGGATAGAGATGAAAAGGAGAATGGGAGGGGAAAAGGTAGGAGGAGTAGGTAAATCAAAGTTTGTTTTTTTGTTTTTGTTTTTGATTTTTTTGGTTTTTTGAGACAGGTTCTCACTATGCAACCCTGACTATGCTGAAGCCCACTACCATAGTCCCAGGTTGGCCTAAAAGCCACGCCAGACCACCTGACTAGAAACATTAGCCAGGTCTAAATACTTATTTACTCGCTTAAAATTTTGAGAAGGGGGCTTCTGTAGATTTAGCTGGTCTGTAAATTGCTATGCGGGACAGGCTGGCCTCAACCTCACAGAAATCTACCTTCCTCTGCTCTCAAATGCTGGGAGTAAAGGCATGAGCTGCCACACCCACCCATACAGCACTTCTTTCACCAAAACAATAAAACCCTAACAATAAAGACAATGTACATTTTAAACTAATTGTGACCATTTTAAAAACTTGCTATTTACATTATATTAATAGTTTTCTAGCTAAGAAACCTTACCTTGATTTAATGAGATAACAGGTATTCGATTAGCATTATATAAAAAAATATCTGCTCCATTCTCTTTGTTCCCTGAAGAACTAGAATTAAGGCTCAATGTGAGCCACAACTGAAGAAGTGATTCCAACTTTAAGAAAAAGAAAGAAAACTAAGAAAGGGAAAATGTACTTACATTACAAAGTACCATGTAAACAAAAAAAAATAAAACTTTATGATTATAAGCTTCTCATATTCTAGCTTATTTTAATTTGGTTCACAAATAGATCTTAAAATTCTTGAACTGTAATTTAATTGAAATAAAATTTGTAAATCCCCTCATACTCCATGTTTCCCTCAATGAACACTGGGTAAGTCGATTCTTTTTAATCACGGGTTTATACATACACAGCAGAAAGAAAATTACCAATGCATAAATTCATGATAACTAACGAGGGACATTATTAAGTATTTCCAAGATTTTTTTGATTAAATTTTACAACAACAACCAAAAAAAAATCATGATGGCCAGGTCATTTATGAGTTTTCCATTCAGTTTCATGCATTAATAAAAAAGTAGTATGTCAAAATTCATTGCTGTTTTCTTAAAGTCTTACCTGAACATGATGGACTTGAAGCATGGAAAAAAGTTTATTGAAACAAACATTTAACATTGGAACAGAAGATAACTGTATAATAAGCTGGCCGTTCTGGTTTGTTGCTTGTAAACTCCCTAGAAGTGAATCATCTGTTCCGGTTGGAGATTGTGAAACTGAAAGTCAATCACAAGTACCATTTTATAAGCAAGCATCAGAACACATGTGAATTGATCAACAGTCAGGATCAGGCTAAAAACTTTTTATCTAAGTTAAACTCTGTACACCAGTTCTATAATAGTATTTGGGGAAGCTATTTATGAATTATTAGATATTTAAGAAGTCAAGAAAAAGAGAAGCTCCCAAATTCACAACACTAATCTCTAATACTTTTCTAAAGTTAATAAAAAGAAAGCCTTGACTACTTATTAACAAGGAGTAATATTCCTACTGTGCTGTTAAACTTAGGATATAGCATTCTAGAAGAGTGCTCTGCCACTGATGTAGACCCACAACCCTGTACTTTATTATTTCTTAACCTTGACTACACTTTACAATCAACTGAATCGCTTTTGAAAGTTTGCTTCTCACATCACATGGGGAGCAGGGAATATAAAAACAATGGAAATTTTTTATCATACATTAAAAATATTACTACATTAGCCGGGCATTGGTGGCGCACGCCTTCAATCCCAGCACTTGGGAGGCAGAGGCAGGCAGATCTCTGTGAGTTCGAGGCCTGTCTGGTCTACAGAGCGAGTTCCAGGACAGCCTCCAAAACAATACAGAGAACCCCTGTCTCGAAAAAACGATAGATAGATAGATAGATAGATAGATAGATAGATAGATAGATAGATAGATAGATAGATATTACTACATCAAAAAGGACACACTTGAGTGTAAGACAATAGTCAAGGGCGGAAGATTAATAGAACTATGTATTGCTTCAAATAAGGCTTCCAATAAATTTTAAATAAGCAATATCAAATAACAAAATGGGATCTTGGAGGGACATGTCACTGTCTCATATCATGAGGGGACTGAAGTGAATGAAAGAGGTTCTCATGTTAGATGGGAGAAAATACACAGCACTTTTTTTTTTCCAATTTTTTGAGACAGGTTTTCTTCGTATAGCTTTGTAGACCAGGTTGGCCTCAAACTCACAGAGATCCGCCTGTCTCTGCCTCCTGTGTATTGGGATTAAAGGCGTACGCCAGCACCACCTAGCTAATACATACTATTTAGGTACTAATAGTATGATTTTCTCCTTTTATTCCTTCATCTACTGTGAGCAAGAAATAAAATCCCAAATTCATGAGCCAAAATACATTTGAGTTATCGTTACAGATTATGTGATCACCCGCAACACTTCCAACTACCCATAGTTCTTTACTAATTCAGCTTAGGAAAAAGTGAAGTGGCATGTAAATCTAAGGAATATTACATTTACTATTATCTCTATAATAATAATAATACATAATAATATATAATAATAATAATACTGTGTAATAATAGTATATAATAATAATAAATAATAATAATACATAATAATACATAATAATAATAATAATAATAATAATAAATAATAATAATAATAATAATAATAATAATAATAATAATAATATTAATAATAAATAATAATAATAATAATAATAATAATAATAATAATAATAATATAATAAATAATAATAATATATAATAATAATAATATATAATAATAATATATATATAATAATAATAATAATAATAATAATAATAAATACATAATAATAATAATATATAATAATAATAATAATAATAATAATATATAATAATAATAATAATAATAATAATAATAATAATATATATAATAATAATAATAATAATAATAATAATAATAATAATAATAATAATATATAATAATATAATAATAATAATAATAATAATAATAATAATAATAATAATAATAATATATATAATAATAATAATATATATATACATCATCATCATCATCATCATCATCATCATCATCATCATCATCATCATCATCATCATCATCATCATCATCATCATCATGCATCATCATCATCATCATCATCATCATCATCATCATCATCATCATCATCATCATCATCATCATCATCATACATCATCATCATCATCATCATCATCATCATCATCATCATCATCATCATCATGCATCATCATCATCATCATCATCATCATCATCATCATCATCATCATCATCATCATCATCATCATCATCATCATCATCATCATGCATCATCATCATCATCATCATCATCATCATCATCATCATCATCATCATCATCATCATCATCATCAGTCATCAGTCATCATCATCATCATCATCATCATCATCGTCATCATCATCATCATCATCATCATCATCATCATCGTGTAAATCATCATCGTACTCGTCTAGTAAATATCATCATCATGCTCACATCCTAGCTACATAGTCCTTAATGTATATCTTTGATTAGGCAGAGCATTCCTCAAAATGCACTTTCCTGACAGGAGTGAATCTAGCAGTGTACATCCACATTAGTAATGGCTAAATCTGGCAGACTGTTTCTGTTCAGACCATCATGAAAAAAATTGCCTTCCTTTAGCTGTAATTAGAATGTAATGCCTCTCAATTCTGGGGTTCAGTTAGAAGATATTTCAGAATACAGATAGTTTATTCAGAATAAAATATTTAAAGTTCATTTTCATGGATGTATAATACAAGTAATGAGCTATGTAGTAGTCCCTAGAATTTCCTCAACCTCACAAAAGCACAAAAACAGGAACTGAATGTACAAGGAGCTATGTGCCCCAAATGTCCACTTGTGAATGCATTGTCTTATTTAACAACAGGCTACTAAGTCACAGACGCTGTATGCTATATCCTCTAAGCTTTTTCAAATTTACTACAGACACAGAACTTTAAACTTGTTCTTGATGAATAATACATGACAGGAATAATCAGACTTACAGGTAGGAGATGTATTCGTTAATGCTTGTAAAATAGAATCTGCTTCCAGAGTAGACATCATTTTCAACATAAGTTCTGCTTGCTGTTCAAGGCCAACTTCTAGACGAGCATCTAAAGCTACAAAAGGGGAGAAGAGATACCCAATCAGTTACTACTAAGGTACTTCCTACTACGGAAAACGTGGCAACATCTGCTCCCAGAAAAGGCTGATGAGGCTTTTACTTCACAAAAAGAAATCCTAGCATGTAGTATCAGAACTAAATCGGGAAGAATATCTGAGATTAAAGATGGGGAATGAACAGTACAGAGACAGGTGGAATAAACGACACAGTGACAACAGAAAGAAATATGAGAGAAGGCTTTCCCCTCTGACAAGTTTATCACACTTGTCACAAACATGTGTAGAGACAAAGGCATACACACTAACAGTCACTATGACTGTAATAAATTCCATTCGAATCTTGGTTTCTTTGGACAAAATTTTAAAATACACTACTAATTATACAAGAAACTAACTCCCAAGTACAGGCAAAAGCAGTAAATGATGAACCAGAGGCATCTTAATTTGCTCATCTAAAAAAATGCTCAAAAATTAATGAACACTTATAGATCCAGAAGCCATTTCAAGGAGTTATATTAGTCACATTTGAGACAATTTACATATCAAATTAAATAAAAGTAAAACTGGGAGTAGAATATTTAATAATGTGCAGGTGCATGCATGTGTGCACATACAAATGTCTATACAAGTACATACACACACATACAAGTTAAATAAAAAAACGACATTAAATTCATTTCCTTAGATAAATATGTATATGTTGTTAAAACATACTTTTTTATCTGGGCTGACAATACACCCTTCTAAGAGCCAAAACCATATAACAAACACCCCAATAACCAACACCAGAAGCCCTCTTTTGAGCTGTCACTCAAGACTGTCCAAGAGCCTCCCAAATCATACAGGCTGTTGCTACTGCCCTTGATGGCCCACAAATGTGGAAGGCTGAGACCCTATTGCAACCAGCATGGCACTATAAGAGTATAGTAGTGGCAAGCATACCTTGGCTGTAACCAGAAACTCTCTAACTGAACTTAAGACCTGCTCAAAAAGAGAGAAACCATGACTGGTATACTAGAAACCTAGTCAACTAAGTACTAAAGTCACAGAGTCACAGACTCTGGAGAAGAATCCACAACCATCACTTTTCTAAGTTAGCATAATCCCTGACAACAATCTAAACATTAGTCCTTATGCACACATATAAGAGGAGTCCTCACCCCTATCAAGAAACCTTCTTTTTCCAACAAATAGAGACCATTACACAAAACCACAGTCAATCAAAATGCAGAGGTATGGAACCCAGTTATATTATACCAAGAAAACACACTTGTACTTAAGGTTCAGGAAACACTGTAGAAGAGTGGGCAGAAGGACTGACAAGACACAAAAGATTAGAGAATTTGCTGTGAAACTGTGTCTCCTAGTAATATCAGATGCTACACCCAAGAAGTTTCACCAATATGACTGCGCAAGCAACCTAAAAATATGCATACAAGTAACATTCTACAGACTGAGCAGCTTATATTCGTGTATTTAGGAATACATACATATACAACACTATAGAAAAAGAGGCACTGATTTGAAAGTAAGCAAGGAGAGGTATTTGGGGGTGCTTGCAAAAAGAAAGGGAAGGGGAAAATGTGATTATAATATAATCTCAAAGTAAAAGAAATTACAAAGTAAAATAGTGTATTCTCATTTCACATATCAAACAACCATCAAATAGCTTAGGGTTAGTCTTACTTTCAAAGAGAAACTAGGGTAGGCCATTAATAAGTGAAAACTCACTAAACATGCTGACAAAGCTGGGCAGTGGTGTCACATGCTTAAAAGCACCCAGCACCCAGCAGGCAGAGGCAGGCATATCTCTGTGAATTAGAGGCCAACCTGGTCTACCGAATAAGTCCCAGGACACCCAAGGCTCCACAGAGAAACCCTGTCTTGAAAAACCAAAGATAGATGAAGACAAAACAAAACATGCTGACAAAACAACTATGAAAGGTAAAGACGGCACACCAGTGATAGCTACTCAGCTACTGTGTACTTAGAATGCAAATTAAAAAAAAATAAATTCGTAACATTTGCAGCATATATTTTAAACATTCCTATGCACACTTACCCTGAGATACTGAAACACTGACAGTCTGGGATCCGTTCTTCTCTGTATTTGATGGTGGCTTTGCTACAGGCATCCCCAGGCCTCCAATGTAAGGGTTATAATTATAGGTACCATAATCAGCTCCCCAGTAGTCATACCAGGTACTGCTTATAGGCTTTTAAAAACAGAAAAGTTGGTATTTTACAGAGTTATACAGTTTGTAGTATTTAAACCAAAGTAAGGCTACAAAATAAAAATTCTCCCCTTTTAAGTACCCCAAAAATGTTAGGTAGGAAGATGAAAAGTGACTAGCATCATTAATAAAATAATGTACCCAAAGAGTAGTAATTGAATAAAGTATTACAGCTGTATCTCCATTAAAAATTGAAGGAGAATAACACAGAAATAATGACAGCAAGAATCCTATCTAGGTTAAGACTCCCCAAGTGGCTGCCAGGAATGCTGGTAATCCATCACTAGTATCTGCTACTTCTAGAGATTGTTCATGGATATTATCAGATGTACTAAGCATGGGGGTACTAGGGACCAAAACACCATTGTCATTTACTTTTTAATTTTTTACAACTGTATTTACTGTGTTCTTTAAATGTATTATAAAAATATACTTATTATGTATACTGGGGCTGTCTGTCTCCTAATGTGTGCCTGGTGCCTGCAGAGTCCAGAAGGGGTGTTGGGCTCCCAAGAATAGGAGTTACAGATGGTTGTGAACCACCATGTGTGTGCTGGAAACCAAGTCCAGACCCTATATAAGAGGAGCCAGTGCTCTTAACTGCCAAGTCAGTTTTCCAGCCCCACGGCCACCATTAAGTATCACAGTAGCTTAATGTACTTTGTGAATGCTGAATAATGGGCTACATTTAGGAACAATGTGCAAGGTTTTCCTCTTTACTCTTTCTGTTGGATTACTTATAGGTTTGCCAGCTTAATAACTTTTTCATCGATTCAACTCTTTCATTTGATTCTATATATTGTTCCTTTTTGTATTGTTTTGTTTTGTTTTTCAGACAGGGTTATTCTGGTAACAGCCCTGGCTGCCCTGGGACTTCGTAGACCAAGCTGGTGTTGAACTCACAGAGATCTGCCTGCCTTTGCCTCCCAGGTGCTAGGACTATTTTATTAATTTTTGCCATCTGTGTTTGACTATTGAAAACCTTGAGATGCATCATTAGGTTATGTACTTTCTACTATAACCTTTCTTCTTAGAGCAGCCATGACTGCAACTCAGAGGTTCTGACAGAACACATTTTCACTATCATTTGTCTCTATGAACCTTTTATTTTCTCTATGATTTCTTGGATGACCCACTGTTTATCAAAAAATGTGTTTAAGCTCCAAGTATTTTTGCATTTTCCATAGTTTCTCTTAGTATTGTTATCTAGCTTTACAGTATTATGGTCTGAAAAAAAAACCAAGGAATTATGTCAGGTTTCTTTGTGCTATTTGTTGAAACTTCACTTGGATCCTGTGATCATCTGATAGAAAATTCCGTATGCTGCTAAAAAGAACCGTGCACTGCCTATCTATTGGATGGACCATTCTGTATACCGATTTGTTAAGCCTGGTTCATACAGTCTATCTCAGTTCTAAAGTTTCTTTACTTGTTTTTAGTTTGGAAAACCTATCTAAGATAGCTCTTCTTTTTCATGTAATTACTAAACAAAACATATAAGATGAAATTATACAAAATACCTTAAAAACTTTGGCTGCAAGAGGATCCTTTTCTAGATCAATATCTAAAGGATCAATGTCAACTTCCATTAGATCTTGAAGTAGTTCAAGGTCAATTTCCTTATCTTTTTCCAAAGAAGAGAGAGGAGGTGTGCCTTCAAATAAGCAAAAAGATTTCACTGGGAGAGTGTATTTAAACCAAATACTGATTTATTTTATAGAACTAAACACTTCATTTGCATATAGCACATACATACATATATAACTCAAATTTAAGTATCAATTAGCATGCAAATTTATCACTCTACAACACTATAACAGCATCAATGCAATATCTGATTTCCTAGTGAGAAGTCCACATTATTTGCTCTTCTTAAAGTGACATAAATTTTACTATTCAAAATGATCATTGGCTTATCTAAAATGGATTAATATTTTTATTCCACCTACTATACATTCCTTTTTATGGTATCTCAACTATTATTACAGATAACCCTGAGCACACAGGCTAACCCAAAAAAAGGATTAAGTTTTACGCCTTTAATCCCAGCACTCGGGAGGCAGAGAAATTACCTTGCTCTCAGATGTTTCCAATTTTTAAATAGTCTCTATATTGTGTAACGATTACTTTTCCATCCTTCCTTTTCACTAAATATATCTTTATAGAATGCCAAGAATACCTTTTTCTAGTTTCCTACATGTACATAAAGATCAATATACCATTTACTCGATTAAGAAAGTGTTAGAGGTAGAGGTACACAGTTAATTAAGCAAACTAAAGAAGACCAGTTAACAGAGTGTACTAATGGCAAAGGTCCTACTCTGTTGGTAGGTATACAACAACACCCTTGGCATGCAAACATGAATTGTATGCAAAGAAGTCTTTCTAAATGGAGAACAAATCAGCTATTAGGACTGTATGATAAAGGAACCTAGGACTACAGAATAAGTAGTTGACAATGATAGCGGGATGTTAAACATACCTGTGTGAATGTGTGTGCTCAATACAAAACAAAATTTAGTTTCAAAAACCAAGGATTAAGCCGGGCAATGGTGGCCTACGCCTTTAATCCCAGCACTCAGGAGGCAGAAACAGGAGTTCAAGACCAGCCTGGTCTACAAGAGTTAGTTCCAGGACAGCCTCCAAAGCCACAAAGAGACCCTGTCTCGAAAAAACAAAACAAAACAAAACAAAACAAAAAAAAAAAAACCAGAGCAAAGATTCCACAAACCTTCCCACATCCCACACAAGTGCTTGTGGAATTATCCAGATCACAAAGGACCAACAAATACAGATTTTAAAAAGGAAGAAATATATACAATATCCCAATATTTAGATACTAAAGAACAAGAGTTACCAACTTTGTCTTCATCATTGAGTATTTTTATAACGTTTATGCTTTGCATTTTCTTCAACATAGAAGTGATGATTAATCACAACTATCAACCTGAGACCAAGAATCAGCTGGAAGTCAAGTTTCCAGGCTTAACTGTGGGAGATTTTCTTGACTGTATTAACTGCGAAGTAAAGGCTCACTCACTCTTGGTGGCACTATTAACTGCATAAAAAGGATAAAGTGAGCATTCATTTTCTTTGCTTCTAGATTACAGATGTAAGGACTGACTTAACAAGTAGATCACTATGACTTCCCAGGGATGAAATAAAACCTCAAACTGAGGGTCAAAAGAAACCCTTGTATTATTTTTAGTCTGTGTATTTGCATGCACACCACATGCATGCTAGGTGTCCACATAAGAAAAGGGTGTCAGCGACAGCCTCCAAAACAACACAGAGAAACCTTGTCTCGTAAAACCAAAAAACAAAAAGAAAGAAAGAAAAGGAAAAAGAAAAAGAAAAGGGTGTCAGATCTCTGAAATTGGTGGTTGTGAGACATGTGTGGGTGATGGGAACAAAGAAATACTCCTAACTGCTGCACCAAATCTCCATCCCACATGCTTCCTCCCTAAATTGCTTTATTCTGGGTATTGTTTCTCCACAGCAACACAAAAGAAACTAGTATAATATATAAAAATATTTACAATGTAATAAAATGAAAGTAATATATAAAATATACTAAATTGAAACGATTAGAATAGTATAAAATGATAGCATGGTGGCACACTCCTTTAATCCCAGCACTCTGGAGGCAGAGGTAGGCCTATGTTTGAAACCAGCCTGGGCTACAGAGCTAATTCCAGGATAGCCAAGGTCATACAAAGAAACCCTGGCAAGAAAAGAAAAAAAAAAAATCAATCTTATATGTCATTAATATTCCTCATTTAAATGATAAAAAGGCTATTTTGAACACAGTTTTGAAATCTCACCTGCTATATCATGTGTCAAAGGTTCATCTATGGTTTCCAGCAACTGAACGGAAGACTGCTGCAGGGAGTCATCAGAGTCACCAGCTGTGGCACCCACATCATCACTCACTGTGCCTTCTTCCATTGCTTCTGCAGCTACTGGAGCCAACAATTCTCCTATATTGGAGGAGACAGTTTTATTACCTTTTGTAACAGATGAAGAGGCAAACAAAATGGTTTCCTAAGGTCACAGAAGAACTAGTAAGCAGCATTATCACTGGTAGTAATAATGAAATAAGGGCTTCCTTGCTAATGAATTCTAACTTATTAGCAACTTATTAAAACTATTGCTCTGTCAACATAAAAACAAAAGTAATTGCTACCACGGCAACATTGTAGGGAGAGATCTACGTACCCTAGCACTGAACACACACAACACAGTTAAGAAACTGCTTATAATTTCCTTTAGACATTACCTGAGCAATGATAAGCTAATTCTGAAACACACCAAGAAAAATTAATCCTGACAAACCTGCTAAAATATCCTGCAGCATACAGGTTAGGGAATACTGAGCCCAAGCACCACCCCAAGAGATGTCTCCTCTATTGAAGTCAGTTCCAACCAGAAGCAATAGCAGTCTTTCCAGCTGTGGTTCATTCACAATCTCACACAGATGAATGGTTGGCCTTGTCGCATTTGCAATCCGTGCAAGAACCTGAAACACATCATAGAATCATATGCTCAAATACCAGTTAAATTAAAAATAATAACAACAATAATAAAAACAATGGCATGATGGTTTTCAAAGTAGACCATTTTATCAAGTTATTTAAAATAAAACACAAACAAAATATTGTGAATTAAATACTATATCTGTTACTTACTTATTTCCAAGGCAGAGTTTCTCTGTGTAGCCCTGGCTGTCCTGAAACTCATTCTGTAGATGAGGCTTGCCTGCTATGCCAGTTGGGATTAAGGCATGAGCTACCATGAATGACTGCATTGCAAGAAATGGATCATGGCATTCAAAAGCCATTTAGTAATCTAATTAATGTTTATTTCCTATATGAATTAGCAGAAAATTAAAGACAGGCACACCCAAATTATCTACATTTTAAACCCTCAAGTTTTGATTTTTGTTGTTGTTGTTGTTGTTGTTCGTTGGGTCCTAGAACTCAAGAGATCTGCCTGACTCTGCCTCCCAAGTGCTGGGATGGAAGGCATGCAACACCATTGTGTAGCCAAATCCTCAAGTTTTTTAACCAAATAAAAAACTGCCATCTGGCCGGGCGTTGGTGGCGCACATCTTTAATGCCAGCACTCAGGAGGCAGAGGCAAGCGGATCTCCGTGAGTTTGAGGCCGGGCTGGGCCAACAGAACGAGTTCCAGGACAGCCTTCAAAACACCTGCATCGGATTTTCTCAGGAATTGGGTAAAAAGTATTTAACTGTATCATAGCTTACTTACCTTACAGACAAATAGTAAGAGGTCTGCATGGCATGTGAAATCCATGGACAGGAGAAACAGAACAAGCTTTTGCACTACTGAGATACACCGCTCATGGGCCAGAGTAAATGGCAGAGGTTCTATCTCGGGGCTTTCTTTTGTTGTTGTAACTTCAGTGTCTAAATTCGAACGCGACCATTCTGCTGTCCGGCGCAAGCGAATCAAATCCTTAAAGTGCTGCATACAGAAATTTACATATTTAGAGCAATGTTTATTGAATGAAAAACTCTCAGTATATACTTCTGTGAGATGAAAATATCCAACAGAACATTTCTAATTCACAAAACTTTCATGTGCGCCATAAGCTTCCAAGAAAAAAATTAGTGGACAGTGCTTTGTCGAAAACAACTGTCTCTTGTGATCCAGCCAAAACCGTAAGTGACCTTTAACCTCTAAACTTTTTGCCTTTACCTACCAGAAGTTGGTATAAAAGGCAAGAACCATCGCACCTGACTAAAAGTTAAGATTATTAAAAATTATCTATACTGACTGGCATATATCATCTCCTATTTAACATACATGAAACACAACAAAATTGCATAAAGACCATTAACTAGATTAAATCCAGTATTTAAAATATTAAAAAACATACAATGAGTAACTGATACAAAATGGATAGAAAAAGTCACCTCAAAATATTGATTCAAATTATTTCAAAATCTTCAAAAGTATAGAAGCTGAAAAATCAATGCTACTTAGGTGCTATGTAAATATGGATTAATGAAAACAAATTTAAAGGGTATTTCTTGTTCTCTCTATTTTGAGACAATAGTCTTGCTTCTAGTCCAAGCTAGACTTAAACTTGTGATCCAGCTGCTTCAACCTACTAAATATTGAGAATATAGGCAAGCACCAACATGAATATTTTTATTAAAAAAATTCATTGGAATGTAATTCTGGTGTGGCAAAGACAGTTTTTTGAGACATATGCACCAATGGATACAAATGAGTTTTAATTCCAAATCTAAATCTTCCAATAACATAATTTAAGGAAAAACAAATGTCAACAAGTATTTTCCATATTACTTGTCTTTAGTCCTTCTTACTATGCCATGAAAATAGACAGAACCTGGCTGAAGATGGGGTCCTGAGTTCAATTCCCAGTAACCACATGGTGGCTCACAACCATCTGTAATGAGATCTGATGCTCTCTTCTGCCCTGCAAGCATACATGCAGGGCAGAACACTATACATAATATAATACACAGACAGACAGATCTTTAAAGAAAGAAGAAAAGAGAAAATAGAACCACCAATGTCAAATGAAGAATCCGATAAGACTGCACATGAATTACTCCATCTCCAACTAACTCTCGATCCAAGTTAAAGGTCTGTACTAGGTAGTGGAATCTACAAAACATTTTCTACATTAAAGCTGAGTATTCTAATACTGAGTACTGACAAAAACGTGTAATTATTATTATAATAACAAATATAATAACAATCATTATTACAGAAGTGATCACACTTTGAAGTATAGCTCTTACCTTAGAGGTCGCCTGCTTTAGTTTTGCTTGCTCGACTAGCAGTTTATAGGATGAGCCTTTGTTACTCTGTATTTTTTCTTTTTCCATCTGTTCCACCAAAGCCTTCTGTTTTGCCTTTAGTAGATTAAGTTGCTTAAAATACAAATCAACAACGTAATCTTAAAAATATCAATGTTAAGAACAAAATATAAAATTTTATACTTCTTGCAGATAAAAATGACATGGTAAAAAATGTTTACACGTGGATTCTGGAGGAATGATGTGGCTTTCTTTTTTTTAAAAACACCCAGATTCTTATATAAGGTGTCATGCAACAGAACTATATTCTCATACATAACTGCCTATGAAAGCAAAGTATATCTGAACAAGTGACCACAAAACGAGAAGGTTTTGTGTATGTCAGTGCTCTCTTTTTATATTTCACAAACAATGGGAAAATTAATCTCTAAAAGCTACAGGAAAAATGTTAAATGTGTTTCAGAATAAAGAAGGCAATCATAGTTAGCAATAAAAATAAGAGTACTATGGCTGGAAAGATGGCTGAATAGTTTATTGCTCTTACATAGGATCTGAGTTCAGTTCCCAGCACCCACATGGCAGTTCACAACCACCTGTGATTCCAGACCTGTAATTCCAGTTCCAGGAGACTTGATACCCACACTTCTTGCCTCCTCACTTACCAGCAAAACACTCATTCACATACACATAAAAAGCAAAATTAAGTAAAATCTACAAAACAAAGTACTGATATACTTGACATAGAATAAAACTCTGAGGAAGAGACTAGACATAAAGGAAAGACAATGCATACAACACTACCTATGAGAACACAGAAAAGGTTATTAACATAAAGAATTTGAACACTCTGGGAACCCTAGTGCATAAGTATGCTATTCCCACTCAGTAACCAAAGATAGTGCACTAATGCCAGAAAAATATGTCCAATTATCCAAGAAAAAGACTAAAAATGTGTACTTAAAATGAAAATTAAAAAGCACACCCAGAAATCTGGATGAGAAAATTAGTACAGGTTGTCCCACAAACTTAAACTCAATACTATCTAATATTCAAAAAATTAAAATCTAAAAGCCAGTGGTGTAGCTGACAAGAAACTTCATCCAAAGGTCAACTGGCAGATACTAGGAATACAGAAATACAGTGTTACTGTGTTTGCATGAAAAAAATAATACAGGGTTAACGGTAGATTGGAAAAACATCCAGAGTAAAGAAGAAAAAAGTCAAAAAACTGTAAAAACAAGCAAACAAAGAGTAATAACAGAGAACCAGAAAGTTTAAAGAATATCAAAACTAAGTTAAGTTCATGATTTTTGCCATTTTACAAATAAGGTTGCCAAAGGAATAAAGCAAAAACTTGGGCAGCATGCTCCACCCTTGCCTAAGGTCTTTGACCCCAAATAGCAATCTCAAACTAAAGCAAAGTTACTGACCATTACCTGCTTATGATGAACAAGCTGCTTTCTGATTTTTCTGGAATACAATCTATCAAGGCTACTGCCTCCCTTGGATGATCTATTTAATAAGCTCTGAGTGTGTAGATTATTGTTGATAAAACTCCACTGGTTACCTGGAAATAAAAGCTTTTATTAATAATTCTGTTAAATATGACTTTACACTAACTTCTATACTCAGAAAACAAAAACATACATAATAATAAATCTAGTAAGACAAAGTCTTTAAAAGTAAGACAGCTCTCTGAAGGTTAAACAAATGCCTGACAACAGAGATCTGTATCCAATCTCTTCTTGAGCATACTAGACACTTTCAGTCACAACAATTAAGATTGATTCATTTTGACAGCACTCAGGAGGCAGAAGTAGGCAGATCTATGTAAGTTTGAGGCCACCCTGGTCTACAAAAACAGTTCTAAGACAGCCAGAGCTAAGCACAGAAATCCTGTCTTGAAAAAACAAACAAGAAGATTGATTTTGAACAACATAGCATTGATGTGTTCTAAACAAGAAATAATGATACTAATAAAAAGTTTTGTAAAAGCACTAAAACAGCTAATCAGATTAATGACTGCCAAGATGGGTTTAGTAGATAAAAAGGCAAGCTGCATAATTACATATACTCGGTGTTTTGGAACAGGTCCACACTATTCTGTTCTTTCCTTCAAAATGCCAAAAACCATGCTTTCTTTTCTTCTGATCTTTTTATTGTAGTTCTTTTGAATCTCATTATATATATAGTTCTGGATGGCCTTGAACTCAGAGACCACAACGCTTCTGTCACCCAACAATAGGAATTAAAAGTACCATGAAGTGTCCATCTTCTGATTCATTTATTTATAATTTTAAAATATCTCCCTATTTCTGCTGCTCATTAATCAGGTCTAAGTTCAAAATCTTCAAAACAATGAAAATGTCCCCCCACGATTCTTTCTAATACTAAACAATACAAGTGAAAATTAAGATTTTACAATACAACTTACTGTGTCCAACTTTATATAGTTATATTTAACTTAATGCTATTGTTTAACCTTTATCCTGTAGCTGAGGAAATGGATTCATACACACACACACACACACACACACATTTTTTTATACCAACATAATCTCCTTGCATCAGAGAATTCCTTCACCTTCTCAGAACGATTAATACATTACAATGTACAGAAGTTTTGCTGGGTGGTGGTGGCGCACGCCCTTCATCCCAGCACTCTGGAAGCACAGGCAGGTGATTATCTGTGAGTTCCAGACTAGCCTGGTCTATAAGAGATAGTTCTAGGACAGCTCCAAAGCCACAGAGAAAAACAAAAATTTGATTTGAAAAACAAAAAACAAACAAACAAAAAAAAAACCCAAGGAACAGAACTTTTATGGGTTCTACTTGCTATAATTATACATGAGGTTCAGCTGCCTAAAATATTTTATTAAAATCATCATTATTATAATAAATGCAAATTTTTACTTCATCTTGGATATTTGATTTCCCTTAATTTGTAAACTGTTTTGTGCCCCAAGCCTACTAAAAAATGAATAATATCCACCTTAGGAATTTCCAAATCTAAGTATAAAAGACAATTGTAGCTACTTAAAGGAACTGAAATGAAAAGTGGTTCAGAAAAGCAGCATACTATATCAAAATAAAAATTTTAAAGGGAGAAATGTAATGAAAATACAATATAGCCAGGCGGTAATGATGCACACCTATAATCCCATCACTTAGGAGGCAGAGGCAGGCAGATCTAAGAGAATTTGAGGACAGCCTGGTCTACAAAGCAAGCTCCAAGACAGTGAGAGTTGTTACACAGAGAAACCCAGTACTGGGAGCTGGAAAGACACAACCTCAAATATAAACAAAAAAAATTAAAAATCCTCCACAAATTTCCTTGGCATAAACTTATTTCTACTTAAGGTATTATATAGGAAGGGTAGGGGTGAAATACATGGAGGTACTGTTTCATTAAAATTCCCATCTAAACAAAGGAGTTTGCCAACAAAATATAAATTCTATCTTTTAGCACATTCCTAAAGAAAAGTAAGCCACATTTTACATAAATTACATACATCTGGTATCTCCAGGCAAATAGCCAGATCAGGAACAAATGCGGACTGAAAATCCCCACCAACACATTATTATAAACTTCTGATACCTGTCAGAAACCTCTCCCTGTCTTTACCATTCAAAGGTTTCTTTGCAGCTGTTGCTTCATCTTCAACAGTGGCCACATAATCCAGTAACCTGGACACCAGCATGACAACCCAACTGATCATGGGAATATCTAGGACTCCTAGAGAGAAGGGAGAGGGGGAGATTCAAGTCAGTGTGAGTCCTGAGGAGAATGCAGAGAACCTCTTACAAATAAGAACACACTACATCATAGCCAACACCAAAGTAATACAATGTACCTTAAAACAGACATTTATGGTCACAAACTAAGTAGAAACACGAATCTAATAAAGGACAGGATACAAAAAAAGAACCCATAGGAAACTAAAATAATCCTATATGTATATATATACACACACACAAAAAAAACCAACCCAGCTAGATGTAATGGTGTGCAACCTTAATACCAGTGGGCTCTCAAGAGGATTTCTGAGTTCAAAGTCAGCCGGGTGTTCAAATAGCAAGTTTTAGGCAAAACAGGGCCTGAAACCCTATTCCAGAAAGGAAAAGAAAGGGAGGGAGGGAAGAAGGGAGACGAAGAGTCGACAGACAAATGAATAAACTATCAAACCATTCAAATTTATGAATTTAATAATGAGTTGAAAATAACTATATGGGCTGGGCTGTGGTGCTACACATTTTTAATCCAAGCACGTGGCAGGTAAGAGCAGACCCTGAATCCTAAGCCAGAGAGAGTTCTAGGAGAGCCAGGGCTGTTACACAGATGAATCCTATTTCCTCCAACCAAAAAAAGAACTATATAGCAATCAATCACAAGAAAGCGATTCATTTTTAAAAGCTTACACTACAAAAATAAGAATAAAATGTGCTACAATGACAATTAAAGTAATACATCAGAAATATTTTATACAAACAGGACTTGTAGTAAACATAAGTACTAAAGACAGTCATTTTATATAATACCTTCTGTCCTTCTGTGCATGGTTAACTCTGGCTGAAGAGGGGACAATAAATTATCCAAGAGATTAAGTAAGCTTTCCAATACTCCACTGTTACTAAGTGATCGCTGACCAATGCAGGAAAGTAACATAAAGACCCTAAAAACAGATACAAAGAAAATGACCAATGGGAATCAATTTAATTATCCTACTTTTAAAAATAGATACACATTATAAAAAGTGTTTGCTTCTTAAAACTTATCATATTTTAAAGTTAGTAAGAAAGATTTCTACCAGGAGAAATGATATGAGTTTCTTTTCTGGTTAGGTTGTATTTCCTGAATCTACCCCTAAGAAAGCAGACACTTATCAAAGAACAAACCCTATGAGAGTCTCATAAATCACATTTAATACGAAAAGCATATCATATTATATTATGTAATATACATTAGAGTTCATGTCCTTCGTTTAGTATTTAAGACCTAATTTATATTTTCTTCATATTTACTACCCATGTAAACAAATTTTTACACTTTGACAATAAAGAAGTAAAAATAATTTAAACACCAACAATATCTCCAACCTACCTATCTTGTGGAAAGATGAGAAGCTGCTCTGAATTATACAGTTCCTGAAGAACATTAGAAAGAAACTGGCCCCACCATCTCTCACCACCACACAGCTGAACAAGGAGAAGGCCAGTATGCAATCGTATCTTTGGGGTGCCACTGATGCACAAGTGTTTAAAGAGTTCTTCACAGGCCTGGGCGTGAAAGGTACTCTGCAAAACTGCAGGAACAGAATGCCCTGTTACAAGAAAGAAACAAATAAAACCACTTATCTAAGTTTATGGTGTTCAACACCAATACATCTACATACACATTTTTCCCTAGCAACCAATAGACAATTACATTGTAATTACTTTATGACTACCTACCACTTATATATAGAATTTAGCTGTAAAATATTCATCAGTAAGAGATAGCACACACATTAAATGTGTTTCTTGTTTCTGTGGCTAGGATTAACAAATTGCCTCCCAGGTGAATATATGAGTACTCATAAATCAGAAAAGGGTCAGGTATTTTAAGACGGAGAATATAAACATGAATGAGTGACCCAAAAATAGTTCATGGCTAAAAAACACCACTACTGTATTAAGTCAGTATACTTTCACTAGTCTATTTTTATGTAATGCTTAATACTTTGCCACTCACAGGATGATGTATAAAAATACATTAAACCTAAGAAATTAATAAAAATTCATCTTCAACAGGATCTCAAACTATAAATATCTAGAAAGTAGAGGCAGGAAATAGAGGCCAGTGAAGAGAACTTGACAAGCATGTATAAACTACTGCTTCAATAGCACCACACACTCCCAAAAAAAAAAATCTATGCTAATACCATATACCTAAAACATGCAAGAGAGACATATTGAATTATTCCCAGTCTCTGTAAGTCACTGAACCAAATACAAACCATTCGAAGAGTGAAGGAGGCTGAGCAATGTGTCCAGTAAGTATCTGACAATGGTGCGTAACTGCTCTGTGGACGATGACTGAATCAAGTCTACTGGAACAGACGTTTCGCTCAATGTCTTCCGACTTGCACCTATAGCTACTTTGAGCCTCTGCACTGCATTATGAGCCAAATTTAGTTGAAGCTGTAGCTGAATACAATCTTGATAAGCAGAAAAAACTCTACTATCTTCCTCAACTGCTTTGTCTGGTTTTCGCAAAAAGTACTGTGCATTGTTCGCACTGTTGAGAGGAGGAAGATCAATACTCTGCAAAAGAGCTTCCAGACGATGACAGGCTAAGTTATATCTATGAGTAAAAAATAAATTAAGAAGTCATTCCTTCAATCTTCAGTAACTACACACTAAAAAGCACATCTCATAAAATATATTAAAGCACAACTACTATGAGTACTCTGGAGAACACCTTTAATCCCCTCAGGCAAAGGAAGGCAGCAATCTGTGGGAGAAGGACATATTGGTCCACACAGTCAACCCAGAATTAAAGAGACCCTACCTTAGAGAAAACAAAATACCAAAACGACTGTTCACAAGTATAAATAAATGTCACCAATTAGCTAACGACTTCTCATGTTTTCAATCCTGCTGTAATGTACACATGTTCGTCTTCCTTTTGCGCTTTTCTATATAGTTAAGAGAAAATATTCCTTGGCAGCAGCAATTTAATAATGAGTGATTTTCCACTAACCTGCACTGTATATCTTCTTGTAAAGCAACCATCATTGCTAAATGCTGGTCAATTTCTGGCTGGTTGGCAGACTCTCCTTCACCTCTTAGAGGATCATGCATCAACTTGAGCTCACTTTCCCAAGGCAAGATATAGGTATGCCCATAGTAAAATCCTAAAGGTATCTTTGCTCTGGCATTTGTGCTTCCATAACGTCCAATGACAGTTATCTAAAATGAAGAGTTAAAAATAAGTACACACATGTTACCATAAAAAATCTGTTCTATGTACTTTGAAGAATACAGATTTAATTCTTTAACCATTATATCAAGGTATTGTGTACTAAAAAACATGGAAAACATACATATACTTTCTTGAAGTTCTTTACCTTCATGAATCTGCATACAGGTGGTGGTATTAAGTCGTGGAGAATTAGTGAATGAGTGCTTATATCAGTTGCCACTACCAAACGCCTTCCATCCACTTCTTCTCCTAACGTCCATATGTCAATTGATAAGGAGGCCAAGTCTCCACAAGTGGGTATCAGTACATCTGTCAATAGTATAGGTCTTCCAAAATCCAGGGTCACAAATCTTCTGGCTCCTATGAGGGGAAAAAAAGCAAGTGGCCCACCAAAAAAGGAATCAAACAACCAAATTAGAATCTTAAAATCTGATTAAAGAATTATTACTAAAAACAATCAAACTATTAAATTACAAATAAGTATATAAGTAAAAATAGCTTTCTCAATACTTATTCATAAATAATCTAATTCCTTATTCTGTCAAGGCCCAAAAACCTGCTAGAATTCTGAAAGCCTGAAGTTAAAAAATTGTTAAATTGTTAATATGAAGGCAATCAGCTACAAAATGAAACCTCATATTTATTACAAACATTATACTTTAACAATTAAATCAGTTAATGCATTAAACAGTACACCAATAAAATATCAATCCGTCTTTAATTCAGACACTGAACTTTTTTTGTCTTAAGAGCTATTATGTAACATTGTTTGTGACAGTCTTGCTAACTTGTAGATCAAGAGTTTATTATACTGGGTTTAAAGTGTAGTAAAATATGGCTGAAATTACACAGTAACAGTACCATTAAAAAAATATGAATCATTGGCTGGGAAGTGGTAGCACATGTCTTTAATCCCAGCACTCAGGAGGGAAAGGCAGGTGGATGTCTGTGAGTTCGAGGCGAGCCTGTCTACAAAGGGAGTTCAAGGACAGCCTCCAAAGCTACACAAAGGAACCCTGTCTCAAAAAAACCATAGGTAGAAAAGATAGATAGATATAGACACACACACACACACACACACACACACACACACACACACACACACACACACACAATCACACACATCCTCAAGGAAGGTATCCAGAAGATATAGGCAATTCGAGGTGCTGCCCCAGAATGAATGTAGAATGTATTTCTAGGTCAGCACTATATAAGAAAGGTTGAGAACAGATTTGTATTTCTGTTATTACATACAATAAATAAAAGTATAGTTCACTTCCTCACAGGGCTCATATGATTCAATTGTGTCCGTGGGTTAAATGCAAGCTACAGTATAAACAACTGTTTGTATACAGAGCAACAAATTTTCACTCTACATGTTATCCACACCAATGATGCCAGCAATTAATGACTAAACAGACAAAAAATACCAAGAGAATTTCATAAGCTTTAAATTCTCTCTTCTAAAGCAAATGAGATTCAATTGTTAATATGATGAAAGGCACAGATATAATATGTCCATTTTCCTCTAAAGATATTCAAAAAAATTTTTGGTGTTGCTTTAGTATAGGGGAAAAAAGTTAGTAGAATTGGAAACTAAAAGATAGCTTAAATTTATTTGTAAATATATATACTCCCACAGCAATTACAGATTTCTGAAAGACTGCATGACATAAATGTAGATAATATGGTAGTTTTAAGATACTCCCTTACTTCTAGAATAATTGTAAATGAGCAACGACAGTTCAAGCAGACTTTTTGTATCATTCATATTTCCATAGACAAGATTTGGATAGAATAATCTCACTTTTTCAAGGAAATTAGCCAACCTATACAACCTATATCTTCTGTAGTTATTATTCTTGGTAGATTATCCTTACTTGATAGCAAATATGATTTGTTTGAAAACGGTCATAAAAGGGTCAACAGAGTAGGAAAGAAAAATAATTTTAGAAATGCAAAGATTACCTGAATGCATTCGCTCTATAATAATGGACTGGTGAGGTGGAGGCTGAAGAAAATGTGAAGCATGAGAAATTGCAAGAGCCAGCCCAGAACCAAGTGGATTCTAGAAAAGAAAACAATGTAACTGTACTGATACACTCTTGCTCTAAGAAAACCTACTAACCATAACATTAAACTTTTTGAAATATTTTATAAAAGAAAAGCAACCTGATGTACTTAGTTGATATTTCAAACATTTGGCTTCCAAAGATAGAATTTTTTTAAAATGTAAGAATTTGTCTAAGTTACCATCTACTTAAAACATTTACTGAGGGGCAGTGGTGGTATACACCTTTGATCCCAATACCCCGGAGGCAGAGGCAGAGACAAGTGGATCTCTGTGGGTTTGAGGTCAGCCTGGTCTACAGAGCTACATCAAGGATAACCAGTGCTGTTACATTGAGAAACCCTGTCTTGAAAAGCAAAACAACAACAACACAAAATGACTTACCACTCTAGATTTGTTGGAATTTTTGTTATGCGCAGCAAGATTCACTGCTGGAGGGTCAATGACAGAGCCTGGGAAAAGCTGTGCAAGTTCAGCATTAATCACAACAGAGACGGCTTCATTGGGTGGGGTGAGTGGAGGAGTCATAAAGAGTGGTGTTGTTTTTGGAGTAGGTGGAATAACATCTGATGGATGGATGAAAAATCCAGGAGCAGCCACTGGGTTGGAAGGCACAGAGTTGTGAACAGGACCTCCTGCCGATGCTGCTGATGCTGCTGCAGCTGCTGCAGCTGTTGTCTGGTGCAACTTGGCTTCCAGCTTGGCTTTCTATAAAAGAAACAAAGGCAACACCTATAGAAGGATCCTGACTACCTAAGTTGTGAGGAATACTCTATGATTATAAATAAAGTCAGCCAAGATGAACTAGATCCTAGTTAAATAAAGATAAAACTAGACTCAACAACACATGAAGCACTGCCACACTAGGGCACTTATTGAAATACTGTCTAAAATTTTCTATATATTAGAGAACTAGAACCTGATCGAAGGATGGAAAGTAAGCAGAATAATTAGATGCAAATAACAAAGCCAAGCTCTGCTAAAAAGAAAATACACCAAAGTAGATTAAATATTGACTGATCTTATATAATTTCTCAACAGAAAATTGCGCACGTTGCGTTTAATCAGCAATTAAATCTATAAACCATGATTGCTATATTTAGAATCAAATGAATATAACTGGTCTTTATAATATCCTTCATTCTCTATTCCATGAAAATAGTAACTTTTCAATCTTTCTTAGAGATTGTTTAAACATACACTTTTAACTTCAAGTCTGAACAAAAAGTTATCATTTTCTCTCAGTCATGTATTAAATCAAATGCATTCATTTAATTTTAATACATTTAAACATATCACAAAGACTTTACCTCAATTTCTTGTTGAAAATGATTAGCTCAGATTGGACAACCTACTTCCTTTATGAAAATAATGGTCATTTTTACAGTACTTTTCAGCTTTTGAAGTTTAGAGACAGCATGAACAAAGAGCCAAATAGTCTCCAACCTGTTGCTGAAGCTTCAAAAGCTGCTGCTGTTTCTCTTGCAGCACCTGTAGCTGTTGCTCGGCTGAAGCCATTGCATGAGAGAGAGACTGCAAAGCTACCTGGGCTGCTGAGCTCAGAGCTGTCGAGGCTTCCCCAACTGTCCCAGATGATAGTCCACCTACTGCAGGAGTAACCCCGAAGGAACTCACTGGCATAAGACAAGGGAAAGACAAACAGAGACACCAGGATGAAGAAAAGGCTCCCAGAGGTAAATGATCAAAGTACAAAATTTGCATTAAAGCTATATTAAGCATGTACTTTTTAAAAAAAGGCTGGGATGTCACTTGCCTAAAAGGTTCAAACACCAAGTTCTAACACCAATAGGAAAACATATATATAAAACACTGCAATGTAGTGTTTCTCATTAATACTCATACTCAAGTTCTAAGAGGGTCCTAGAACAAATCCCAAATCAAAACTCTGAGTCATTTACTTTTACAAGTTCATAATAATTTAAGGTATAGAAGAAATCCACACAAGATTTTAAAACTCAACTAATCTTATACAATATGCACAAAAGAAAAGTTAACAGTATTGTTAGTTTTCGTATACACTGACAAACCTCTGAGTGCCTTTAATCCCATCATTTGGAGCAGGGCAGCATAGTAAGGTACTGTCTAAAAATGAAAATGCTCCCAACAAGAACCTTCAAGGGACAGAGATCAAGGCCAGGAGAACTAGGATTATTACACAGAGAAAACCCTGTCTTGAAAAACTAAAATAAACATAGTTTATGTAGACACTACATATATGAGAGGGGTAAAGAAAAGGTTCCATTGTTTTCTTTACATTAGGGGATAAAGCAGAGATACAAAAAAGTTTTTCAGTTATCCCAGACCTAAAGTTACAGAAAACTATGAGCCATCCACCATTCAGATGCTCCTCTGAAGGAACAGCCAGTGCTATCTCAACTACCCCATTAGTTTTACATTCTTTAACCTCTTCAAAACATTACACAATTTTTTTTTAACTAAAAGCACGCCGGGTGGTGGTGGCACACACCTTTAATCCCAGCAGTTGGGAGGCAGAGGCAAGAGAATCTCTGTGAGTTCAAGACTAGCCTGGTCTATAAGAGCGAGTTCCAGGACAGCCTCCAAAACCACAGAGAAACCCTGTCTCAAGGGGGAAAAAAAAAATCCAAAACCTAAAAGCACAAAAGCACTGATACCTAATCTTATGACAGGTTTCAAAAAAAAGTTGATGATTTCTAAGTTAATAGTTTTTTTTTATGAAACGACTACAGTACAAGAAAACAAAGCAATCTTGACTTAATTCATATATGTGTATTTTAAATCAGATGTGCCAACTTTCACTACATAAACTAAATTTAGTGGCTATTTCCATATGAAAAGGAACAAAGCAAAATGTGAAGGAAAACACACTAAAATAAACTGATGAATTCTCTATAACCAAAATCCAGGATTGAAAACTGTAACTTCTGTTGTTGGTAGTTTTTTGATACTGTTGGTATTTTTTTACTCTGCTTCTTTGACAGGACTAGGAACTCAATCCAAATACTTGAGCACACTTGGAAGGTGTTCAACCCCTGAGCCAGAGTAGGCCTGTTAAATGAATGAAGAGGTTGAAGTGGCACTTGCTTAAATAAAGTACCTAATAAAATCAGTTCACAATACTATTCAAGTCCTTCTAGAAAGAAAATAAAGACTTAGACCAAAATACAAATGTTCTTTTTTTGTTATTTTGTTTTTGTTTTTCAAGGCAGGGTTTTTCTGTGTAGCTTTAGCTGTCCAGTAACTCACTCTGTAGACCAGGCTGGCTTTGAACTCACGGAGATCTACCAGACTCTGCCTCCGAGTGCTAAGATGAAGGGCATGTGCCAACCGCCCAAATAAAATGTAAATATTCTTTATTATAAAAATGTTATTCCTTTGTGTCAAAATTATAAACATACATTAAACCTAAAATCTAAGGGAGGAAGAGGGAAAAAAAACTTTTTAATGACAAACATTTGCAAGACTAACAGACCTAATGCTTAAGTGTAGAAGTTGCTCGTATACTCAATACCAACATACACTTACCCATTCATACTGTGTTCATCACTGCAACACTTGGAAGACCTCACTAAGACAAGCTCTTGTTATAAAGCCCAGGCTGGATTCAGTATTCCAGTGATTATAGGCAGGTAAAACCCACCCAAAACTACTGTTAATGTTAAGTATAAGAAGCAACATCAGGATATAAAAATTTTAAACAAAATTGGCTATCATCTGCTGGTTGAAGATGGCTATTGAAATACTTATCTACCTTACTTTTCCTTTTATTTATATTCTGATTGATATTTCCCATAATAAAAAATTCCTAGCAACTCATGCACATATAAAAATGAATGGATTAAAAAAATGAATGGATTAAGGGAATAATTTACTGGATAACAAGGAGAAAACATGAACTGACCTTAAAAATACAAATTAGTCATGGTATTCCCTCCAAACACCCCTCTCCTCCATATATCTTCTACTTACCATGCAGAAGAGATGTAAAGCTCACATGCATAAGCTTTATTAAGTAGCTCCACACCATTTCTGTCTATCACTACACAAAGAAGTAAGAAAAGAAGGTGTATATACCAGTAAACGTACTTGCATCGTCCCTTTCTATTCTGGTCCCATCACTAGTTGACACGCAAGTAAAGTGCAGGGGCTCAACTTCTAAAAGTCCAGTGAGAGATGTGAAGCTTCCCTCAGCAGCTGTGCAACTGCTGACTTTTCCATTTCCTAGTGCAGAAAGAAAAATCTTATAATGCATGAATATAATCTACAAAAGACATGAAGTAGCAATAATCATGACTACTATACCAACTCTAATTGTTATAAAACGTATAAACCTCACACATTACTTCAACAAAAAGTACATTTTAAAAATCTATAAGCAAAGATACTAGCTTCCTTCATTAAAAAGCAAGTTGGTAGGAATTCACAGTAATAAGAAACTTACAGCATGTGTCAAACTAAATCTTTTGAGTAGTAAAACTACAGTGAAATAATTACAACAACAACAAAAAAATTCAAATTGAACACTGGAGTTGTAAATTTTGAAAACTGCTTTTTTGTGTGTATTAATATTTCTATGTTTCTTTTCTTTTTGGGGGGTTTTGTTTTGTTTTGGGGTTTTTTTAAAGGAGGGTTCAAGATAGGATTTCTCTGTGGCTTTGGAGGCTGTCCTGGAACTAGCTCTTGTAGACCAGGCTGGTATCGAACTCACAAAGATCCGACTACCTCTTAATCCCCAAGTGATGAGATTAACGGCATGTGCCACAAACACCCGACAATATTTGTATGTTTCACTATAAAAGATCCTTAACATAATGGACAAGGTTTCAGATTTTGGATTTTCAATATGTGTATGTTCAACTTGTACTTTTTTTACTGTTGTTTTTGGTTTTGGGGTTTTGTTTTGTTTTTTTGTGAACGAACAAAGAAATTAAATTATTTCAAATGGTTTAATAAGGAGATGGTAACTTAAACTCAGTACCTAACATTTAGAAGGACAAATAAACTACAGAATTATACCTGAAAGAACATCCGATAAATCAATTTCGTCTGACTGGACACCAATGCTGCTATTATATACATTTTTACAAGAAGAGCCACTCATCTCCAAGTCAAAAAGGACTGGATCAAATGGTGAACTGTATAATCCATATCTGAGAAATGAAATAATGTAGTAAACAATTTACTTCTCTGCCATTTAATTAAGAAATTACGTATTTTGTCTCAAAAGCAGTTTGACTAAAAGGGACATTAAATTCACTGAACAACAGAGAAAACTACATTCCAAAACACTGTCGAGAGAGTCAATAAACATGATTCAAATAAACTGGCAGCCAATGCAACAAGACTGATTTCACAGCCTGAGGTAATGGAAGGAAGAAACAGAATGAATAAAAAAATTGGCACTCCTTTCCTCCCACTCCATCACCACAACGACAACAGAGACAATAACACGTTCTAGAAAAGCAGTGTACTAAATAAAGGAATGGCCAACTTTAAAAGCTGAATATCAGGGGCTAGAAACCTGGCTTGGTGATGAAGAGCACTTGATGCTGTTACAGAAGACCAGAGTTTGATTCCCAGCACCCACATATTGGTTTACAACAATTCATAACTCCAGGTCAGGTTAGGTGCCACCCTCTCAGGACACACACTGACACATATAAACTAAAATCTAAACTTTTTCTTTAAAAGCTGAAGACCAGGAAAGAAATTGTAAATCCAAACTTTTGTTATTTCACTACATGAATATTTAAAGAGTGTCAGGTAAAAATAACAAGGGATTTATATGATAACACCTTAAAGCTGTACAATTAATAAATTACATTACATCCTCTTGGATCAGCAATGTATCTTTATTAAATACAATTAGGGCTGGAAAGATAGCTACAATGGCTTGACTTATAGAGAACCTGGCAACTCACACCGGTTTCAACTGCAGTTCCAGGGACCCAGCACACTTTTCTAGCCTCCATGAGCCCTGCATACATGTGATGCACAGACATAACATGCAGGCAAAAACGGGGGAAAAAAGAAAACAAAACATATAAAACAAGCTTTAAAAAATACAATTAGCTCTCTGAGTAAACTTCAATAGAATGTTACTAATCACTGGAAACATAGAAAGGAGGACCTTAGACTAGTCACATTTAGAAGAATACTTAGAATAAATTAATACACATTTTAAGGTAAAACACTGTATCAAGTATCTAGTAGCACTATTAGGAGGTAGGCTTAGGAGATTCCTATGCTTAAGCTATGCCCAGTGTCACAGTTCACTTCCTGTGGATCAAGATATTGAACTCTCAATTCTTCTCCAGGATCAAGTCTGCCTGCAAGATGTCATACTTTCCCCACAATGATGATAGTGAATTAAATCTCTTGAATGTGAGTCACCCCAATTAAATGTTTTCCTTTGTAAGAATCACAGCAATAGAAATCCAAACTAAGACACTTAGCAATTAACAGTTCTGTATGCACTATTCATAATTTAAGATGTTAAAACAAACCTTGTTTGAAGTAGAGCCTCCAATGGTGTCAGCCTGTCCTGCAACTGTCTGGAAACAGCAGTCAGTAAAGCTGCACAAGCTGTACTGCATCCAGCCAAGTCTTCATCCTTAACGTAATTTAGCAGTACAAAATACCAATAGACAGAGCCTAGAAACGACAACAGAATCAAGTCTTGGGCTCTTTCTTCTCTACCATATAGAACTTAGTTTCCATGTTTATAAATCCAGCTACCTATACTAAAAAGATACTTCCTCTTTCAGGAAAGATAATTTGTAACAATTTAGGAAGAAAGAACAAAGAGTTCTAGAACACTAATAATATAAACAGCATCCTGAAGAAGAGTCTTAGATTAAGAATTCCAAGCACTTGACCACCCCCCACCCGCAAACCTGACGAAGCGGGTATTGAACCTAGCCCAGAAACAACACTGTAGACTACCCTCCCCTCCATGTGTGCACTGTGGCATGTACCCCTTCCTATCCACAAATACAGAAATAATTCCCTAAGGATTTTATAGCACTTTTCAGGATTACATAAATCAAAATTGTGTTACAAGTACATTAATGTGCAAGGCTCCAGGCAAAATTAGGCCTTTAATCTCAACAATCAGGATTCAATAGTAGGAAAATCTCAGGACTAGCCTGATCTACATAGCTCCTATGCACTGCAGAATTATACTTCAAAGGTCAACCTATCAGGGATGCATAACTCATGGAGAAATAGACCTTATTTAGCAAGGCAATAAGGACTGAGATGCACATCTCAGCAACCTTATCTGCAAGGTGATAAGGAATATGTCAGCTGTGCTCATTGCAGATTTCTTGTGTGAAGAGCTCTTTCCCTAAAATTACAACTCGGGGGATTTTCCAACAGCACTACAATGTGTTAATTGCTTACTGAGCATGATTTCCCCCTAAGCATTGGTATATTGGATGACTCTCCCCAGTAATGCATGATTCTGGCAAGAAAGTAATCACAGTCAATACCCTTACTCTCTCAACCAGGTCTTCTTACAAACTTAACTATTTATTATTAAAGTAATTTTACATACCACCAGTTGCTGCTGCTGGCAAAAAGCACATATTGTCAAGTAAAGCCTTCAAAAGAACAGATCCAAATCCAGGCTGACAGGGGTCACATTTGCCATTACTAGAAAATTGTTATTAAAAAGGAAAGAAAGACATTATTTATTATTTAAATTCAACCCTACACTTGGCATAGTACTTGAAAAGCCAAGGCACCAAGAGTTTTCTCCCCAGTTAGACAATTATGGTTACTAAGAAGGGCAAAAGCAGGTGCCATTCCTCTTAAATACTTCCTAGACAGTTAGGAAACTCTAGGACTCAGCAAGACAAGGAATAAAGTGGTGGACAATCAAGCAGTAAGAATGGGGGAAGGCCACCACTCACCAAATTCTCACTATTGCAGTAATTAAGCCAAATGGACTTATTTAACATTGCATTCTACCCTAAGAACCCCAAATTCTTCTTTAGGATTGCATGGTTATAAACTGCTGAAAAGTTACTCATGGATATGACGAGAATCAAATTACATCATAGACAAGATATCAGCACAAAACCATGGATACAATTACAAAGTATGCTTTAAAATAAAAACAGACCAACCTAATGCACAAGGCTAGAAACCGGGCACATTTATGGGCTATACTTCGTCCTGCCTCAAAGAAGCAAACACGGACAATGTCTGAAAGACATTTTCGCGTTTTTGAAAGCAGGCAATCGTTTCCTTCCTTAGAACTGCAAAATAAGAGAAGATAAACTCATTTGGTCTCTAAATCTTAGCAGCCAAAGGAAAATCATTAAGGTAACCAAAATCCCAATTATTTACCTGCCAGGTCCATTTGAATGGACTCCAGCTAACCAGCAGAGAGCGTCCAACACAAGACTCTGAGCATGTTCTGTGACCTGCCCATCATCTGATCTTCTACAAAGAGTGTTAAGAAGCTTCTCGTGAAATTCTGAAAACTGTAACATGGCACAACGCTGAACCCTAAAAAGAGAAATATAGTATATTTATACCAGTGCAAACAAAACAACTAGAATAATGCTATGCAATATGGAGTGTTAAATACTGTTTCATATAAAATAATAAATATCAAAACTAAGCTTTCAGGGCTGGGGTAGTTCAGTAGAAGAAGACTAGCCAGCATGGTTAAAGCCCTAGATTCAAAGCCTAAGAACACAAAAGAGGGTATAAAAAAAAAGGATTAAAAAGCTTATTAAGTAGTATTATATAAAGCACAGAATTCATAGTATTTTAAAGGAAAACAAACTTATAGTAATGTGATCAAACAGAGTGTAGTTGGGAGCCTCAAATCATGATTCTTAAATTTCTTACAGATCCCTTGTGCACAGTTAAGTAACAGAGACCAGATAAAGCACTGACAGCAACTGAAAGCCCTCAAAGACTGTCATTTGCTTAGAGAATGGGAAAGGAAACACATACTTCCAGGGGCAAGACACTCAATCATGTGTTTAATTGTCTTTTCACAGTCATAATAGCAGAATCGCAACATGTGGGGAGGCACACCTTAAACCCTAGGATGAAGGAGTTGGAGGCGGGAGATTAAGTTCAATGTTAGCCTGGAAGTACCAGAGACCTGTGGCAAAACAAAAGAAAAAAGAACAGTAGACTAATGAAATGTGATTACCTTTCCTTTGAAATTGAAGTTTTCTTAAATCTCCGAATGGTGACAGAGACCTCTTGAAGTAAGTCACATCCCCGGAGATTTTCAGACTTACGAGTACTTCCTGCATTTTCATTTTTAACATTAGATGATTTTTCCTAAAGATACAAAATTAAGTAATTTAAGACAAACAAATGAAACTAAAAAGATAAAATAAAAGTAGATTCCAAATACCAAAAAATAAATTTGAGATTAAACTAATAAATGCCTATGTTTCCACAAAATTTTAACAGGAAAAACAGTCAAAATTTTAAAATCCCAATAATTAAAAATTATACAACCAAAACTCTGAGTCTAATCCTCAGATACAGAAATATAGAGATAATAGCACCTGTTTGGCCTAGCTCAGAGTTACTTTGAGGATTAAATCTGACAAAAAATTTTGAAAACAGGAACACATATGTAAATCCAAGTTGATGGGGGTGTTACTGATAATATTGCTAATGTTTCTTAATAATAATAATAAAAATATAAAGAAATAAAACCCAAGTTCAGGAAAATCTATACTTGTCTAAGTATGAAGAACTTTGCATACCTATAGAAAATTGGCCATGAAAATAAAGGCTGTCTCGAAAATTATTTGCTAGCAGCCTCATGAAGAGGTCAAAAAAATCACAAAAAAAAAAAAAAAGTCCCAAGTTTAGAGGGAAGTACCTTCTAAAAATACTCCCTATTGGCTGAGTACGGTTTATAAAAGCTAAGTTATTTGCTGAGAGGTGGTGGCACACAGCTTTAATCCCAGTACTTGGGAGGCAGATGCAAGTGGATCTCTGTGAGCCTGGTCTACAGATCAAGTTTCAGATCAGCCAAAGCTATGCAAAAAAAACCCTGCCAGAAGAAATCAAAAAACAAAACAAAGAACAAAAAACACACTAAATAATTTATCCAAAGTTAATTTGAAACATCTTAATTTTGATTGTATATTTTTTAAGTACCAATAGACGAAGCAGCAAGCACACTGTCAAGCAAGGGAAGCATACCTTCCAACAAACCTCAGTCACAGAATTGTCCCATCCAAATACCAGGTTCATACCTTGCCTGCTGCAACCTTTGCCAAGAGAGAAGCAAGAGAGTAGCCCTTGTGACCCTGGTGTTTCAGAGATGGAAGCCTCACAACAGGACGCATGCCACTGCTACACATCTCATCTGCTCCTCTTTCATTCACTGCTTTGACATGGATTAAGAACGAGCGATATTTCCCTCCTGCCATACCTGGAAGAGTGGAGAGTGGGATGAAAACTTAGTGCCAAAAAAGTAAACTTTATCATCATTATGGAGCAACATCAGTACTAACTTAGCAAAATGAAAATATACAAGGCCAGAAATTCCAGTTTATACTTTCTTATTACATAATGGAACAATTTCAATATGACCGCTGAATTAATTGATTGATTGATTGATTAATCAATCAATCAATCAAGCTTTAAGAGTCTAAGATAACCCGGGCATTGGTTGTGCACAACTTTAGTCCCAGCACATGGGAGGTAGAGGCAGGTGGTGGATCTCTTGTGAGTCCGAGGCCTACAGAGTGAGTTCCAGGGTAGCCTCCAAAGCTACAGAGAAACCCTGTGTGAGAGAGGGAGGGGAGGGGCAGAGGGAGGGAGAGAGGGAGAGAAGGATAGAGAGAGAGAGGGAGAGAAAGAAGGATGGAGGGAGGAGAGAGGGAGAGAGGGAGAGAGGGAGGGAGGGAGGAAGGGAGGGAGGGAGGGATGGAGGCAGGGAGGGAGGGAGGGAGGGAGGGAGGGAGGGAGGGAGGGAGGGAGGGAAACTTTCTGAATGCAATAGAGAAAAGTTTGCTATAACTACCAGGTTTTGGTTATTAACTGTGCCCTTTCAGGAATGTGACAAATATTTTCTTGTGGTTCGGCTCCTTCTCATAAATAATAGTGCCTATACCTTGGCACTATTAACTAAAACTCTTGTAAGAAAGAATTCAACAGTTACTAACTCTAATATGTGGTCTCATAGCCTCTATCATTGATGTGTAAAATATGTTGCAAAAATATTCTCAAATAAATAACCCAAGAAATACAGTATCAGACTGCTGCTGTGACAGGTACTAAGTCTTTGAAGGGAGTGAATAGCTACCCACTGTTTTCCACATTTCTACCTGCCTCTAGAGCTGGACCACATTAGACTTGTTTCTCTCTGACCCCAGTAGCCAAGGTGCTGCTGGACTTTCTTACTACTGTACAGTCTCCTGGGCTCTGACATGACTCCCCACCTTAATCTCCTGCTTCAAACTTTATTCTGACACAACTCATACCAATCAGAGTTCTATAATTTTAAAGATAATGAGGGCCGAGTGTGGTGGTGCAAGGCCTTTAATCCTAGCACTCTAGAGGCAGATGGATCTCTGAATTCTACACCAGCCTAATTTATATAATGAATACCAGGTCAGGGCTATATAGAGACCCTGTCTCAAAAAAGAAAGGGGAAAAAAAATCTCCAAAACATTTCCTGAGACATGCAACGTAATGTGTCCTTGTTTTGTCTAAGCATTTTTCCATACAATACTCATTTAAACTCTGAATACTAAAAGATATTTGATTTTTCATGCAACTACTTTTAAGAATGAACCCAAATACATCATAGGATCTCAAAGATTTTATCAACAAATGACACACAGTCATGAAGTACAATGAAACTTGTTTATGTATAACTTACCTTTAACTAGGAGTGTACATTTCAAAACCACCCAATAGATGGTGCTGAACCCTATATTTTCCTAAAGCATAAAACTGTGATGAAGCTACATAATCCTACCTCAAAGACACATCAGATGCCCAAAACCCACAACAAAAGTTTCACATAAACAGGTACTGATGACAGCTGATAACTTTACACATAGGAAGCTGGAAGTTCTAATTAAAGTTACAAACAAAACAGCATTTTTATTATGCTGGTATTATTTATTCTGCTTTCATATAAAATAAGTTACTTCACCTTTAACAAGTTTGGGGCTTGTCAATGTCAGCATCCCAGCATGACCTGATAGATCAAGACCACTAGCAAGCCATACTGGGCCACACAGAATGTCTTCTTTATGGTCCTCTAAAAATGGACATAACCTAACACCTAAAAAGAAAAAAATACATATTTTTTCTCCCAGTGTATTATAGATATATCCATCCCATTTATATGGTAACACCACACAAAGTACAATACACAGAACATGTTCCAACAAAGCATCATCATGCTAAGGAGTATAATCAATTATCTATGTTACATGTCTTTTTCCACTCTAATTTTACATTTCACCTTCATTTTCAAGAAAGAACCTATAGCATCATGGCTATTTCAAATCACAAGGCATTAAAAACTAGGACACAAGTATTAGTGCAGCCATATTTGCAAAGGTGAACTGAAAGTGACAGCACATTGCCAAGCAGAATTATAGGTTACTTTTCATCACACTCTTAAAACCGAGCTTTTGCAAGCCCCAAGGAATTCTCTCCCGATAGGGTGCACTAACAGCACTGCTCCTTTACTGACAGGGACAGCAGCTCTGCAGTTGAACTCACACTGTGACTCCTCTACATCCATGTGCTGCATCTCTTCATTCAAATCAACCAGAGACGGGCTCCCATTTTGTTCCACTTCAATGTTAAGAGCTGGAGACAAAGGAAAGGTGATCTGCCTATCTACTGCTGTTTCTAGAGGATAAAAATATTAGTAAACTTAATTTTGTTTAGTATCAATAATTTTTTTGCCTAAAAATCTAAAACCTTCTGCTAAACAGGGAACTATGATTTTCATCACAGAAAATATTCAATGGTTGTCAAGAGGAGAAAGTTAAACTCAATGATTTTATACTTTTCCCTCTACAAATAGTTGTCTGAAGTCCTAGATTCATTACATGAAAATGTCATAAGAATACACAGATAGACAGACACACACACACACACACACAGACACAGACACACACACACACACACACACACCCTCACCCTCAAGTATGCAAACACACAAATTTGTAGCAAAGGAAAATTTTCAGATTTGAATGTTTGCACCCTTTGTTTTGGGGTGCCACTTTACACTCAATTTATTGTCAATTTTTTAAATGAATTTTTAAAGAAAAACAAATGCTGAGAAGTAACATCTAGTCCCTACCATGCTTAATCCATGAAAAATTTGAATTATTTCTGGCATTACATGAAAGGCTAGCTTGACTGATTACTTTTAAACAATGATTTCCAAAACAGTTTTTCTTACCACAAAGTCTTCCTTTAAAAAGACAAAGCATAAAGCTAGCAATCACAGAAGTGGAACTAATGTCATTTCACAAAGACCTGATTAAATTATTCACCATTACAAATTCTGCAAATTGCTAAGTTACTGGAAAAATCTGAAATGTCCTTTAGATGACTCTGACTCTAGTTCTGAGGAGCAGGAAGAGCCAGAACTACCAGCCAAGTTGACAATTAGCTTCTGTAATGACACTAACCACAAGACAAGGTCTTCCAACATTAACTCTGACCCCTCTTACCATTGGCTTTCCCTAGGCCTGGAGCCTTGTTCTTCAGCAGTGTCACTTGTATCTGGGGAACACTGGTGATGTTCGAGTTCAGAACGAATTTGAAGTCTACATGTCCAACCATACAGGCTTTAGGTAGAACCAATTCAAATACATGTTCATCCCAGCTGTTGCTGTCAAGAAAGGTAAAAAATGCTAAGTAGAGCAAAAGTCTTCTTCACACATAAATACTATCACTAGCCTCATATCACCTTTCCTACCACTCGAACAAATCCTGGGATGCTGAAAACTCTACACAAAACTGAGACACAAAGACACTGCCTCAGAAAAAGACAGGGAGGACCGAGGCTGAAGATATGGCTCAGTGGTTAAAAGAAAACTTTACCAGAGGTCCCAAATTCATTTACAAGTACTCATGTTGGGCAACTCATAACTACCATTAAGTCCAGTAGCAAGGTATCTGACCTCCTCTTCTGGCATCCATGGTCATGCACACACATGTGGCATATACTTAAACAGATACACACATAGGAATAAATAATGTTCTTGTTTTGTTTGTTAAAAAAGTTATTTGCCATGAAATATGAAGAGAAAGTAACTGTCTCACAAAAGAGGGGTGAAACTCAGGGCAATGGTCTTACCTTAACATTCTGTACCTGCCTTGTTGTTCATAACAACAAAGACCTTGACCATCAACATGAGATTCTGTCATACATCAATTACCTGAATCTATGAATGGGGTCCTAGAATCTTCACTGTGAAACAAAAACTCCTTACAAATGTACTGCTGCTTAGTCTCATCTCTCACAGCAGAGGTAAATATATCAGAAAATTCTATCCGGTCTACCTTAAAATTGTATCCAGACTCCAATTACTCTTTTCACTACCTCCATCATTATTACTATCTTCTAAGGTAACATCTGCAGTTAAGCAATCAAACGAAAACATTTGCTTCTACAGCAACCCTACCATCACAATCCACAACCATAACTACCTGTTGCTGATCCCCAACAGAAAACTCAGGGAATTTCTGAACTATAAATTGTTGTCAAAGCTTTCCTGTGTTCAAAAGCCTCTAACATCCTAACCTCCTCCCATTCAGAAGCTGGACCTTATTTCCTACCACTCTACTATATTCTCCACCCTCCAACAACAATGGTTTTCTTACTCTAAAGGTCTTAAGATACACTATTTCAGGGCTTTATACTTGTATTGCCCCTGAATCAATATCATCATATACAGGGCTTTCTAAGAATGTTCACTCTTGCCCTTCTGCTCAAATTCATTCTTGTCTTTCCTCCCCCGCCACCTCTAGGCTAGTCTAATCACAGCCATCTTTGAATTATGACTATAGCATAGGATTTATCTGTTCACTGTTTGGTGCCCACTAAAATATGCCTTTCACAAGAATCATAGTACTAGTCTCTACAAGAGTACCTGTTTTTCACACAAGTATTTAAATATTCACTAAAGAAATCTACAGCTGGGCGGTGGTGGTGCACGCCTTTAATCCCAGCACTCGGGAGGCAGAGGCAGGGGGATCTCTGTGAGTTCGAGGCCAGCCTGGTCTACAGAGCGAGTTCCAGGACAGCCTCCAAAACAATACAGAGAAACCCTGTCTCATAAAACCAAAAAGAAAAAAGAAAAATAAATAAATAAATAAAATAAATAAAGAAATAAAAGAAATAAAAGAAAGAAAGAAAGAAAGAAAGAAAGAAAGAAAGAAAGAAAGAAAGAAAGAAAGAAATCTGCAGACTAAGCAATCAAGTAAGAAACAGTAGGTTATCTCATCCTACAACATGAAACAGTACAGGAATATTCAAAATCAAATGACAAACTAAAGGGAGAAAAGTTATTAATAATAAAATATTAAGAGAAATAGTAACGGTAAAGCCCAGTACCTGTCAGTCTGCAGTTTCCAAGTCCGGGTGTGCTGAGCAGCATCTCCATGGTGCTGCTGGTGCAGGTGCTGAGGGTGCCGTCTTTGCTGCTGCTCTTGTTGCACTTCTACCCAACACGGAGGAACAGTAGCTGAAAATCGTGGAGTCAGTGTCTCAAATCGAGTTAGCTCTACTAGAGACGTCAAGATTTCAAGTGTGAATGGCTGGTCCACCAATAAATCAACTCCTTGACAGTCGTGGACAAGTATTTGAAACAAATTTAAAAAGAAAAGATGTTATTTTAAGTCATGTTTTTTGTCTATTCAAAATACAACATGCCACGTGTATGAAAGCTGACAAAGCAGGCTACAGAATCTCTAACCCACACTAGTTAGCACTGACCATGTGACAGCTCAGTCAGTACACCCAAACCCATTCTGTTAGAAATGGACAAACATGGAATTAAAACACAAACCACCTCACTCACATCAGCGATTAACTTTTATAACATGCTATTTAAAAAGCAAATGCAAAGTACCAGTAATAAATAAGAAATGCCTTTTTAAAATCAATTAAAAACTTTAAGGCCAAGCAACGGTGGTGCATGCCTTTAATCCCAACACTCAGGAGGCAGAGAAATGCTGATCTCTCTGAGTTCAAAGCCAGACTACTCTACAGAGTGAGTTCCAGGACAGCCTAGGCTACAGAGAAACCCTGTCTTGAAGGCCCCTCCCCCTAAAATTAAAATAGCCAAAGGCTAGACTGACAGCAATAAAAATTTACAAACACAAAGATTAAACTATGCCTTCTTTTCTGTGACAGACATCTAAACACACCAATGTTAAATAAGTGAAAATGACCACACTTTATGCTTCTAACTCCTAAAGTTAACTACATCAACTAGTGGTCACCAAGAGTTTACTTTATGTATAAGAGAAAAACATTAGAATGACAAACTGTAAGGGACCTCTATAAACCAACTTCAGATATTATTCCTATTTAGAATCCGTGTAACATTTTAATGGGGAGGCAGTGGGGGAGGAAATGAATTGGAGTTTCACACTACCTAGACAACTGACCTGTGTATGTATACATGTCCTTATGTGAGTATGTACATATGAGCACAGGTGTCCTTGGAGACCAGAGGCATCAGAGCTACTAGAGGTGGAATTACAGACTGTTGTAAACTGTTGACATTAGTGCTGGCAACTGAACTCTAGTCCTCTGGAAGAGTAGCAACTGCTCCTAAGTGCTGAGCCTTCTCTTCAGCTCCAATGTCCCTCTCTTTCACATGGTATTCTGTAGTTAAACTAAAAGCTATATATTGAGAGAAAAGGCCAAGCAAGATGGCTCAGTGAGTAAAAGTACTACTGCCAAACCTAACAACCTGGGTTCAGTCTCCTGGAGAACCTACTCCAACTTGTCCTCTGACTTCCACACAAGTAATGTGGCATGCATACATGCACATACGCGAGCATGCGCACATGCGCACAATGAATGAATAATTAAATAAAATGTGATTTTTCAAAAACAAGAGAAATGTTTTTACTTCTTAGGCAGATTTCACTAATGCTGATGAGACTATGAAAATGATTCCTTTCTTTAGTGAATTTGTAACATTTTTCAACTACCAGAAAAGATAACAATAAATAATGTATAATAATACATATAATAATAAGCCTGGTCAAGGAATGTCTTTCTAAACAGTAAAATCAAGACTTCATTATTTAAAAAGAAAATAAATACTGTTATAAGGGTATTCTTAATTATTTAAAAATGTAGTGTCTTACCTGAAATACCAGGACTTGAAGGATTTGATAAAGGTCTGGAACCTTCTAAAGATGGTTCTATTCCTTTAGAAAGGGATCCATCTACCAGAATATCAGCTTCATCAATATCGTCACAGGTTCCTCCAATTTGGAGAAAATGAAGCTCACCACCTACAGTATAGTAAAATTTCATCAAAAAATACATAGAAAATGGTTTAAAATTTAAATGCAGTATTAACTTAAAATTCAGTTTATTTCATAAATACGACTCAATACAAAAAGCATTATAGCAGTTATCTGTGTCAAGGAATTTGGAAATTTAGTTGCAATGAACTACAACCAACTTAGTAAAGAAAATGACAGAGATATTTTATCTCAGGACTACAGAAATGGTCCAGTGGTTAAAAGCATTTCATCATGCAAAAGACCTGGGTTCAATTTCTACCACCTTAATGGCAGCTCACAACCATTTGTAACTTCTGTTCCAGGGGATCTTAGACTTTTGTCTGGCCTCCAATGGCATAAATACATGCACAGACATACATGTAAGCAAAACACTCATACATATTCTCTCTTTTTTTTTTTTTTTCATTTTTTTTTTTTTTTTTTTTTTTTTTGGTTTTTCGAGACAGAGTTTCTCTGTGGCTTTGGAGGCTGTCCTGGAACTAGCTCTTATAGACCAGGCTGGCCTCGAACTCACAGAGATCCGCCTGCCTCTGCCTCCCAAATGCTGGGATTAAAGGCGTGCGCCACCAACGCCCGACTTCATACATATTCTTAAAGGTATTTATTCTCATATCCATTATATTATATAACACAATACTTTGATATCTTTAATTAATCTAAACTTTACCGAAAGTCTTTGAAACAGGGTCTGTTCCCATTATCATTATATATATATATATAAATTGACAGGCCATTCTATTGATTCCAGAAGCAATAAAAATGAACAAACATTCTTAACTTTTGATACACTTACAATGAAGTAAAACTAAACAAATATTCTTAATTTCTGATTCACTCACAATGAAATTTTAAAAAGAATATCAAATTTCTAGTTTTCATATCTATCACATAAAAAGAAACAACAAATGAGAAATGAGACTGAAACAAAAAAACCAAATGATTACAAATGTTACATTGTAACATGAGTTTCCCTTTCAAAAGAAAAGCTATTGTACACAGAGCCATAAAACTTTTCTGTCACATATTTAAATATATGACTATAAACAGTGAAGGTGAGATAAGTGATGAAAACCTGCCAATTCACTACCACTTCCTAAGGGAACTTGACCTACAGAGCTTTGAGAGTTTAGTTTCAAGTGGGAAGCCAACAAGGTCTTCTACAGAAGGTTATATATTCCTGTTTGGAGTAATAAAAACCCTGAAAAATCAGATGTCAAATAGAATTAACAAGTAGTAAGAGAAGGATCAGGGACACACTCTCCCCACACAGCCCATTCAGATGCTTCACACATGGTCAGCAACCACCAGAGAGGCCCCAAGTCAGTCAGCCTAAGCATCCCCTTCAATCCAAGACACTTGAGGATTCCACCAGAAAATAAAATCAGAAATACAGACATGACCACATTGTATAAGGTTGTAAGACACAGCAACCTGGCTGAACACAGAAACAGTAGGTAAGAATCAAGGCTTCCTCCAACCCACCCTCAAGCAAACAAAGCAACCCTAATTAAAGTCAGGAGGCAGGGTATGTGTGTGTGACCTGTCAGGAGGGAAGGAGAGTGCATGCACACATACATGGGTGCATGCATACATTCATACATGTGGGCCTGTGTGCAAGTGTGTGTGACCTGTTAGGAAAAAAGGGTGTACAAAAAGAAGAACATAAGATATTATAATAAGGCTGTGATTATAATCAAAATACATAGCACATAGGTATAAAATTTAAATTAACATAAAGAAACAAGCCATAAAAATAAAAACCAAGGGGAAAATGAGGACAGTCATCTGTAACAACACACTGCAAAGAAAACAAACTTCAGAGTCAGTTGAGTTACAAAATACACTAGGCAACAATAATCCTTAAGGAGGACAGAACCAGACTAAGCTTCTGTAATACTAAATGCCAAGCCATGAATTATGATGGACCAAGAAAAGACTACCCCACACTTACTGAGTAAGAGGGGAAAAGGAGCAGGCCCTGGTGATGTATGCCTTTAATCCCAGCACTCAAGAAAGATTTTTGGTGGGGAAAACTTTACTAATTTTATGGAAAATATTATCCCACAAATCTGCTCAGTTAAATGAACTCAGCAAACTGAGAGACTCACATACAAATTGTTAACAAGCAGTGGCTGTAAGAATACCATGCAAAGGGTTTGAGTGACTGTGCCTCTAGTACAATGTTGGAGTGACATTCCCAGCATCTCTATCAGCTCACAACTCCCTGTAATGCCACCTCCACGGGAGATTTGATGCCTCTGGTCTTTGGGACACCAGCATTCCATGACACATAATCCAAAGTAATAAAAACAAACCAACATGTCCCTATCTTCTAACAGAGATGGGGGAAAAAAAACAGACACCTTAAAACATTTGAGCTGAGGGCCCTAAAAGAGACATGCATGGTGCCCTGGAGAAGGGGGGACAGCATCTCCTGAGCAGATTGGGAGCATGGGTGGAGGGGAGAGGGAGCATGGAGAAAGAGAGGGGGAGAAGAGGAAGGCAAAGGGGGACATGGGGTTACAGGGTAAGAATAGAGGAGAGCAGGATGAGAGATACCATAATAGAGAGAATCATTATAGGTTTGAGGAGAGATCTGGCACTAGGGAGATTTACAAGGGAGATTTCCAAAGATCTTCAAGGATGACTCCAACTAACATTCTAAGCAATAGTGGAGAGGCTACCTTAAATGTCCTTCCCCGATAATGAGATTGACGACTACCTAGAACCTTCATCCAATGGCTGATGGAAGCATAGGCAAACACCCACAGCTAAACACTGAACTGAACTCCTAGAACCCAGTTGCAGAGAGGGAGGAATGATGAGCAAAGGGGCCAAGACCAGGCTGGTGAAAAACACACAAACAGCTGACATGAACAAGGGGGAATTCAGAGACTCCAGACTGATGGCTGAGAGTCCAGCATGGAACTGACCCAGAGGCCATAAACGTGGGTGTCAGTGAGGAGGACTCAGCAATCTATAGGGCCTTAGGTAGTAGATAAGTATTTTTAAGTCTGGAGTACAATAAATTGTACTGAGTAAAGCTGAAAACTTTACTAAAATTTTAATCTCTCTCTCTCTCTCTCTCTCTCTCTCTCTCTCTCTCTCTCTCTCTCTCTCTCTCTCTCTCTCTCTCTCTCTCTCTCTCTCTCTCTCTCTCTCTCTCTCTCTCTCTCTCTCTCTCTCTCTCTCTCTCTCTCTCTCTCTCTCTCTCTCTCTCTCTCTCTCTCTCTCTCTCTCTCTCTCTCTCTCTCTCTCTCTCTCTCTCTCTCTCTCTCTCTCTCTCTCTCTCTCTCTCTCTCTCTCTCTCTCTCTCTCTCTCTCTCTCTCTCTCTCTCTCTCTCTCTCTCTCTCTCTCTCTCTCTCTCTCTCTCTCTCTCTCTCTCTCTCTCTCTCTCTCTCTCTCTCTCTCTCTCTCTCTCTCTCTCTCTCTCTCTCTCTCTCTCTCTCTCTCTCTCTCTCTCTCTCTCTCTCTCTCTCTCTCTCTCTCTCTCTCTCTCTCTCTCTCTCTCTCTCTCTCTCTCTCTCTCTCTCTCTCTCTCTCTCTCTCTCTCTCTCTCTCTCTCTCTCTCTCTCTCTCTCTCTCTCTCTCTCTCTCTCTCTCTCTCTCTCTCTCTCACAGAGATCTGTCTGCCACTGCCTACCAAGTGGGATTAAAGGCATGCGCCATCATTGCCCAGCTAAAATTAAATCATGCCAGCATAGATAAAACAAAAGATTTACTGAATTCAAAGACAGGCTACATGGAAAAGACAACAATTTGGGAGGAAAAGGAACAGAGATGGCAGGAATTTTGATAGTAACTATTTGAGGTATTGGAGTTCAAGAAAGATTTGAGGATGTGAAAAGGATAGGAATTTTACTTTAAAAATAGTAATAGAAAAATTCCCAAACTTAAAATACAAATATCCAGGCACAAAAAGGTCAAAGGTCACTACTCAATTCAACCAACTCTACCCCAAGACTTTAATCTTTCACAGGTGAAAGATCCTCATGACAATAAGAGAAAAGAAAAGCACATATGTTCCCTCAATTTACAATTTACTTGACTGCTAATTGTTCAAAACAAAATTACAGGGGTTTTTTGTTTTGTTTGTTTTCAGAAGAATCCCACTATCTAGCCGTAGAATGCACTGAGCAGACCAGACTGGCCTCAAACTCTCCCTGCCTCTATCACCTGCATGCTGGAGTCAAAGGTATGCACCACCACACTCAACTGGCTTGAACAGAAACTTTATGAAGATGAAAAAATAGCAAGATTTCAAACATCTGAAATGGAAGGGGGGGGAGATCTCAAACAATGTTTCTAAAAAAGCTAAGTTTTAGGATAAAGGAGAAATATTTTGCCATCCAAATAAAACCTGAAAGAAAATATGCTTAGCAGATAGGTTTTTCTTGTTGGTGGAGGTGGTTTTATTGTACGCTTTCTCACATAGCCTAGGCTGGCCTTAAATTCATGATGTAGGCAAAGGTAGATCCTCCTAACTCACTAAGGTTAAAGGAATGAGCCACCACAGCTTCCACTTCAAACACATTCTATCACAAAAGCTAAAGGAAAGGATCCAGAACTAAAGAAAGATAATTATTGAAAAAACAGAGAGGCATAAAATTCATGGCAGCAGTAGTTATACAAATTCAAGCCAATGCAAAAGTGTAAACCAAGACAGCTTATGAAAATGCAAGCAGAAATGGAATGCAAATGGGGTGTTTTTATAAATAAATTTCATTTTTCTTTTATTCTGTTCTTACTCTTAAATTTTTATTACATTTATTTGTTGTCTATGTGTGTGCCTATTCATGTAAGTGAACATGCCACAGCATACATATAGAAGTCAAAGGAATTGTTTCTCTGCTTCTACCATATAGGTTACAGGGATCAAACTCAACCCACTGAGCTGGCAAGTACCTTTGCACACTGAGCCATCTCAATGACTCCTGTTCTCACTCATACAATCCTGTGAACTTGCTAAATTTCAAACTACTTGTTATAATCAAAAAGGCAGTAAAGAAGATTGCAATACAATGTAAAGGGCTCAATTCAGCAAAGGAAAGGAAAATTCAGTAGCAGGGTGGCAGAAATAGTAGGCTCTATGCCCATATCTAACCCAACTACCTGCAATGGAGACAGGAGGATCACTGGAATGTGATCATGATCAAACTAGCTTCAGGGTTAGTGAGAGACCCTCTGTTACGAGAAAGGCAGAAGAATCATAGCACAGCATAGTACACAGTACACAGTACAGCAAACATCCTCCTCTAGCCTCCATGAGTACATGAACATATATAAAAGCACACACATACAAAAAAACTACAAAACTGATGTAATCAAATCAGCATGGTACTGAAATAAAAAAACAAAAATAAACCAATACAACACATAGAACATAATCCATACAACTACAACCAACTGATTTTCAATAACATTCAAAGTACATAAACTGAAGCATAGTCATCTCAATAAATGGTTTGGGGGAAAACCAGATATCCAAATGCAGAAGAGTAACATGAGACCACCAGCTCAAAGACAATTAGACTTAAATGCAAGACTTGACCTGAAACTTTCTAGAGATAAGAATGAATGCCTTTAGTTCCATCATATCAGAGGCTAAGAAAGAAGGAATGTCTGAGTTAGAGGTTAGCCTGGACTATATAGTACATTCCAGTCCTGTCTCAAAAAAAAAGAAAGAAAGAAAGAAGCCAGGAGGCAGAGGCAGGCGGATCTCTTTGAGTTCAAGGCAGGGCTGGACCGACAGCCTCCAAAACAATACAGAGAAATCCTGTCTCGTAAAACCAAAAAAAAAAAAAAAAACCACACACACAAAACAAAATGAGAAAAAAAAAAATCAAAAGTACAAAGAAAGTACTATAAGAAAACAAAGAGTACTGTTTCTGAACACTAAAATGATCAGAGATTTAACTTTGAGACCAGACTCCAAAAGCAAAACAAATGAATGGAAAAATAAACAAACGGGATAACATACAACTAAAAAGCAACTATGTAACAGTAAGAAACTGCCAAGCCTGGTGATGCCCATCTTTAATCCCAGAGGCAGGTAGATCTCTGTGAGTGCAAGGACAGCCTGGTCTACATTCCAAGTTCTAGGACAGCCAGAGTTTCATAATAGAAGAGACTGTATTACAAAAACTTAAATAAAGTAAGCTACACAATCCAAGCTTGCCTTGAACTCATGCCTAAAGTTTCATGGTCCTGAGCAAACCACTACATTCACCTGAAAAGATACTTTCTGATGACTTGCTTACAAATACATCTCTTGCCTAGAGAACTTTAAAAAAAAGAAAAAGAAAAAGAAAAAATTAAGGTCAATAAAAACAGTAGGAAAATGGACCATACATTTTTTAAAAATAAAAAGAATCCTCTGCACATGGATCTACAATTCACACTAGGCATGTACATAGACACGTGCCACAGAAGGATCTTGAGAAAAGTCAAGCCAATAGCTCACCTTTGGTGCATGCGCACAGCCTGTCTGTGCCTGAGCAGTAAATGACAGACACAAATGTATCCTGTTCTTCAGTGCCCTCCTTTTTGGGAGGCTCCACTTTGGCCAAAATTTCAAAGTTTGAAAGGTCTAATACTTTTACATATCCTCCCTGAGTGGTAATCACCAGGTGTCCAAGAGTAGAAATGTCAGACTTCTTTTCTCTTTCAATCCCATTCTTTGAGGTTGACTGCACTTCTTCTGCAGGTTCTTCACAGTCATCCTCTCGATTATCCAGTATATCTGGTGGAAGCAAAATGAGCGAGGTAATTGTGTCCTGGGGATCTTTGATATGTTGGATTTTTACTGGCTCCTCTTCTAAAGTCACTATTCGAGTGGTGTAATTCATTTTGTAAAGAACTAAATATCCACCACTAACATTCCTCTGCTCCGGATGGATGATCAAAGGAGTCGGTACATCTGCTGGTGTCTCATGTTGGATCACACTCATATTTGCACCATTCACTATAGCAAGATTGGATTCCAGCTCACCTTTCCGCCTATTACATAGTGCAGAGTTTAATTTATTTAAATTATTCAAGGCCTCGACTTGATTTATTGCACTCAATGATTCAGCAGAGCATGTCCGCAGTCCTACCAACAAATGAATTCCATCAGCACAAGGAGTTATGGAGTCTATACAAAGAGTCTCCTCCTCTGCAAACTTTGGTAGCCTCAAGCACTGAACCAAAGTCCCAGGCTTGGGGAACACAGAGTTCCACTTCTCAGAATCTGGAGAGGTGAGGCTGGCTGCTGCATCTGCAAACTGCTGAATGTAGGTCACAGGAGGATCCTGCAACAACAACTGTTCCTGGTTATCCAGCTCCATTTCAATAATTTGAGGAACTGTAAAACCGTCATCGTGCAAACTTTTACTCATAATATTGTTCATCTGTGAGAAGATCTTTCCTGTTTTCTCATCAGATTCTTTGATACTATAAAGAAGTAAAACAGGTAAAGTCCTCCTTACCAGAGGAGAATTCAGTTCTGAATTTGTGCAGGATTCATTGTCAGTTGACCCTTGTTCTGATATACTTTCGCCCTGAGTTCTGCTTAAACCATCCAGTGACCTGTGGGAATTACTACTAATGGGTGAGGTAGCGGGAGATTTATATGTTAATAAACCTCCAGCCAATAAACATGGAAAGGGAATGTTGTGTTGTTCCTGGTGCTTCTCCTTTGTCTTTTCACTCTTAGAGTTTGTTAAGCAAGGATTTGCCCCAAGTTCTTCAAGATCTTTAACAGTATCCTCAAGCACATTTGCCACAATCTCCCACTGCAGTTTTTCTGGCTGTTGGAGAATGCTGAGCGCTGTTATATCAAGGCTTACTTCCATGGCTTCCTTTTGTGATGTATGCCCTTTGAAAAGAAATAATACAACAAATTAGATATAACAGCCTTGGTGATGTGAATTGAACTCAGTATTTCAATGAAGTTTTTCCTAATTCATCTGGTCTATGCATTATATTAAATATAAGAATTCAAAGTATTTCACAGACACAAGATAAATCAGCAGATAACTGCTCTTGCCCCCAAGACAGACTCGGCTCCATCACTGGGACCTACAAGGCAGAAGAAAACTAACTCCTGTAAGCTGTCCATCTGACATAGACATGTGTCCATGTGCCCATACATACAAACACACACAAAATTTAAGTGATTTTTTTATTTCAAGTATTTTAAAAGAAATTTATTCAAATCTCAGATGACCCTACATAAGAAAATAAAAATCTACCCAAGAAATTCAAAATTATTTTCAACTCAAATACATTCTCTTGAGGAACTAAAGAAAATTGATCTTTAAGGTATGGGAAGGTAAAGAGAAAATTATTATCTATTATTTAGTCATTGCTTGACCTACTACGACTTATGCATTGTACTCCTATGAGCTCTCTCTCTCTCTCTCTCTCTCTCTCTCTCTCTCTCTCTCTCTCTCTCTCTCTCTCTCTCTCTCTCTCTCTCTCTCTCTCTCTCTCTCTCTCTCTCTCTCTCTCTCTCTCTCTCTCTCTCTCTCTCTCTCTCTCTCTCTCTCTCTCTCTCTCTCTCTCTCTCTCTCTCTCTCTCTCTCTCTCTCTCTCTCTCTCTCTCTCTCTCTCTCTCTCTCTCTCTCTCTCTCTCTCTCTCTCTCTCTCTCTCTCTCTCTCTCTCTCTCTCTCTCTCTCTCTCTCTCTCTCTCTCTCTCTCTCTCTCTCTCTCTCTCTCTCTCTCTCTCTCTCTCTCTCTCTCTCTCTCTCTCTCTCTCTCTCTCTCTCTCTCTCTCTCTCTCTCTCTCTCTCTCTCTCTCTCTCTCTCTCTCTCTCTCTCTCTCTCTCTCTCTCTCTCTCTCTCTCTCTCTCTCTCTCTCTCTCTCTCTCTCTCTCTCTCTCTCTCTCTCTCTCTCTCTCTCTCTCTCTCTCTCTCTCTCTCTCTCTCTCTCTCTCTCTCTCTCTCTCTCTCTCTCTCTCTCTCTCTCTCTCTCTCTCTCTCTCTCTCTCTCTCTCTCTCTCTCTCTCTCTCTCTCTCTCTCTCTCTCTCTCTCTCTCTCTCTCTCTCTCTCTCTCTCTCTCTCTCTCTCTCTCTCTCCTAGAACCCTTTCTCTTTAATACTGTGAGACTCAAAGCACCATTTCTTCTCCCTTGTTCCACATTGCTGACAGTCTCTCACACACAGAGACAAAACCCACCTGAGACAAAAGTCAACCCTCCACTCAGGTAATCTATCACTGAACTGAAAATTCTTTCAACCAATCTTGGTTTTGGTTCTTCTTTCTTTTTTTTTTTTAATTTCTCAATAGTAAGAATAAGTAACAACAATGTAAAAACCATTCTAATGATAGACAAAAATAGGGAACTGCTTTCATAATTAGGTAGGAAGATAGGAAGATAAGAGTCAAGGAAATACTAAATGAAGTGTCTACATGAAAGCGGAAAGTACAAGGAAATCATAAGGAAGGAAGCAGCAGAACACTACACCACTAGAGACACTCTCTTAAACATTCACTCCAGATAATCTCAACTTCACACGTTACTACTAACCTCTACAACTACAATCTTTTTTTTTTTTTTCAAGACAGGGTTTCTCTGTGGCTTTGGAGGCTGTCCTGGAACTCGCTTGGTAGTCCAGGCTGGTCTCGAACTTACAGAGATCCGCCTGCCTCTGCCTCTGCTGGGATTAAAGGCGTGCGCCACCAACGCCAGGCTAACTACAATCTTTTCTAACTGAAGCAGAAGAACCAGACTATTCATTCCTTCTGTACTCTGTGGTTAGAATAACAAACAGCCACTTCACTACATGGCACTGTCTGTATCTACTTTCTCCGAACGGAAACTCAGAGTAAAAAGTATTTTTATAGCTTTCATTATATATAATATAGTATCTTGGAAATACCTATTTGTTTGACTAAACTAAAAAAAATTAAATGACTTTTTAAAGTTACGACGAGAAATCGTTCAAATAGAATAGTTTTAATCTATTTATATATTAAGTCAAATAAATCCAAAAAGCACACAAAGTTAAGACAATATTTAAAGGAAATAGCATACATAATGAAACTGTTTAAAAGGAAATGTTGAACTGGGTTGGGTGGCTCATTGCTATAATCCCAACATTCAAGTTGGCAGGATTTCTCTGAGATGAGTCCAGTCTGGGCTATATAGTGAGTTCCAAGACAAGCTAGGACACAGTGTGAGAACCTGCTCAAAGAAAGCAGAGAACGAGGTGGAGAGATGGTTCAACGGTTAAGAGCACTGCCTGCTTTTTCAAAGGTCCTGAGTTCAATTCCCAGCAACCACATGGTGGCTCACAATCATCTGGTGCCCTCTTCTGGCCTGCAGACAGAACACAATATACATAATAAATAAGTCTTAAAAAAGAAAAAGAGCAGCCAGGCGTTGGTGGCGCACGTCTTTAATCCCAGCACTCGGGAGGCAGGGGCAGGCGGATCTCTATGAGTTAGGCCAGCCTGGTCTACAAAGTGAGTTCCAGGACAGCCTCCAAAGCTACAGAGAAACCCTGTCTCGAAAAACCAATTAAAAAAAAAAAAAAAAAAGAGCCGGGCGGTGGTGGCGCACGCCTTTAATCCCAGCACTCGGGAGGCAAGGGCAGGCGGATCTCTGTGAGTTCGAGGCCAGCCTGGCCCTATTTTTCTACTTCCTCTTATCACCATTCAACGCACATCTGGAAACAATTCAGTGAGAAACTGAAATCTGTACCTATTCCTCCTTCAGTTTATGTTTGCAGTATCCTGGAATAACACGGCCTCATGAATGTCAGACAACCACTCTGCAACTGAACCACAGTCAGGCCCTTAAAGCAAAGTTTCTACTAGAGACCATCTAGACCACATAATAAATGTTTATGCAACATACCTGCAATGCAATACTTCCTGATCTGATCACTTTGGGTAATCCTACTGCAGCTTCCTTTCTTAAGTAGTGCCAAGCCACAGCTTCCAACAGTCATACTTTCTGAGCTAAGCAATTGGATTTTGTCTTGGCTTTTCCCTAAAGCCAATTTTATCTTGGCTTTTTCCTAAAGCCAAAGTTCAATTTGTACTCAATTCTCATGCCAGCCCTTCTTTCCACTCTTCATGATAAGTCATTTTTTTTTATTCAGATATATGAAATTAACTAGGAACTTTCAAAACTTACAATCTTCAACCAAAAAACAGATGCCTCTTATTGTGTACTCATAATTTTGATGTTAATATAGTCTACAATTCTTTGAACTATGTCGTTCAAATTAATACAAATCACTTAGAGTTGTAAAGTTCTGAAATGGCACCTAAAAATCTTAAGATGCTTCATGATAAGACTATAGCTCTCATTAACTATCAAGTTTAGATATGCTTACTCCATAACCCTCCAAAAAGTTAGTGATATAAAAGCATAGTTGCCGGGCGGTAGTGGCGCACACATTTAATCCCAGCACTCGGGAGGCAGAGGCAGGCGGATCTCTATGAGTTCGAGGCCAGGCTGGACCGACAGCCTCCAAAACAATACAGAGAAACCCTGTCTCATAAAACCAAAAAAAAAAAAAAAGCATATAGGTGCTGGGAGGTGGTGGCCCACACCTTGAATTCCAGAGGCAGGAGGATCTCAGAGTTTGAGGCCAACCTGGTATACAAAGTTAGTTCCAGGAAAGTCAAGGCCACACAGGGAAACCCTGTCTCGAATATCCAAAGCTGGGGAGGGAGGGGCAGTATAGGTTAGAGCCTACATATTTAGAGTTAGTCTCACAAAAATGTATTTTTCCATGAAAGAATGGCCTACTTGCAAACCCTCAAATGAAGAAATCAACTTGGACTGGGAAAAGTACCTGCCTTGTAAGAAAGCATGAGGCACTTGAATTCAATCCCCAGGACCAATGTAAAATAAGCAAGGCATGCAATGGAACCAGCACTGGGGAGGGCAAGACAAGCAGGTCCCTGGGGCTCACTGGCCAAACAGTCTAAGCCAATGAGAGATTTTTCTCATAAAAAGAAAAACACTAGAGGTGTTTGGCCTCTAAACACATGAACTCACACTCATACAGACCACACGTACTAAATACAAATAAAGGAATATAAAATTTTTAAGCTGGATTTTATCCCTTACTACCATGACCTTTTAATTATATTCAAACACAGCAATTCCATTAAAAATGTATCACGCCGGGCGTTGGTGGCGCACGCCTTTAATCCCAGCACTCGGGAGGCAGAGGCAGGCGGATCTCTGTGAGTTCGAGGCCAGCCTGGTCTACAGAGCGAGTTCCAGGACAGCCTCCAAACCCACAGAGAAACCCTGTCTCGAAAAACCAAAAAAAATGTATCACATGTTCCAACAAGAATATACCATAAGGACCCTGGGTAACAGCACACACCTTTAATCCGAACACTCAGGAGGCAGAAGCCCAGAACTCTATGAGTTCAAGGTTAGCCTAATCTATACATCAAGTTCTAAACCAGCCAAAGGTACATAATGAGATCCTGTCTCAAAAGAACAAGAATTTATAATAATAATAATAATAAATTTGTGGATATTAGAAACTGAAGTACATCATAAGGTAATGCGGAAAATAAACACAGGAGAGAAACAAGACTATATTCCAAATACAAGTATTTTTTGAGGGGTAAAACAAGGTTTTGCTATATATTATATAGCCCAACTAGACTAAAACTTGTAGCAATTCTCCTAATTACAGCCATCATGAAAGACTGTGACATGTGCCAGCATGCACAAAAATACATGGTAAGCTCCTTAGACCAAAAGAAAAGAAAGCTGTGGCATACAGTGTTTAAAAAAAGGACAGGGGACATGGAAGAATACTTACTGCCAACACTTCACAAACAAAACACTGAAACCCACGGAGTTAATAGACCTAACAATGTTCAAGGTTTCAGAAGGCCTCTGGTGCATACGCTATTTTCCTATGTAAGACTAAGAAAATGTAATATGCTGCTTCTGTCTTTGTAAAAGGACAGCAAAGGAGGAAAAGATGACTGCTTTCATTAGGCTAAACTGTATGCATTGTGTTTGTATGTGTGGAGCTCCCAGGACAACTTGTGGGACTCTGCTATCTACTTTCACCTCAGAGACCCAACTCAGGTAGGTCATCAGGGTTGGCAGTAAGCACCAACTAGCTGCTGAACCATCTTACCAGCCTGATCTAAACCTTTTTTATTCCTTTACTTATTTTATGTACATTGGTATTTTGCCTGCATGTATGCCTGTGTGAGAATATTAGACTTCCACAACTGGAGTTACTCCCATGTGGGTGCTGGGAGTAGAACCCAGGTCCTCTGGAATATCAGTCAGTGCTTTTAAACCACTGAGCTCTTTCCATTCCCCTAGTTTAAGTCAATTATTTCTAGAATTGTGTATCTATCATTCAGGGTACTTTTGTGTCTTTTTGGGGGTTCTTTCAAGACTAATAACTTCAAAACTTAGAGTTAACCAAAAATCACTTCAGCCTTCCCTGTAGGAGCTTCAAGAACATTTCACAGCGAATCAAAATTTAGAGAACACTCACTATGCTAGAGTAATTATAGTTTATAACTACTACACTATGTTGCTTCTAAAGACATGAAGTATGTTACATGTCCTTGACATGTTCATGATACGACATTAAGTTATAGTCACAATAACCGTCGCTTTTTAAAAACTGGGCACTTCTCAGGTACTGTGCACAATTCTTTGTATGCAGTTATCTTATTCAAACCCAGAGTAATGTATGGTAAATATTGTGATTTTTAGGAGATCTAATTAGATGATAATAATAAGTATATTGGCATTTATACTCTAACGTGATAGGGCAGGGGCAGATGGTATAAGGTTTAATGTACAATCCTGATGATATAAGTTCAGACTGCTAACACCCATGTAAATGTCAAGCACAGGAGTATCTATTTGTAACTCCAGCACTGGGGGCACATAGATGGGTGGAACCCTACAGCTTGCTGGCCATCTAGTCAAATGGACAAGCTCCCAGTTTAGCAAAAGAATATTTGGGTGGTGGTCCATGCCCAGGCAGATTATCTGTGAATTCAAGGGCAGTCTGGTTTACAGAGTGAATTCCAGGACAGCCAGGGCTACACAGAGAAACCCTATCTTGAAAAACACACAAGATACACAGAGACAGAGAGAGACAGAGAGAGAGACAGAGAAAGAGACACAGAGGGAGGGGGAGACTGAGACTGTTTTATAAATTAAGGGCAGAAAATTAGCTGAGACATTCAACACATCAACCTCCAGCTTCCTCAGGCACATGCACAGATGAGTAAATTCAAACACATATGCTCCCATAAAGGAAAAAAATATAATAAACTATTTTGAGATGCATACCTCCTCTATGAAATAATACAGAAAAACATGGCACATGGAAGCCATATGTTGACATATGCCTAAAATCCAATACTGAGAAGGTTAAGGCAAGAAGACCATAGAGTTCACTATCAGAGCAAACTCCAAGCCAGCCTAGGATACATTAACCATGCTAATTTTCCTTATTGTTTTATGAGCAAACAAGGCAACATCTACTCGATTCAAAAAAGCAGTTTGAGCTTTTTTGAATACAAAGAATTGTTATTGAAATGTTATACTTATTTAACAGACTCCATCACACAATTTTCCTCCCCTGGCATAAGTGACAGAAATTGAATATACCTAACACTTTATTCCCTTTGAGTGAAATTGTTGTCATTTAAATTTTAATTAGGGAACATAATATTCTTATACTTACTTCAAGATCTCTGGAAAACACAGAAAACTGAAATAGTGTATCAGTAAATATTTCCAGTTTCACTAGGAAATTAAGAATATATAAAATATATTATCTAAGATTTTTTTACATACCCGTCACAGAATCTGATCTGGAATGCTCTTCGCTGTCTGAATCCTCCAGTAAATCATCGCTTAAAAGACAAAGTAAGAACAATTTAAACTTAAAAAAAAAAAGATACTGTACCTTATGGGCTACATCAGCTACAGTGTAGGAGTCTGGCATGTATAAGGCCTTGGGTTCAATCCCTAGCACCCAAAAAAAGAACACACATCACAAAAGAAACCAAAAAGACACAGCACAGCTGTGTGTGACTTGTCTCTTGTGCTTTAGAAGCAGCAGTGCTGAGGATCAAACTTGGAGCCCTATGTGTTCTACTCCAGGGCTGTTAGCTCTGAACCGGGAGATGGAAGGACGGCTCATTAGTTAAGAGAACTTGTAGCTTTTTAAAGGTTCAGTTCCCAGCACCCACATATATAGTGGTTCACAGTTTTCTGAGGGCGCTAATCCCCCCTTCTGACCTCCATGGGCACCAGACATGCACATGGTGCATATACACATATACAGGCAAAACACTGACATACCTAAAATTAAACAAAAAACAAAAACTGAACTCTAACTACAGCCCTGAAAAGCAGTGTTAAAATCACTATTACACAGATCAAACACAAGCAATATACAAATTACTAAAAAAGAAATATAATGCAAATAAGCTTCATACCTAACTGATAAACAATTAAAATTATTAAAAGAATGTCACCATGAAGATTTGTGTGTGGAAGAAAGCTTCTAAATCTCTGCAGCATTTGTAGGTATGTGACATTAAGAATTGGAGGTGACTTACAGTACGCCAAAGAGGGAAAGAGACAAACTAAACTTGAATTTGTAGTAGTAAAATATTAACAACTATTGTCAATGAATTCAAGAACATTACTCTAAAACCAAAACCAGTTATGTATATGTAACCCATTATACATGTATTCACAACTGTCATATTGTTTTGAGCCTATGCTTTTTGTATGTTCCTTCTACAAGACATGCAGGGTTAATTGTCACAATAAAAGATGGAAGTAAAGACAAGCCAATGGTCTGTCCTTTGCCTTTCTCTCAGGTGGCCAAGAACTTGTCAGTTCCTCTCTTTGCATCAACCTTTATTAATTTTCTCAGATGTAGTAGTCAAGCTCTGCACCCTACTGTCAAACATAAAATATCACCAGAATGTTTTATCTTGAGACTCTCATAAAAATGAAAAAATGCATTTTATAGGAAGAAAAGGCAATTCTCCTTTTCCCAAATAATATACTGTACTATAATCCACAGTGCTTAGACATTTACTAATGCTATCTTGCATATAAACGGTACTGATGGCGCACGCCTTTAATCCCAGCACTCGGGAGGCAGAGGCAGGCGGATCTCTGTGAGTTCGAGGCCAGCCTGGTCTACAGAGCGAGTTCCAGGACAGCCTCCAAAGCCACAGAGAAACCCTGTTTCGAAAACGGTAATTTCCACTTCCACTTAAGACTGCTGGATGATATCACAGACTTTGGAGAGCCCCCATGAAGGGCCTCACCCTCCCTGAAGAGTGGAGTGGGGATTGGGTAGGGAGTTGGTGAAATGGGGGTGAGAATGGGGAAGGCAGAGGAAGCTGGGATTGACATGTACAGAAACCTTGTTTCTAATTAAAATTAAAAAAATAAATTTTAAAAATAGAGGGGCTGCTGGCAAAATATCAAGCACACACCTGTCTTTCCAGCTACCTGAGAAGCTGAGACAGAAGGACTTTGGCCCAAAGCCATCAGACCAGTCTGGGAATACAGCGTGGCCTTGGCTATAAACTACCCAACCCCTCTTAGAAAAAAAGAAAAAGAAAAAGAAATTCCAAAGCAATGTTTAAATCTTTTTACTAATGCTGACAAACATCTATGCCTTAGGTTTTTGTAAGTAGTGTTAATAGATAAGTGGAGTCAGTTCAATTCATATGATTAGCGTCTTTGTTATTGTTTAGTGTCCGGCTTCCTGAATGCTGGCCAAGTACTGTACCTCTGAGCATTATCACTAGATCCCACTACTGACTCACTACAGTTTAAAATAAAAATTGTAAAACAAACTTCAGATTGCCTGCTAAGTAGCTTCAAGAATTCAAATCCTAATCACAAGTAAGAAGATACTAAAAAACTAAATGCTGAGTGAAACACTGTACTTGGAAGCTAAAATAAGCAAATCTAAAACAAGAACACACTGGGTTTCAACTACCAAAGGACTTTAGTATTACCAAGTTCTGCCCAGCTGTACTAATAAAAGATAAAACACAGTATTTTAAAGAAAACAATTCAGGGGACTGGACATTACAGAGGTCTGAAAGTGTTCAAAAACATACTAATTTATTCCTTAAATATTTTATGAGAAGAATCCTAAAATAGGGCTGGAAAGATGACTCAGAGGATAAGGAGAAGCCAGAATGTCTGGCTTCTCTTCCAGACGTTCTGAGTTCAATTCCCAGCAACCATATGATGGTTCACAACCATCTATAAGGAGATCTGGTGCCCTCTTCTGGCATACAGCAGAATATTGTATACATAATAAATAAATCTTAATCCCAGCACTTGGGAGGCAGAGGCAGGTGGATCTCTGTGAGTTCTAAGTCAGCCTGGTCTACAAAGTGAGATCCAGGACAGTCAGGGGTGTTAAACAGAGAAACCCTGTCTCAGGATGGGGAGAGGGGGACAAAAAAAAAAAAAATGACACAAGTACACCTAGAGAAACATGGCACTTCACTGAATAAATTGAGATTATATCAATTGTTTGGTAAGAAAAAATCTAAAGTAATTCCTAAACAAGTTATAATGCTAATAATGTCAAATCCAAGTTTTAATATCAAATTACTACATTGTTCTTAAAGCTAATGAAATCCACATTTGATATTTGTAGATTAAATATCTTGTATCTTGTGCCACACAAAGTCAGAAGTCTTCCTAGTAATGTGACAGGATTCAGTTTCCTTTGGGAGTCAAAGATCAAGGATGGAGCATCAATGATGGGTTTTGTTTTGTCTTAAAAGGGGGTACCAACTCTGTAATCCAAGCTGGTAATTCTGCTTCAACCTCCCAAATGGTATACAGTACATATGGTATACACCATAATTCTGTTTCTTTGTGTGTGTTCCCCTGCCCTCCAACCCCTTCCTGCCTTCTTTGGAGGAGGCTGGGGATTATATCCAGGACTTTTCTTTGCGCCTGTTAGAGTCAAGCACTCTACAACAGAATGGAGTCCACTTTTTTGCGGGGAGGGGAGGTGAAGACAGGATTTCTCTATGTAGCCTTGGCTCTCCTAGAACTCGCTCTGTAGACCAGGCTGGCCTCGAATCAAAGAGATCTCCCTACCTCTTCCTCCCAAGTGCTGGGATTAAAGGCTTTCATCACCATCGCCCTGCTCTGGCACTTCTTACAAAGTATTTCACCTTTCTGTACTGACTCAACCAACACTAGATATATTTTAAGCTTCTGTCATTAGCTATATAATTCTGTGGGATATTTCTGCTGTAAATAACTGAAGAGTTTATATCTAGATATATTAACAAATGAAAGGTACATTTTCCCAAAGAGGAATATGCTAATACCAGAAGTCTATTGTGATGCAGCTTTTTTTTTTTTTTTGGAGGGGGGGGTTTTCAAGACAGGGTTTCTCTGTATTGTTTTGGAGGCTGTCCTGACCAGGCTGGTCTCGAACGTGATGCAACTTTTAATCCATAAATTCAAAATGTAAAACAAAAATCTAATTGACAATCAGGGTTTAAAATGACAAGCCAATTTCATGACCTTCCATAATTACCCACTAAATCCTTTAACACAAAATCAAGCATTCTTAGTTCTAGGGCTATTAGCAAATGTTAATACAAACTTAGACAACAAAAGCTAAACTGCTTGCTCTTCAAACTCTCAACAGAAAACTGTTTTAATTCAGTTTGTCCCAGATCTCAAACCCAGTTCCTTTATCTGCCAGTCCATTTCTATATGCCGTTACTAAGACACAAAATTACCCAATTTGTATGTGATGGATTCTCAATTCCACAATTTTCATTTAACAAAATTCTGTAATACTTAATAAAAATCACCATTAATCCCAACACCTGAAACAGAAGCACAAGGACTTGCGGGTTTGAGCCCAGCCTGGTCTACATCACAAGGATCAGACCAAATAGGACTACACGATGAATCTTGTCTCAAAAACAAAGGACATATCTGCAGTCTAACAACGATCATATCAGTAACACCTTAACAGGAACACCTGCTACTAGTGATCACACACTTAATGGCTACATGAAGTCCCTCGTTTTATTTATGTGAATAAAGCAGAGCCATGATATAGTGGTCTAATCCAAAGTCAAGTGGAGACTCTTAGGAAACAAGGTGTCCTTGACTCTCCATCCTAATCCTATAGGTCAGATAGAGTCACAAAAACCAAGAACCTTCCAAAGAAGGTAAGAGAAGACACTTCCAATACAGCGTCTCAAACTCTCTACAGGCTGCACTCTGACTCTGAGGAGGAAAAGCAGGACAAAACAACCAGACATTTCTCCCTCACAACTACTAGTGCACTATTCCAAATAATTACATCTTCTTGCCCCATCTGAAGCTACTTTGCTACTTATTAGTGATATTCAGTTCCAGAATTTGAGCAACAGAAATCATTTGGTACAACTATTCCAGGGAATTATCTGGTAAAAAGTAAAATTATAAATCAAAGCCACTGGCCTAATTTCAATATTTAAACTTTTTGGTTTTTTTTTCTTTGTTATGTTTTTATTTTGATACTGAAGACAGAACTAAGGTCTTCACAGATGCTAACATGCGCTCTAATGGTGAGCTACAATCCCTAGATTTTAGTTTTTATTTTGGCAATTACTTCTAATTGACAAGACTGAGATTTCCTATTTCAAGACTTACATAGTTTGATATTTATTGCACAGAAATGGATTTACAGAGCAGCTTCGGAACTACGTAAGGAATAATTTACGTAAGGAATAATTTGTCGAATGTATTTTAGCCTGTCCAGTATAACTGTGATTGCTAGTGTTTACTAGCTGTTAGGTATTGTGTTTTTCCTTATCATATATTTATCCTTAGTCACTTGTCAGCATTTCTACCAACAGTCTCTAGTTATAAAACATAAAGGAAAATGTGATTTGAAGAAAAACTGTATTACACACCATGGTGTTTCCTTTTTGTGTGTTTTTGTTTGTTTGGTATTTTGAGACAAAATTCTCACTCTATGGTCCAGACTGGCATACACTTCATAAAAGGCCTACTGTCCCAGTCAACAGATCTAACTAACCTATGGTATCCTGAATGAAAACTTCTGAGATTCACATAGCTTTCAGATTTCCAGTCAAACACGCAAAGAGAATATTTCTAATCTGTAACTTGACCCTTTTTTTTTTTTTTTGGTTATCTCATTAGCTAATGAAGAAAATGAAATTTAGAAAAAGAAAATATGCACCTATATAAATACCACTCAAACAAAACCATGTACCTGTCTCCTTCCAGTTTTGGTATGTCTGAGCAACTAGAAGAGTCCTCTAGCCATGCCAAAGTCGGTCTCCTTGAATCAACTCCCGAGCTTGGGTCTCCTGATAGGATCAGTTGTTGCACAATTGCTGGATCATAGGCATTAATTTCAAACCTCAAGTGCACCTTCATGAGTTTGGAGACGTCCCATACGCAGATCTTCCCACGTTTGGTGGCAGCAGCAAGAAACTGTGGGCAGCTCCCCGAGCCAAAGCAAGATATTCTGTCAGTTCCGTCTGCAGAAGGAAGCTGTGCAGGACTCGTTGCCAGCGTGACTGACAAGGGCACATTCTGGGTGTGCTCGCCTTTCACAAAAGGGCAGTTGGGGGAATGTCGCTCATGTTCAGACCTTTACAGAGTAAAAAGAAAGTTTACTGAAGAGCAAATCAGAAACTCGAAGACTGCCTTTCTTTACGTATGCATTTAAAAAGTCTTCATCTTATTAACTCATTCACATTTTCCTTTGTCTGGATGGGGCAAATAGGGGTGGCAAACACAAGTACTGGAATGAAGCACAGGACTTGCAGCCTGTTGAACAAGTACTCTACCACTCAGCTGTATTTCCACCCCTCACCTGAACTCACCTTTAGAAGATCATTCAATCTCATCCAATCATCCACGGCATGTACCCACTCCAGATTCTAACTGCTTATTATTAGCAGCTTTACTCACTTTAACTGAAACTGTGAAATCAGTAAGATGCAATTCCTGAGAAAATTATTTGCCCAACTTACTAACTCTTATGTTTCCTTTTGTTTTTCTGATGTGTGTTGCCTTGTGCTATTTTTCTACTTGTAATTTCAAAGCAGTACTTGAAGACAAGATCCTACTATCAAAGACAGAAAAATGTTGTTTCCTTACTCACGGCAAAAGTTAAATAATTCCTCTCATAACACGAACTGTTGTAACCAGGCGGTGGTGGCACCAGCCTTTAGTCCCCCAGCACTTGGGAGGCAGAGACAGCCAGATCTCTGTGCGTTCAAGACCAGCCTGGTCTACAAAGCAAGTTCTACGAAAGGCTCCAAAACAATACAGTGAAAGCCTGTCTCGAAAAAAAAAAAAACAAAAACAAACAAACAAACAAAACCCACACCACATACTGTTCTTCTGAACAGATATACTTCTTTTCACACTGTACCTGCAGTTACTATAATAACACCCTGTAATACATAGACGTCTTTCACAGATCCTGTGGAGTACACCACCAAGCAGATATCTGAGCTACATTCTCTCCTAGCTAAGTTCTAGTGTATTTTCCCCCTCCTTACATTTTCTTACCTAAGTTTAAACTTTTTAATACTTATAATCACATTGACTGTAAAATAAAAGTAGCTAACCAGTTATATCTAATCCTAATAGTCTTTTATCCCACCTTACAAATAAGCACCCTTTTGGGTAGTGAGCATTTTGAGACAGGGTTTCTCTATGTAGCTTTGAACCCTGTTCTGGAACTCGCTCTGTAAATCAGGCTGGCCTCCAACTCACAGAGATCTGCCTGTCTCTACCTCCCAAGTGCTGGAACTAAAGGCTGGTGCCACCACCGCCTGGCCTAGAAAATTCTTAAATGCTGATCAAGAGTGCAGTGATTTCTGGGAGGTGACTTTCTGGTGGACCTTTTGTTAGTTTGTTGCCAGCTTTGGTTGCACACTAAGACCATGATTTATTTTCTCTTTCTTTCTTCCTTCCTTCCTTTCTTTCTCTCTATTTAATTTGTTGTGTATACAGTGCTATGACTGTATATATACCTAAAGGCCAGAAGAGAGCACCAGATATCATTAAGATGGTTTTGAGTTGCCATGTAGGTGCTGGGAATTGAACTCAGGACCTCTGGAAGAACCTCTTGTACCCTTTTAATCTTAGAGCTAACTCTCTAGCCTCTGATCATGATATATATATATATATATATATATATATATATATATATATATAGAGAGAGAGAGAGAGAGAGAGAGAGAGAGAGAGAGAGAGAGAGAGAGAGAGAGAGAGAGAGAGAGAGAGAAGAAAAAGCTGTGGCCAATAAAATGTGACTGATTCATGATAGATGTGCAATGGAAAATTAGAAGAACTTGAGAGACTTAAAAGCTACACAGAGAAACCCTATCTCAAAGAAAAAGAAAAAAAAGAAGAAATTTCCAGTTTTTCACTACAATGGCCAAAACTGTTACAACACCAAACATACAAATGAATCAAAAGGGATTGACTCCTTAAAGTAGAAGTAAAAGAAGAACTGACAGGAAGTAGAGAATGTCCATTTTTATTTCTTGAAGTTATTTCCCTACAAAATAACTCAACACCTAATAGCAAATTATTGAGGTCTCATAGTCCCCTTTAAATTGCCCCTTTTCTCTTAGAAGACTTGGAAAGCACCCATGCTCAGCAATCTAGTTTCTCACCTATATACTTAAGAGTAGTGAACTCAGAACATCAGACGTTAGCAAATCCTTTCTTGAGAATTTTTGGAATCCCACATTCTGGTACATACTGTTTATGATCTAATAAAGATTACCTCGAGATCAGATCTAATAAAGACTACCTGGAGATCAGAATGCAAAGCTAGCCACAGTCATAGAGGCTGGGCAGTGAGGGCACACGCCTTTAATCCCAGGACTCAGGAGAGAGACAGATAGATTTCTATGTATAAATAGCCACTCAGGGCTACATAAGAGTGAATTAGTCTAAAAGAGAAACAGAGCTCACAACTTTAATTCCAGCGCTAGAGAGGTATAAAAGAAGGAGTTCAGGGTCTCATGAAATTCATTCCAGCCACACTGAGGTCAGGAATGCCCCAAATCTTGGGAGAGGCAAGAGCTCTCTGGCGGAGGGCTGTTTTGGTTTTTTGTTTGTTTGTTTGTTTGTTTGTTTTTTGAGACAGGGTTTCTCTGTGGCTATGGACACTGTCCTGGAACTAGCTCTTGTAGACCAGGCTGATCTCGAACTCACAGAGATCCGCCTGCCTCTGCCTCCTGAGTGCTGGTATTAAAGGTGTGTGCCACCACCGCCCAGCTGCTTTGCTTTTTCTAATCTTCAGCTTGAACCCCAAAATCTGTCTCTAGTTTTTATTATTCATACTACAGGTACAATCCAAACCTCTCAGCAAATAAGGAAAAGAGGGTTCTTAATTGCCCAAGTTGAAATTTTGAACCTGCTTCCTCAACACAAAAAGTTATGAACACAGGTACCATCCAAACTGTCCATTGTGGTTTACACCGATAATTCCAGCACTTGGGAAGCTGAAGAGAACTACTGACATGAGTTTGAGGCCAGCCTGGGTTACATAGTGAGTTGATGTGCACCCTAGTTTCATTTTAGGATTGATTACGTTTTGTAAAGAGTTTTTTAATTGGGTGAGATGGCACATTCCTCTGAACACAGAGCTTGGTGGCAAGAGGACCAAGAATTTGATGCCAGGAAGGGGCCAATAACACACAACTCTAATCTCAGCACAACAGAGGCAGAGAGACAGGTTGATCTTTTTGAGTTCTAAGCCACTTTGATCTATACAGTAAGCCAGAGCTACACAGTGAAAAACCTATCTCAAAATAGGAAAGGGGGTCCGGGCGGTGGTGGTGCACGCCTTTAATCCCAGCACTCAGGAGGCAGAGGCAGGCGGATCTCTGTGATTCGAGGCCAGGCTGGACCGACAGCCTCCAAAACAATACAGAGAAACCCTCTCTCATAAAACAAAAACAAAAACAAAAACAAAAAAAAAAAAAAAAGGAAAGGGTTTGAAACCAGCCTCTGCTGTATAGTGAGCTCCAGACAAGCCTGGGCTACCTGAAACTGTCTCGTGTGTGTGTGTGTGTGTGTGTGTGTGTGTGTGTGTGTGTGTGTGTGTGTGTGTGTGTGTGTGTGTGTGTGTATGCATGTGTGGGTGCTGGAGTCAGAGATATAAGTCAATGGTTAACAGTGCTAACTGCTCTCACAGAGAATCTGAGTTCATTCCTGGCATTAGTAGCAGGCACCTCATGGCCAACTCCAGGGATCTAGCCTCTGAAGGCACCCTCATACACGTGTGTACATACACAAACATACATAGAAACTAAAATAAGGGCTGGAGAGATGGCTCAGCATTTAAGAGCACTGGCTACACTTCCAGGGGTCCTGAGTTCAATTTCCAGCAAACCTCATGGTGGCTAACAACCATCTATAATGAGATATACTGCCCTCTTCTGGCATTATACATGCAGGCCGAACACTATGCATAATAAATAAATCTTTAAAAAATGAGCTAAAACTAAAATAAAAATTTTAAATATATATTGTGGTCTATAATATCGTGTGATTTTTCAGATATACATTAAATGATTGTTTTTATATGGTCACTGCATACACATCAGCTTATTAGTTGGCATGAAAACTTCAAACCAATTGTAGTACAAACTAAGTGATACATCTGAAAACCAAAGCCTTTTACTATGCCTTATTGGACATGCACCCTGGATAAATTATTATTTTGTTCATTTTAAAATGAAATGATGCATAACGGAGTACGGTGTGGCAGTGCGTGAAAGTGAATCCCCACACTGGAGAAGCAGAGTTATGAGGATCAATCATTTAAGACCTGCCAGATATGAGCTCCAGACCAAACAAGACAACCACATGGTAAGACCTTGGTTTAAAAACAAACATCAACAACAACAACAAGAAAAAAAAACTGGAGAGGCAGCCCAAGGTCAAGTGTACTTGCTACTCTTGCAAAGCATCCAAGTTGGGATCCCAGCATCTGCATCCCACAAGTCAAAACTACCTGTAACTCCAGTTCCAGGGAACCCAACATCCTCTTCTAGACTTCTAGACTTCATGAGCACCCACACATATGGACTCTACACACAGACAATGAATGTATATGCAAAAGTTAAAAATAAATTTTTGAGTTCTAGAGCTGCCTGGTATACAAGCCCAGTTCTAGGCCAACCAGAGTTATACAGTGAGATCATTTATTTAAATTAAAAAGAAAAAGAACAGCTCTAGCCTGAAGACCTGAGTTCAATAACTGAATCCCACATGGAAGAACCAACTCCTCCAAGTTGTTCTTACTCCACATACACTTCATGGTACCACAGGCACATGCACAAAAATAAAGCTTATCAATAAAAAAAATATTTAAAATGGGGTTTAATAATTTCTATCTCATAGAGTGACTATAAAAAACAAATTGCAGCTGGACGTGAGTGGGGAGGCAGAGGCAGACGGATCTCTGTGAGTTCAAGGCCAGCCTCGTCTATAGAGCTACTTTCCAAACAGTCAAGGTTACACAGAGAAAGCCTGTCTTGGAAAAACAAAAGCAAACAAAGAAACAACAACAAACAACAACAAAAAAAAGACAAACCTTAGGTGATGTGGGATGACCCTCTCTATGCTGTGAAACTGTCATATTACCATTGGTTAATAAAGAAGCTCATTTGGCCAAAAGGCAGAAAGAACATGGCTAGGTGGGAAATCCAAACAGATACAAAGAAAAGCAAGGCGGAGCCAGGGAGATGCCATGTAGCCACTGAAGGGGAAAGATGCCAGAACATTACTGATAAGTCATGGCCACATGATGAAACACAGATAAGTAAAATGGGTTATAATTTAACTGTGAGAGATAGTAGGAAATATGCCTGAGTCATTGGTCAAACAATTATAATTAAAATTAAGCCTTGAGTGTTTATCTAGGAACTAGTGGGCAAGAGAGAAACTTCCATTTACACTTACAGGTTGGATAGATGGCTCAGCAGTGAAGAGCACGAACTGCTCTTCCAGAGGACTTGGGTTCAATTCCCTGCATCCACACTGTAGCTCACAACTGTAACTCCAGTTACAAAGCATCAAATACCCTCAACAGACATGCATGCAGGTCAAACAGTGATACACAATAAAATAAAAATAAATAAGTAATAAATAAAGGGAGGAGATGGAAAGATGACTAAGTGGTTAAGAACATTTATTGCACCAGGCAGTGGTTGCACAGCATGTCTATAATCCCAGCACTTGGAATGCAGAGGTAAGCAGATCTCAGTAAGTTCAAGGCCAGCCTGGTCTACAAAGTGATTTTCAGGACAGCCAGGGCTATTAACACAGAAAAACCCTGTCTGGGGGGGGGGATGAGAGAGAGGGGGGAAGGGGGAGAGGGGGGAAGGGGAAGGGGGAGAAGGGGAGGGGGAGAAGGGGAGGGGGGGTGGAAGAGGGAGAGCGGGAGAGGGGGAGAGGGGGAGAGGGGGAGAGGGGGAGAGAGGGAGAGAGGGAGAGAGGGAGAGAGGGAGGGGGAGGGGGAGAGAACACTTACTGCTCTGACAAAGAACCCAGATTCAATTTCCAGCACAGTTCCCCAGCACCCAAATGGAAGCTCACAAATACCTGTACCTATAATTATACAGAATCTAATAATGAGGCATGCACACAGTACACACACATACAGGCAAACATTCATACATATAAAATTAAGTAACTTACGGGGCTAGGGGTATAGCTCAGTGTTAGAACCCTTGACTAGAATACTAAAGGCCCTGGGTTCAACACCGAGCACCATCAAAAAAATTTTAATTGAAAATTAGTCTTGGTTTTTCCCTACTGATACAACAGCTCCTACTTTAGAGGGTTACTATGAGACTTGAATGAGTTGAAAAACAAAGTATTTAGAATAACATCAGCTATATGATGACAAATATTTGCTACTACTACTATTTTCTAAAGTAAGGTCTCATAGTAGGTATTAGTAAATCTTGGGTCTCACTATTTACCTAATGTTAATCAAGTATTAAAATGTTGTGTGCTATAATTCACAGAATGAAGACACACTCTAAAAAGTCACTTAAAATTAGATCTGTACACTATAAGTGTCTCCCTCCATGAATTCTCTGTTCCCTTTTCTTCAATAGTCAGAACTATACTGCTGAATTAATGCTAATGTAGATTTAACAGACTCAGTTTGGTAAGAACCTAGTTCTATTTCTTGGTACTTTCACCATGCAGATTTTGGAAATTCTTCTGACAGAATATAGACAGGACTACCTCATTCTCTTAAGACAGTGTCAATAACACAGAGCAAAAGGACAAGAAGATTGTCGCCGGGCGTTGGTGGCGCACGCCTTTAATCCCAGCACTCGGGAGGCAGAGGCAGGCGGATCTCTGTGAGTTCGAGACCAGCCTGGACTACCAAGCGAGTTCCAGGACAGCCTCCAAAGCCACAGAGAAACCCTGTCTCGAAAAAACCAAAAAAAAAAAAAAAAAAAAAAAAAAAGACAAAAAGATTACAACAAGATCAGAAAAGTAAACTTTAGAAGCACTATAATACTAACGTAGCTTGTAGCTTACTATGCCCAGAAAACTCAAGACTCACCAAGGTTCATCTGTAGGCTCCCAACAAACGAGACATACACTACAAGTAAAGCACATGGCTCTATCATCTCCAGATGAGGCAGGCTGCAAAATATGTCAAAATGGAGGAGAGAGAAAGGAAGCAGATAGGTATAAAAGGGAAGAAAAGGAGACAAGGGATGGAAGAAAGGAAGAAGGAAGCAGGCACAGAAGGGAAAAGAGAAAGGGAAGGACCAATCATTATTAAAACAGCTTTTCAGTAGCAACTCTCCAAAAAGTTCCCAATTTCATAATTTTCTAAGGAAAATAAATTTTATAGTACTACTGTGCTCGTACATAAATAAGAAGTGTTCAACAAATTTGCAGGCCAACTATGGCAATACATAAGATCCTGTCTCAAAAGTAAAACATAAATAAATAAATGCAGTGTTTGGCTAAATATTTCTGGCTGTTAAACAACTCATAAGCTCCCACCCCCACCTAAGACTCCCAAGTGATAGCATTACAGGTGTATACCACTATTTCTGTCTTGCAAAAATGTTTATTACATTACCTCAAGAATCTAGTTTATAAAAGCAGAAATCAAACACTGAAAATAATCAAATATCCAATGAGAACATTTTCCCAAAAAATGACATTTAAAGACCATATGAACTTGGTAGCAAAAGTAGAAGTACCAAAAATGACTCAATACTTATTTGCCCCCTAAATTCCCAATGTAGGACCAGCATCACAACCAAGTACATGGCAAATAAAACTCACAAGCACGTATCCAAACAAGCACATACTTAGACTGCATAAAACACTTTAAAAAGAAAACAAAACTAATTAAACGCTGGGCGTACTGAAGGCTGGAATAACACACTTGGGGGATGTCTATTTTGGATGCTTTTTACCTGATGATAAAATCCAGCTTGAGCCATAGGATCTGGCTGTGCCCACCTATAGCCAACATGAGGCCACGAAGTGAATGTCTCCCTTCTGTTAGCCTCACTATACATCAATGCCCTAAAAGTAAACAAACAGCAAATAATTGGAGCAAAGCATCAAACTACAGGGAAACTCCTATTTAATGCTGCAGAAAAGAAAATCTCTGAAACATGAAAAACAAGTGGGAAAGAAGCTGGCAGGTGGTTAATCCCAGCACTTGGGAGGCTGAGGCAGTGCATCTGGTGAGTTCGAGGCTGGTCTTGTCTACAGATCGAGATCCAGGACAGCTAGGGCTGTTACACAAGAAACCCTGTCTCAAAAAATCAAATTAAGTGGGAATGGTTATGTTCCAATTTTTATTTTCAACATGTTCCCCTACAAATTGTAAAGAAAAGATGATTAATGGCTACAGTAACTAAATAATTCCACAGGTGGATTAAGTTAACTAATAATGAATAATTACCAACCAGACAACAGGAAATGAGGAGGCTGCCAGAAAGCCCTGCACTTTTTCCTCAGGCCACAAGCCAGCTAATGTGGGCATCTGTCTCTGCTACTGTTAAACTCGTAAGCAGCACCTGTGTTTTTTTTGTTTGTTTGTTTGTTTGTTTGTTTTTTTGGCTATAAATCAGTTTTCTGTTCTTTCTTTAGGAAAATCTTCCTCCAGGGAAGCTCTATCTATACGATAGCAAAATTTAGTTTAGTATTGGTTGAGACAGGGTCTCAACTGTGCAGCCCTGGCCATTGTGAGACTCATTAGGCAGACTAGGCTGGCTTCAAACTCAGCCAGCCTCTGCCTGCTGGGATCAAAGGTGTGCACCACTAAGGTCAGAAACTCTAGTAAATTTTAAAAAGCGTAATTCACAGCACTCTGAAGCCTGAGGCAAGAGCATCACCAGCTGGAAGACAGCCTAACTAGAAAACAAACCATGAAATCTTCACACTTTTTTTTTTTTAAGATTTATTTATTATGAATACAGCATCCTTCCTCCATGTATGTCTGCACATACCAGAAGAGGGCACCAGATCTCATTACAGATGGCTGTGAGCCACCATGTGGTTGCTGGGAATTGAACTCAGGCCCTCTGGAAGAGCAGTCAGTGCTCTTAACCTCTGAGCTATCTCTCCAGCCCCTTCACACTTTCATAATAGCATTCTACTCAAGCAGAGTTAGGCTATAACTCAGGGAACCAGTGAATTTTTAAAGGATAATAACAAACTGAAATCCAAGAGGCTTCAAGTAAGAAAGAACTATGAGTAAAGCTTCCTCTTGCTCTTATAGCTGTATAAATAGTAACTGAAAGTCCAGGGTGGGGGGAGGATCATGAGAAAAACAGATCAGAAGAATTGATTTCTACAGCAGTGCTCTGTTACTCAGAATTGCACTCTGACTTTTAAAAGCATGTGCCAGGAGAGGGAGGGGCAGATCAGTATTAGAACTTGAAGCAGTTGCCTAACACTAATTGAGCCCTTGGATCCAAACCCCAGCAAAGCACAGGACGCATAGGACCCTGGGCTCAGCTCTCACAAAGTAAAAAGGAAAGTTTACCTGATAGTAGCTCTGTTACTACCCAGGACACAGCCCCTTGAAATATACTAATAAATGTTTTCTTTTATTGACTAAAAAAAGAAAAAACTATGGAGGTTAGAAAAGTTCCATGTATAGGTTATGTATGTATTTATGAGAGGGGAGATTGAGACGGTCTCAATTCACTATGTCTACCAAAGTCTTTGGAGAATCATTATTAACGAAATAACTTCAAGACTCCATCAAATTGGTACTTGGGGAGCATATGACTGGATTTGGAACCACCCAGATGGCATATCCCTTACGTTAGTCCCTTTTAGAGCATTTCCGGAAGTTCAAATGAAGAGGGAAAAATCAACCTTTAATTTGGGAAGCATTATCCAATACCTGGGGTTCAGGATGAAAAAAAGGGAGAAACAGCATTCACTGTTCTCTGATTCCTGACAGTACATATAATACCCTGGCCCTGCCTTGCCCCTATGATGAACTGAAGCCTCAAACTGAGCCAAAATAAACCTTTCCTTAAGTTACTTCTTGTCACAAGTAACTAAAACAAAAGAAAAATCCTATCTTATGATCTCATTTCCTAAAATACAACGCTTAATCATGGTATGCAGTAGCTTCTTTAGAAAGGACTGTAACTGTAAAATAGCTCTGCAGAGTTGATAACATCTCAAGATCTGCACTGCTCAGACAACACTTGCTCTAATCACAAGCTTCTCTTTGTTCCCACTTCCAAATAGGTTGCAAGAATATTTTAATGATAGCCGTAGCACTCAGCATCTGATATTCAGATTTCAAGTGGCATACTCTATCCAAAAGACAGAGATAACAACATTACTCTAGCATATAAAAACCCTTACCACTTGCTAATGCAAATAACAGAAATTGTGTCTGTAATACGATCACTTTACAAAAACAGGGCAAATGAGCGATGTAAAGGATAAACTGCTACAAACTATGAATATAAGAGCCATACTTAAAATGAACTCATTCAGTACTATACTAGCTAGCATCACCACACACTATTAATAAGTGCACTTCAGGAAAGAGCATGGAAAGTGATTCACTAACAGAAATATGAAAATCCAATGTGAATATTCAATTAAAACTATCAGGCTTTAAATTTCACCTTAATACTAATAAACTTTAGGACTTTTAATATCAAATGACTTATCAAGCTTTTACCAAATACACAGAAGCTTTAGTTTTACACAAAACAGTTACCCAATAAATCTGAAAAAAATAATAGATTCTAATAAATCTGAAAAAATAATGATTTTCAAAGTACTATGGCAAACAGCATAAATATTTTAAGGAAACTACTCCAATAAGTGGGGAGGCAATTTTTTCTTTGAGAACTTCATAGGTGAATACAATGTATTTTAGTCATACCTACAGCGCCATGTCCCTTTAAATAACTTTTTTAGTATGTCTTTCACTGAGAACATCACAGATAACTGCAATGTATTTGATCTTATCACCCCACTCCTCCATGAAAACAGTAAGCAATTTTATTTACACTCATATTTCTATACAGTTTTTGTCAGAATACTCAAAAGCAAGGAAATTTCATCACTGGCAAAATATTACACACCCAACAGTTAAAATGGGTTAAAATTTCCTCAAAAACCACTCAGCACCAGAATCTTCAAAATACAATCTTGGAATCTCCTTATGGATGCTCTTAGCAGTAATCAGTTCACCACAACATTTACAAGTAAATGAAAATCTACTTTTTTAAAATATTATAATCTAAAAATATTTTTCGGTACTTTTTGGTTAACCCTAAATCTAGGATTTCTATCTCAGTATACCCCAAAGAGCAAGGGTCCTACCTGTCTACAGAGCGCCCTGGCCCCACACCAAGTTCTGGACGTGCACTGGGTAAGAGGTAAGACAGTCTGTCCATCACCGAGGATGCCACAGGTAAGGCAGCAACATTTTGATTTATTTTCTTGAGTTCATTTACAATGGCACTGGCAACAGACTTCAATACATGATGAGGAAGATGAAATGTAACTGTGGCCCACTAAAAGAAAACAGAAATATAAGCAAGGAGATACTTTTCTGCAGTTTAACCAAAATCCTACCTTGACCATCTGATCAATTAAAGAGCTACGTATTGCTATGTCGACTATACCATAAGTTTATTGTTTACAGCAAGAATCTGCTCTTAAGTAAAAAACTAAATCTTTTCTCTAAAAATAACAAGGTACAGGTCTCCATCACTAACTGGTTGAACAGACAAAAATATGGCATGTGGGTGAGTGCACCAAGTACATGCAGTAGAATATTGCAAGGCCTTTTACAGTATCTTTTTTTTAACGTGGTTTTTCAAGAAAGGGTTTCTCTGTAGTTTTGGAGCCTGTCCTAGAACTGGACTTGTAGACCAGGTTGGCCTCAAACTCACAGAGATCCACCTGTCTCTGCCTCCCAAGTGCTGGGATTAAAGGCTTGCACCACCACTGCCCAGACTGCAAAGCCTTGTAAAAGATAGCAACTCCATCATTCGTATCAATATGGATTGAGTGAATTAAATTGCAAATTTAATTGCAATAGGCCAGGAACAGGAACACAAGTACCACCTACATGTAAAATTTATACTCTGTAACTCACAGAACCAAAGAGTAAAATGACAGCTACTAGAGCTGATATAAGAGTATGGGGATGCTGGTCAAAGGGTACAAAGTAGCAGGAGGCATAGATTTGATGAACTAGCTGGTGATCATCTATTTGGCAACCTATTATTTCAGTAACGCTACTACACAGTACTTTGGCCACAGACAACAACCTACTGCCAATTCCAAATATTCTCACCAGGAAGAAATAGTTAACTGTAAGGTGGTAGAGATACAATTATTTCATCTCCTACAGGCCACCATATGCACACACACAACACACACACATAGGCACACTCTCACAATATACACACACACACAGGCACACGCACGCACATCATAGGACACAAGTGGGAAAAAAAATTGAATGAAATCTCTTACCTAGTTTCTAAACCTGTTAACAGATGAGAAGCCTACCCACTGAAGAGTCTTCAGCACCAAAAAAACAAAAAACAAAACTCTGACTTCCACTTAGAAAAGGTTTTACTTTTTTTTTTGGTTTTTCGAGACAGGGTTTCTCTGTACTGTTTTGGAAGCTGTCCTGGAACTCGCTCTGTAGGCCAGGCTGGCCTCGAACTCACAGAGATCCGCCTGCCTCTGCCTCCCGAGTGCTGGGATTAAAGGCGTGCGCCACCAACGGCCGGCGAAAAGGTTTTACAATAAAATTCCAACTATATACTGTAATTCATAAAGTTTGCCCCCCAGAAGGAATCATGGGCATTCACTACAAGTGATACCCATGGGTTAAATAAAATTCTCTCTCAAGGACTGTAAGCAAGCAGAAATGAACTAAACATCCATGTGATCACTAACATGAGGACTAGTGATTGGCTTTCTGGTACAAAAGTATCTCTGAAAGGTGTGGGTCCTCCAATCCACACCATACTAATTTCTCAGGTTCCTGAAGACATAAATGGAACAGGCATGGCACAAGCCCAGTGACAAACCACCTACACTAATGCCGTTCCCATGTAAGGACCACTAAAACAGGAAAGGCCTAAAAGCACCTGAACATTCCATTCCTACAAAGTACTTAACCAAAACAATACTCAATCCTGAGGAAATTTCTGATAATTACTAGATCAGACACTTGAAAAGTAACAGGGGTAGTAACTAAACATCTCAGCACCACTTAGCCAACCTGTGTTGGCCTTTGTACAATGTCAAATCTTCAAGAATGACAATGGATTATATAAAAGTGTGGTTGTGCACACCTTTAGTCCCCACTTGTGCGGCAGAAGCAGGAAGATCTCTGAGTTTGAGGCCAGCCTGGTCTACAGAGCAAGTTCCAGGACACCAGGGCTATACAAAGAAACCCTGTCTGGAAAGAAAAAGAAAGCAAGGAAATCAAAGGGAAAAGTCTACATACAATCTCAGGAGAAGCAGTATGAATTACATATACACTACATAAGGGCTCAGCAAAGGAAATGAAAAATCATCTTTCTCCACAGCCTTTCCAATACTGTTTCCAGTACTGCTTTAATGTAAGATGCCAGGCAAGAAATGGAAACTCAGCACAGGCCCAATCACATGAATTTCCTCACCAAGACTAACTATCCAGGCCACCAACTATTTTTCAGGAGAAAGAGCCAGCTAGCCAATTGACTATACTAGATCAATTTAGCCAGAGAAGCAATCTGTTTCACTGTAACAGATGCATATTTTGTACCTGTTCAGATCACAATGCTTCTTCCATAATATCACATGGTATGGAGGACAACAGAACCTCTTCTGTACCACGTTGGTATTCTAGACTTCGCCACTGACCAAGGAAAGCATTTCAAAGAAGAAAAAGTAAAGTTCCAGCAATGGGCTCTTGCCCATGACATTTACTGTCTTACCCTGGTATCCTCCAGAAAAGGGTGGCCTAAGAAAAAAGGTAATCTATAATGCAGTGTCACTAATAACTAATACTAACTATAGTAACATCCTGAGGCGTCAGAAATCTCCATCAGAGGATTCTAACCATAGCTTTGTAACACAAATAGACACAACAGTGTATTCCAGCATGCAAACTATTTAGCAGAGCTAGTCATAGACTTTTCTTCTTCTCTGTGCTTTAAGCTACACAGCTCATTTTGCCACAAAAGAATATTCCACCAAGAACATAACAGTTCTACCAAACTGGCTATTGAGACTGCTGCTTAGCAAGTTTAAGCTTCTTCTACTACTCAGTGAACAGGCAAAGAATGCTACCAAAAAAAAAAAAAAAAAAAAAACACTGAAATCTCAACTTTATCATGTAAGCATATCTCTCCATCCCAAATGCATTTCAATTCTTACCTTAGCAACTTTATGGTTTGCTGCGGTCTCATGAGATGTATTTTTTAAGCCATCTTTGAGCTGTGTGATGAACAAATCATAACCCTCTGTACTAGAAACATCTACCTTTTCTAGACATGCTGATAAGAGCTGCTGTGCCTGGTAATAAAAAAAAGAAAATAAAACACAACAATCAGGTTTTCCTTCAGCTAATTCATAATGGTTTTAACCATACAAAACTTAACCTTACAATTAATTTTATATAAACCTAGTTAATCATTTAGATGAGGTAAAGCAATGCATTTAGTGTGGTAGCCAGAGGGCAATATATCAATACAATGATTATCATAAATTAAGCAAAGAAAAATAAACATGCTGAAACTATGAACAAAAATGAAACATCAAGTCAACTTTTCAACAGAAATACAAGATTCTTCAGTAAGTATATATAAAGTACTTACAGTACACAAATCCATCCAACAAATAGTACAACAACTCAGCAATGCTATACATAGAATAAAAGATAAAGCCAGATATGCTGGCTCAAACTGTAATCCCGGCACTTAAGAGGCAGAGGCAGACAGACCTAAGTTTCAGGGCTACAAGTGAGCCTCTGTCTCAAAACAAAAACTAAGCAGAGAGCCAAGAATGATGCCACATGCCTCTCTTCCAGCATTTGGGAGGGGGAGGCAGGTGGATGACTACAGAGTAAGCTGAAGTCAGCCAGGACTACATGAGATGTCTCAAAAATTTCTAATCTCTTTCTCAAGCTTAGTATCCTATGTAACTAAATTGTGCCCAACAAGGTGAGTATGAAAACAGTTTGGAGGGATGAAAAAGGGAGAAGAAAGGGAGAGGAAAAGGGAGGGAAGGAGGGAGGGAGGGAGGGAGGGAGGGAGGGAGGGAGGGAGGGAGGGAGGGAGGGAGGACTAGGGAGAGGAAGAGACAGCCAGATGGACACAGGTGAAAGAGAGAGGAGAGGGAGAGTGACAGAATAAAGAAAAGATGTGGTTAGCTGGTCTCCTATGACTTGGAAATGATGGAACTTGGAGCAACTGTCTACAATTCACAGCTAAGCTAAGTGTTGAGGCTGACACCGTGGCCATACATCTAGCCCTGGGCTATTACTACTCATTAGTCATCTTGTTATTAATTCACTGTATTTTAGAGACTTTGTTAAAGCTGCTTATCCTGTGCTAAGAAGAGTTCACCTCTAAAACACTATTTCAACAAACACCAATTAATTGTGCAGAGAAAGGAAAGTATTTAAAAGGGTAGTTTATGACTCAAACCTTTGTTTTTATGGAAGTAACTATACAAAGTCCTTTAAGCACAACTTATGAACAATGTCCTACAGGACAACTTAATTTCTTAACTCCCAAAGGTCAGAGGTTACCTTGTACAAAGCACACAGTATACTTGTTTCTACTTACCTCCGTGACAGGAAGTTCAAGCTGAACCACATCATCCTGCTTTGAAACTGGAGTTTGCAGAGCAGTGTCTAACAACAAGATTCCATTAAGGTCTTTCCTACAACCTACTGCGTAATCATCCACAAATATCACTTTATCCACAGCGGAAATATATTGACATTTCACTTGTCCACCGGGTTTAGCTGGTAAAAAAACAAAAATTAAACAGTTAAGATTTTTAAGACCAACAAGGCCATTAAAAACATATGTTTCCATATCAACTAAATGTGACACACAATTCTGGATGAGACACTGAACTGGAAGGAAGTCTATTAAGACCATGATTAGAGCATACCAGACTGGAGTATGAACTATAAAGCCAGTATCAAGGGAAAACTGATTAAAACTTGGCAGCTACACAACGCTGTAAGAGACACCTGCAATCCCAGAACACAGGAAGCCAAGGCAAAAGCACAAGTTAAGGCAGTCTGTTCCACAAAACTCAGGCACCACACCAAAGGGGGAGGAGGGTCTATGGACATCTCCATGAGACAAAGAGCGAATGTGGTAAACACCTTCCAGGGACAGAACAGAGGAAAGGAGCTGTAGGAAAGGTAATTCCACCATACTATTCTTATATACTATTCTTTATTCTTTACCCGAGGGAACGGGTGGAGACAGTGACCTGTATGCAACCAGATTTCCCAGAATCATTTGTTATAGACTACCCTTTCCCTCAAATAATGGATTTGACCCCTTGCTCTTGGCTCTTTACCCATCCCAGCATGTTCTATGTCTATCTTTCTTTCGTACTGCATTGTTTTTATTTGCATTTCTAAGGGCCCAACCCAGCATTTGTGTGCATACTAGTCAAGCCCTGTACTGCTGAGCCATGTCTCCTTCCTCAGTACCACACATTTTACTTGCTGTAGCTTTCCAGCCTGGTTTACAGAGTGATTTCCAGGACAGTCAGGGCTACACAGAGAAACTCTATCGCTAAAACCCAAAAAATAAGAAAGAAAACCTCTAAAACTTACTAAACAAATCTTTTTGCTTAAGTTGATTGTCTAGGGTATTTGTCAGAGAAAGCTAAGTAGCAGGTAATGTAGACATCTTCACAATATACAGACAACACTATGAAATGCTAACAAGGCATAAGGAGAATAGAATTTACTATTTCTACTGGAAATGTAACATGACACAGTCACAATGATTGACAGCTTTTTTTGAAAATAAGGCTGGACAGATGACTCAGTGGCTAAGAGCACTGACTGCTCTTCCTGGGGACCTGGGTTCAATTCCCAGCAACCACATGCAGTTCACAACTGTCTGCAATTCTAGTTCCAGGAGACCTAACACCCATGGAAGAGGGGAGAGGAGAGGAGGGGAAGAGAGGGGAGGGAAGAGGATGCTACACTGGAGACAGAAAGCTAAGTTCACATAATAACTTGTATTCAGGTATTTATGGTAAGTCTATTCATAAAAACCAAACAATGAAAATACCCAAGTATGAGCCAAGCAGCGGTGGAGCAGGCCTTTAATCCCAGTTACTTGGGAGGCAGAGGCAGGCAGATCACAGAGTTCAAGTTCAAGGCCAACGTGGTCTAGAGTGAGTTCCAGGACAGCCAGAGCTGAAACCTTGTCTCGAGAAAAAAAAAATTCTTCAAAGTTGCTGGCTTAAATAAATGGTATATAACAATGGAATATTATTCAAAAATAAAATCCTACAAGTGCTATCCATAACAACTTTAATGAATCCCAAAAGTATGCTAATATAAGAATTCAGGATCAAAAAGTTTTTACACTAGGCAACATATAGAATGCTCACCTACTGTATGTCCAGGCCCTTCCTGGGCTCAATCCTCAACACTGTCACCAAAAAACAATACAAAACAAAGCAAAAAATGTGTGGGACAATTCCTATAATACTAAAGAAAACACAAAACTATAATACTTAAATCAATATGTAATCCAGGCTAACTTCAAACTCACAGCAATCCTCCTGTCTCAGCCTCTCAAGTGTACAGTACCACAGACATGAACCACCAAACCCAGCTGACAAAGTTTTCGAAGTATAATCCACAGAGAGTATTCATTCTAAGACAGTACTGCTCCCTTCAAGGGAGCATGGGTCTTTTGTTATGCTAACTCTGTCAGTTAGATCTCTCAGCACCTTAGAAAACAGATTTTATTTTTCCCTCAGGACACTGTTCGGGCTATAGAGCACAAAATAAGGACTGACATCTATCTTTATCTGAGACTACATTTCAGAAGAGCAGAATGATGGGGAACAAGAGCAGCAGAGCTATCTAGGGAACTTTTGTCTCAGCCTGTCTGCTGCGGAACATGAAGTTTGACTTGGGCTGCCTTACACTAAGGACTATGTGAGGAATGATAAAGGGTCTGTGTGGCATTCTGGAAATGTGTGTTATCTATACTAAGTCCCAAACAGTATTTCAGGCATGGGCTGCAAACAGAAATCCACATGGACACATTCCAAATAGAACTGTGCTGATTTGCAGCCGAGTTACTTCTCACACTGGCAACTTTGGGGCAGTTAACTTACAGCTGGTTACTGATTCTTTTAACAACCTCAGGATACAGAAGTTAGTCCTCCCTCACATTTTGCTTTAGACATCTAACAAAGCAACCTAACACCTCACTGTATATCACCACCTGCCATACCATACAGTGCCACCACCACCCCTCTCTCCATGTGAAAAGCAAGTACTGTAATGACTACATCCCCAGGACTCCACATACAATGTCTTTTAATAAGTCAACTGTTCTGCATGACTTTTAAAACTTTTTAATATAATACACTAAGCTCCAATGAGGTGAAGTTAATTTCTAACACACTGTGAAACATGCACAATTTTTTGTTTGTTTGTTTGGTTTTGGTTTTTCAAGACAGGGTAGCTTTGGAGCCTGTCCTAAAGCTAGCTCTTGTAGACCAGCTTGGTCTCAAACTCACAGAGATCCGCCTGCCTCTGCCTCCCAAGTGCTGGGATTAAAGGTGTGCACCACCAACACCTCTGCCTCCGCCTCCGCAGCCGCCATCACCATTACCGCCCCTGGCACATGCACGCTTTTCAGAAGGACATTAGCTATGCTCCCTTATCTTTTCCTTCCTCTTTCCAGTCCCCAATGTGAGGTCATTCTCTTCAGCAATAGTGACATTTTGATTCAGAGGAAAAGAAAATGAAACAAAAAACTATCCAAAGACTTGATTAATTCAAAACTTAATCAAGACACATAAAGACCAAAACGTAATAAATACGCAGAAAAAGAAAGGAAGAAAAGCAGGGGAGCAGGCAGGCAGGCAGGCGGGCAGGCAGGCAGGCATCCAAGCCATGAAGGGTGGGGCACACATGTAATCCCAGAACTGGAGAGGCTGAGGCAGGAGGAACATACATTTGAAACCAGCTTGGGCTACAGAGTAAGACCCCACATCATAACAAATGAATAAACATGTGCACTGTGAATATATAACAAATTAGCAAGGGATGCAAATAAGTAGCAGAGTGCTTGCACAGCATTCACTAGGCCCCAGGTTCAACCAAAGCCCAGTACCACAGAAATAAGTAACAAACAAAAATTGAAAGCCAGAAAAACTTAGCCTTTGCCATACAGCCTTATGGGCATATTTCATATTCAGTCACTATATACAATTTTTAATATAGGGCATATTTTACTAACAAAAACTTGGGACGTTTTTCTACAGAAAAAGTTGAGGGATACATTAAAATTCAACTAAAAATGGGTTATAGCTCAGTTGAGTGTTTAGCATGCAGAAAGCTCCAGGTTCAACTGCCAGCACCCAGTGAGCAGGGCATGGGGGCAACCACCAGTAATCTCAGCACAGAAGAGGGGGAGGGGGAGGCAGGAGGATCAGAAATGAGGACAGCCTGGTCTATATAAGACCATGCCTCAAGCACACCAAGTCATTTACCCTAGACACACCAAGTAAATTTGCTCACTTAAAGTCTCATGTGTTTTAGCCGGGCGTTGGTGGCGCATGCCTTTAATCCCAGCACTCGGGAGGCAGAGGCAGGCGGATCTCTGTGAGTTCGAGGCCAACCTGGCCTACAGAGCGAGTTCCAGGACAGCCTCCAAAACAATACAGAGAAACCCTGTCTCGAAAAACAAAAGAAAAAAAAACAAACAAACAAAAAAACAAAACAAAACCAACTATGTCTCCAATGTAGTATGTGGGTTTTGAGGAGGGTTTGTTTTGATTTTTTTAGTACTTGTAGCTATTTGAAAGGTTATGGCAGAGGCAGGCAGAAGTCTGTGAGTTCAAGTCCAGCCTAGTCCAAATAGTGAGTTCTAGGTCAGCTAGACTACATAATAAGGCCTCCTATCTTTAAAATAAAAAAAGGTTAATAAGTGTAGTATGTTTTGCTGTAGGTATTTTTTTTAAGATTTATTATGTATACCTGCAGGGCAGAAGAGGTCACCAGATCTCATTACAGATCGTTGTGAGCCACCACGTGGTTGCTGAGAACTCAGGACCTCTGGAAGAGCAGAGAGTACACAACTACTTGAGTCATCTCTCCAGCCCCTGCTATAGGTATTCTATTGAAACTGTACCCTCTCTCCAGATTTCCATGTATAGAAATGCAGCTGAATACACTGAATTCAAATAAGAACGTTTTTGTTGTTATTAGAGATAAGACTCATTGTGTATCTTAAGGAGGCCTCCAACTCAAGATCCTTCTGCCTCAGCCTCCTGAACTCTAGGATTACAGGTGTGTGCTCCTACACCTAGGTAGAAACAGTATCTGCATCACTAAGAGTTAAAAACTACCAAATAATAGATTCCGTATTGCCAGGCGTTGGTGGCGCACGCCTTTAATCCCAGCACTCAGGAGGCAGAGGCAGGCGGATCTCTGTGAGTTTGAGGCCAGCCTGGTCTACAGAGCCAGTGCCAGGACAGCCTCCAAAACTACACAGCGAACCCCTGTCTCGAAAAAAACCAAAAAAAAAAAATAGATTCCATATTTCTATTGTTCAAAGTAGAATACAGAGCTTATATACTAGTATGTACTCAGGCATTTTTGAAGAGTGCTAAGGATGGGGAGTAAGTTCAGATAACATTCGCCTTTGAATGCATGTGCTCCAAACTACTCAGGGCTTCACAATGAGATCAAGTGCACCCCCAAACAAGAGCAAACAACTACTAAATTGTGGGGCTCCAGAA